AATAAAATCTACAGATTCTAATTTGCATTGTGTTGGTACAGCTGTACTCTCGAGTACCCCATATTGCCGCACCGTAACACAAAATCGGCTGTACAAGACTGTCATACAGCTTTTCAGAAACACTGTCGGGCATACCACCAAAACTTACACTTTAATTTTACAATTATCTTTGATTAAGCCTGACTAGCTGATATAGCAATTTCTTTTAATGCACAATTCATGTCAAGACATTCATTAAGCCACAAACCTAGGTATTTGTACACAGGAGAAGATTCTAAAGATATGCTTATGCATCATCCTTGTTTACTCGGTGGAAACTGTGTTATTTTTAACAAAACTAAAATTGTCCATTTTAGAAATGCTAACTTTTCTCCGTCTACTTCTGTTTTTATCTGGTCAATTTTTGGCTAATCGATGGCAGGGGGACTTCTAGTCTGTCATACAGCCCATGCAAGTCTATAATGTTTGGCAAGTCTAGATTACTGCGGTATCGGGAAAATGAGAAAGGTCTCTGTGCTCCGTTTTATTGCTAAAATATGTTCATTTAAGACTAGATGTTAGTCTGGGTGACTTCACACAGAGAAGTTAATTCTAACATCTGAATATCTGCATTCTATTGTAAGTCTGTTATTTCTGTCACTGAGCTCAACATGGATTCTGTTGGGTATGGCAACACTTTGCAAGATGTCCCCATGCTAAGCTATATATACTCCATCAGTGTGTCATCACTTCTGAGCAATGTATGTATGAATGAATCGATGACGTATTGCATTTCCCACCGTGTCAGAATGAATGGATATATGATATCAAGTAACAAACGTACACCCAAACCACGATTATAAAGAACGGCGTGTAAACCTTTGAAGGTGTGTAAATTGATGTATGGATGATTGGTCAGATCAGGTAGACCAGCGTATGCAGAAAGGGCGTACTGGTAATCATTAAGACAGTCCTGCGCAGAAACGTATCCACAGTCCTCGCGCGCACCTGGTATAATAGGACTGTCCAACTTATGGACATGATCAGACGAGTATTTACACATGCAGTGGGTTATGCAACTGGCTTTTAATGGACTGTTCCACTTAACAAGTGCCAATTTATGGAGGCCAATAGCAAGTTACTCTTTTTCTGAAGTTTTATAGATCGACTCTAACTGTGTATTCCGGTGTACATCTTCTTCCTCGCGGTTACTGGAACGTTGGGACGATGGCCGCGATGACAAATGTCTTGTTGTTTAATGTGATATGTTTTACAAGGTGTATTTCCGGTTTTGCTTCACTTGACGTCAGAGTGGGTAAGCCAGCTGTTTCTATTCTTTGTTTTTCGTTTTGTAACAGACGTAACAGTACTTTGAATGCTACTATCATATCAGAAAACGTGAAAAAGCGATTGATCATTCTATGGACAATAGTTTTAGGTTGGATTGTTGTTTAACGCCGCACTCAGAAATGTTCCAGGTATATGGCGGCGGTCTGTAAATGATCCAGTCTGGACCAGACAATCCAGTGATTTACATCATGACCATCGATCCACGCTATTGGGATACGATGACATGCATCAATCAAGTCTTCATGTCTGACCGTTCGATCCTGTTAGTCGCCTCTGACGACAAGCAAAGTCGCCTTTTCGGCAAGCAGGGTTTTTTGAAGACCTATTCCAATCCGGATCGTCACGGGTCTATGGGTAAAAGTCATTCTTCTAGGTGCATGTTTGTCTTAGTGACGACACAGCCTTTATTCCCTCGTCATGTAATTCAAATCGGCTGGATGAAGGCGACTAACCGGATCGGGTGGTCAGGCTTGCTGACTTGGTTGATGCATGCCATCGATCCGAGTTGCGTGGGTCGATGTTCATGATATCAATCACTGGACTGTCTGGTCCAGACTCGATTATTTACAGACCGCCGTCATATAGCTGGAATATTGCTGAGTGCGGCGTAAAATAACAAACTAACCAAACAAACCAACGGAGTATTGTTGGAAGTTGGCAAGAATTCGATGTTTTCACATCCCGGAGGCACTTGCAGGTAGATGCAACGCAAATGAGGTTGGCCCTAAATTTCCCACGTTTCTCCAGTATAAGTACAGCCAGCCTTCACTGTCACATCACTTTTCGAACAATCAAGGGTGCCCTGATAGTCAAAGGGAGGTAACTCTAGACCACACTTCCGGTTACAATCTGGCCACACCAGCACTCGACACTTTACGAGCGTTTCAGTCATTTGCTGCCACTGTCAAATCACTACACATAAACTTACAACAATCTCGACTGCCACGTAACCACATATTGACACACGAACAAAGCTTGTTTTTAAATGCACAATACCATTTGTTACTAAGATTCACTTAAGTTAGGTACGATATGTATAATTTGTTCCAGGTGGTATATTTCATCCTGAGTGGTCACCGTTCAAATTACAAGAAAGTTCTGTATCAAGTATGTGTTTTACTCAATGGCGCAACGCGTGTGTGAACTTCAACATCACTCAACTACAGGACAAGGACTTCTACAAAAGACGTAAGTTCAGAAATGAAAGATCGGATATAACGAACACAATGTATACAAACACTAAGGAAGGTTGTGCGCAAACCCATCAAGTATTGACCATTAGTATCTGCTCGTTGTATACGAACCTAGATATTCAAATACACAGTAACTTTGTTCTCCACGTCTTCAGTTAACTGACAGTAAAAGCCTAGTTTCCACCTTTGTCGAACTTTAAGGGTCTAAACACATGAAATTTGCTATCGCCTTACAGACCAAACATCGCCTGAACACACCATTCCCATAATCTAAACACATCGTTTACAATTCTAATAATCCTAGTAAACTTTGCGATAAATGCCACACTCGTAAACACGCCCTAACATCTTAGATCATTCGTCACCACTCGCCCCTTTCGGTAACATGCACGGCTTGTCCCGGAATAACACGAGTTGGTCACGAATGATCTCAGATATCACATATGTTGTATCTGAAATATCACCACACTTTTGGGGCATCATTGGCCGCTTCCTCGCCAAACGAAGGCGGAGTTGGCCGATAACCTGGTCAACCTCAAACATTATACAATGCAAAAAACATCAAATGAAGTCAGGATAAATAACACAAATATAATTGAATCTGTTGTAGTAGTACAATGTGAAGACATTTTGAAATGCTGAATTAGATTAAAAGGCTTATTAGATTAGAAAGATCAAGTTGAAGTGCCCTAGTCACTCAAAGGCATGCTTTTCAGTCATTGGATAAAACAGTTAAAGACATGATTGCCACTCGACACTGGATACAAAATGTCAGCGAGCCTTCGCTCGACTCGATATTTGGTGGGGGGTGGCGGTCTGGTAGCCTAGTGGTTAAAGCGTTCGCTCGTCACGTCGAAGACCCTGGTTCGATTCCCGACATGGGTACAATGTGTGAAGCCCATTTCTGGTGTCCCCCGCCGTAATATTGCTGGAATATTGCTAAAGGCGGCGTAAAACCATACTCGCTCACTCACCCACTCGATATTTAGTGACTGATTGAAGTTACCCACACACGTTTAACTCTTATTTCCCAATTAAACGCTAATTAGTGTTTTAAAATACCTACAAAAAAGAGATAAGCGTATGTTAAAATGTTAAATTTACCGCGGTTAAATCTACAGGTAACCTAGCTCTACATTGAAAACACAGTATGTTTATCTCAATTGTCTCATCACTAAATAAAAGGCGAGCTCTTTCGTGTCAGCAAATATATGTGGCATGGGTTGAGTAAGCTTACATGAGTGAGTGAGTGAGGATGTTTTTTTACGCCGCTTTTAGCAATATTCCAGCAATATCACGGCGGGGGACATCAGAAATGAGCTTCACACATTGTACCCATGTCGGGAATCGAACCCGGGTCTTCTGCGTGACGAGCGAACGCTTTAACCACTAGGCTACCCGACCGCCCCTAAGCATACATGAGATGGGTATCCTTGAAGAAGACTAAGCCAGACTTGCAACGCTTTCGTTCCACATCGTACGTCACCATTATGGTCTCAAATCGGCTGTTTCAGTCGGGATAGGGGTGTGTTTGTGATTTGACTACAACGCGTTTCATATCAATACGACGATAACGATATTCCTGTGCAGCTCACTTGGGACCGATGGTGTTAACAGATATAATCACAAGATATTTTCATTTTTAATGCAATTGTCCTTTGAAGTCTTTAATCTCGCATCGATCAAAATATGGTAACCTTACATACACATGATTCACTTGCGATTGTCACGAACTGATTGTTCAAATACTCAGTATAAACACGATCAATACGGAGAGAAAAAATATGTCTTTGTGTAAAATTATTTCTTAAAACACATAAACATTCAGAGGAAGGCTAGCTAAGAACCAACGTGGTAACAGATGTTTTGAAATTATGTTGAACATTTCACCATTCGTTATCAAGTAACGGAAGCCAAACTCTTTAGATAACACAAGACGTTGGGAACACGCGCAAACAAAACAATCGTTTCCTAGACTACATATGCTCTTCAACAGGCATTGGAGTATAATATAAACACAGCCATTGACAAGTCTGAACGTACTGTGCGAGAATACCAGAGTACACGATCATGTTTATATACAGTTTGATTAACTTTTTTCATAGTGAATGTGATAGGTGTATCTACATTGGTGTTTATAGCCTCATCAGTGTATTATATCGAAACTGATTACGGTAATTTATCGATTATCTTTATCTTTGATTATATTGTGGACCCGTCAGTATGTTTACCTAAGAATAATCAATTAGAAATTGTACAAAACGTTTGTAGTCCTAGAGATACTGAACACATTCTTAATGCTTTGAACGTGGACGACACTTCCTCGTTACAGAGGAGTTTCTGCAGGAAGTCATAATCTTTAGCGTATGCCTGTATAAATTAAACTTTAATGAATTCATTACGGCATCAATCTGTTTATGGGTATATTCCGAGACTTGCAAAACACCTCACAATCAAATCCCATGTGTGCATATCAACATGCAGCTCTATGTCGTTACAGTTCAAGATTTGACGTCAGAAACGTATGACGTCATTATCATTGGTCAGTCACGGGAAGAGCGGTGGGTGTACAATGGTCTGACGGTTATTACACCTCCTTTCTCCAACACTCCCCTCACGAAGATGGAAGACGTAGGTAGGAGTGCACAACCAATAGGAAACACGTGTGTCCCGATGTATCCCGACTTGGGAGTTAATGACTTCCTCCTGCTGTATCTACATGACGTTGTCCGTGACGTCATCGTCGTCCTTCATGACGATTCAGCGGGTAAGTATTAGCAGGTGTGTTAAGACTCTTTGATAGTGCAATGATTTTCAACGTAGCGCTACCCTCATTCGAAACCGTATAAATGTTTAATTATTTCACGTCGAAATCGTTTTGAGTATGACCAACAGAGGCAGTAAAATAGTTTTGCAATACATCAAAGTCTTAACAAAACAGGGTTATGCCATTTTATCAGTAAAATAAAATAAATTATCACTGATAGGGGTTATATTGTGGGTGTGGGTAAAACTCTTGACCATAACAAGGCCGTTAGTTAAAGGCCATGATATAACGGATTCGAAGTGAAAGTGAAACTCACTCACACTCTCCTTCAGAGATTATTCCAATATCACTGATTTAAAAAAAATACACTTGATTTTACTGACAGTTTTCTTTTATTCCAATAAGACATCTCTCTGCGTGAAGATCTGGGGACAAATTAGGAATCGGCGTCGAGGCTAGTAAATTATCGGTACGAGTGAGCGAAGCATGAAAACTAGCAGATCTGATTTCTGTATGGAAAACGAATATAATCGAGGAAATCCGAATGTAAAAACATTAGGTCGAGCTGTTATATTGTTGCGGATACGTTATAAACACTGTCGTGTATGAGCGCCATGGCATCTACACTCAAAATGACGTACTATCGAGGGTATATTTATGTTCTATGGTGTTGTTTTGTTGCTAAGATCAAAATTGACGATTCAGTGTGGCAAAGAAATGATGCCGAATGCTTTAGAAAGCCGATATTTGGTTGGCTAAAAATCCATATGCGGTCAAAGTTCACCCAGGGTTCACCTGACACGACTTATTTGGAAGGGTCCTTAGATCTTGACGCAAAGAGGCATCGTATCCAAGTTAATCATCTGATTTTAATCGAACCTTGTTACACTACAGTGCCTATATCGTGGACAGTGAAAGGTCGCAGAAGGGTCTCTTGGACGAAATATGACCTTGACCTTAATTCATGATGGATGCCACTGGCAGGGCAAAAGATGTTCACAAGTTTTGCGAACACATGGTCTCATTTAAGCTTAAAATGAGTTGCGATTTTATGTTCTGACTTTTGTGGCGATGATTGAATTCTGATCCTTATGAAGGATACCACCCAAGGATTGACTTTTATTGAAAGATCACCTAGATATAAACAACATGACATGACTATAGTAATATCGTCGTGATAAATGTGTTGAAAATATTAATTAAAAGTATCGTTATGATATATATATATATATATATATATATATATATATATATATATATATATATATATATATATATATAATTGTTGTACATCGATATAACTGTGCTTTATGTAAATGGTATAGACAAACTGTAAATGACGATAAATGGTGTATAGTGTAACAATGTAGGGACCGTAGAATCAAGAACTTAGTTCATGTACATGTGTAGAATAGGCATAATATATAAATGTATGTAATTGCGTTGGAGCTGGCCGGAGTCCTGGAATGACCAGCCGATGACGCGACAAGGTCAGCGGCCAGGGATATCGAGCCAGCTGCGGGCGGGGTTCGCCAGTCCGGCTTTACTCGGCTAGGTACAAGGAATATAGTCCTGCACCATGACCGTGGAATATATTTATTTTATGAAAAAATAATAATCTAGAAATGCATACAAAAGCAAGTCTAGCCAGCTCAAGCTAGCTCTATTCCACTATTCTGAAATCAGCATAGGGAATTTTTTATTACTTTTAGAGTCAAGAAGGATATTGTGTAATATAAGATTTCAGAGACTAAATGTCTACAAGGAATAAAGTAGAGAATATTCATCCCCCGTGTTATCGTAATTCCAACCGTACGATAGTAATATGAAAGAATCGGGTGTGATGAACTGTCAAAAAGATATGGTAATTAATAAACATAAGGACATGTTGACACCCAGAGACAAATCGGGTCCTCCATTAGGTTGAAAGAACAAATATTGTTCTACGTCACAATCATCTTTATTTATCTTGTTGAATGAATTCTTGTTATTGGAAGTCCTGCCATGAACGGTATGTACTTACAATTAGTGGTTCGTCAAGTGTTTTGGTAACCTTGGTTTCGTCTTTGTACAAGGCACGGTTTCCAATACTCTGCATCTATAGGCGAAATGGTTTGTGACAATTAGGAGCTTGTTTACCTTGATATCATAATGGTATTTGTGGAATGGTTTAGTGCAAATACAGTTATAGAATGAAAGAGCCCTGGCGCCACGACATCGTTACAGCCCTTGCACTCTCGAAACGAACGATGACGATGGCGCTTTTGGTAATTGTTTTATTCAAATTGAACATGGGTAGCAAATATAAATAGAACACTATTCGTAAATGAGATTTATTAATCATATGTCGTTGTAAGTTACTTCTGTAATACTATTCATTCAAGGTGGAATCTTAAAATATATATATACTGATGAGTGAGTGAGTATGGTTTCACGCTGCTTATAGCAATATTCCAGCAATATTGCGGCGGGGGACACCAGAAATGGGCTTCACACATTGTACCCATGTCGGGAATCGAACCAAGGTCTTCAGCGTGACGAACAAATGCTCTAACCACTAGGCTACCCGACCGCCCCTATATATTCTGATGGAAAGAAGTCACGGAACACATAAATACGAAGAGTACCTGACAATGGCAGGGACTTGTCTGACAATACAGTGATCCCCGAGGTACTTCGTCTTTGTTTGTTGATATGGGTGTGAGTGAGTTGGTACACATCCTTTACTGGCGTACTTTGCAAATAATTCAGCTATGTGACGTCTGACTGTAAATAATCCAGTCTGCATAGACAAAGCAAACTGACTAAGATCGATACGACCCGTGAAGATCTGGGTAAGAATAGATCTTCAGCAACCCTTGCTTGCCGTAAAAGGCAAATGACTATGCCTGTCGTAAGAGGTGACTAACGGGATCGGGTGGTCAGGCTCGCTGACTTGGTTGATGCATGTCTTCGATCCCATTCACATGGATCGATGCCCATGATGTCAATCACTGGATTGTTTGGTCCAGATTCGATTATTCAAAGACCGCCGTGATATACCTAGAATATTGCCGATTGCGGCTTTAAACAACAAAACGCAGTCTACTAGGGCTGATCAAAAAAGTTCTAAGCCAAACAAAGAAGACCAACAAGTGTTTTTGATTGTATTTTTCTACATATTCTCCCTGCTTTTCAAAACACTTCTCATATCGATAGTGAACTTTACAATTTCAGTCAGGAAGAAGTTTTCTGCAGTTTTCGTTGTCGTCAGAGCGTTTTCCACGAAGGTGTTCTTTTAGTTTAGGAAACAGGTGGAAATCAGTTGGTGCCAGGTCTGGCGAGTATGGAGGGTGAGGAAGCATATCGAACCCACATTGTCGCACAGTCGAGAGGTGTGAGAAGAGGCAGTGTAATGAAGTAGTAGAACTCCAGCAGTCTGCATTCCTCGCCGATTTTTTTTTTATAAAATCACCCAGGCGATAAGCAAATTAGCACAGTAGGCACCGGTAGTCGTCTTTTGGCTTTCTAAGTAATCAACAAGGATCACACCCTTTGCACCCCAGAATAAAGTGGCCACAACTTTCTTCACTGATCCCGAAGACTTAAATTTCTTTGGTGCCGGAGAAAAGGAATGGTGCCATTCCATGGATTGACGTTTTGACTCATAGTGGTAAACCCATGTTTCATCAACCATTACTAATTTCTTTTTCAAATGGACGAAATCTTCCTCGATTAGCTCTAAATTTTCTCTGGCAATAGGAGTTCTTTTTCTTAATATCAGAACTTAGAAACTTTGGCACACAACGAGCAGATCTTATTCATAGATTTTATTCATCTGCAAATGTTCATGAATAATAATTTAAGTGGATCCATGGTTTAGACCTGTGTCTTCCTCAAGCTCAGCGATGGTATAAATTCTTTTTCTATGTAGTTGATTGAATCGTCATTGATGCAAGCTGGGGGACGTCCAGACCTAGGGTTATCATCAAGCCTTGTTCTCCCAGCCTTAAACAGTTGCCCAAAGTTCAAAAATGAAATAGCTAGGGTACTTATCCCAATACACATGTGACATGTATGCAGTCATGAATTTCTTGGGGAGTACTTTTCTCTAAAGTCAAAAACTTGAGGACTGCTCGATACACGTTCTTTTCCATTTCAGTGTCCACTTGGACCACTTTCACGTATAACTGACTGTCACTTATTTTCAAACTGAGTGAGTGAGTGAGTATGTTTTTACGCCGCTTTTAGCAATATTCCAGCAATATCACGGCGGGGGACACCAGAAATGGGCTTCACACATTGTACCCATGTCGGGAATCGAACCCGGGTCTTCGGCGTGACGAGCTAACGCTTTAACCACTAGGCTACCCGACCGCCCCTCTTATATACAAACGGCATCAACATACCAAATACACTTGCAATGATCTACTCAAACAATGTACCCATTGACTAGTACACTTTGTTATGGCCCATCGTTAAAAGTTAGTCAGGCTTAGAACTTTTTGACCAGTTCTCCGCAAGCCTGACCACTCGGACCATTTGATCGCCTCTTACGACAGCCATTGGTTATTGGGGACCTATCTTAACCCGGAATGCACACAAAGCGCCGTCAATGTGCATATTTTATCAAATACAATTGTTTCACTTCCACTATAGTAATCAACGGAGAATTACGTTACAAGATTGGAACAATTATGTGTACTGATTTATGTCATCCTTTCCCCCAGGCTTGTTGTACGCATGCTCACATAAAGTTTCACTCACGATCCAAGTGGTCACATGACTAACATGACAGTAGAGGATTAACAGTAACAACAAGGGCATACATGAGTGGGATAACATAGGTAGGTGTGACAACAAGGATGATGCTATCACAACACGATGGACAGAAAACACATAGCTAGAAGCCAATGGGGCATGAAGCCAATAAACAGGTGATTATTGTTTGATGAGTTCATAGTAGGCGGATGGGATGAAATGGCCTTGATCTCTGTTGATTGTTGGGTTGTGGCGGCGAATGTGGACTGCTTCTGTTAGTTTTCTTTTGGTGAAATCATGGAGGTTGTTGGCGAGGATTTGGACGTTGTCCCAGTTGATGATGTGATTGGGACAGTTGATGATATGGTCCGAGATGGCTGATTTGCTGTCGGATTTGATGGTGGAGGTTTTATGCTCTTTGATTCTAGTGTTGATTGGGCGGGAGGTTTCACCTGCGTAAGATTGCCCGCAGTTGCAGTCAACTTTGTAGACTACAACTTTAACCTCTTGGGGTTTAGATGTGTTCCTGCCGTTGGCTCTTAGCAGGGTGTTGAGGGAGTTGGAGCTGGTGAAGTGGGTGTCGATGTTGGCTTGCTGTTTGAGGAGGCGGCTGATGATGTGGGAGGCTTTTCCTATGAACGGGAGGGCGATGCGGAAGGGCGCTGATTCGGGTTTAGGGGCCGCATGTCTGGGTGTGGGATAGAGTACCGCCTCCCAACGCCTCATCACGGAACGAATCCGCCATCATCGCAAGATCAATGCCATCTCCCTCAAAGACATCTCTGACCACATCAACCAGCTCAACACTACCCTCCAGCCCGACACCTTCTCCTCACTGCGCTCTGCCCAGACCCAGGCCAACAACAAACTGCACACGAAGACCAAAGCCAACCACATCGACAAGTTTCAACACCTCCTTACCGAGAAGCCCCAAACCAACACCCCTAGTCAACTTAAAATAAAACAGCACCACTGTAAGACTGTCATCAACCTCAGTAAAAAGCAACTTACTACAGTACTGAAGTACATCCCCACCAGACCACTACGGAACCACGATGACTTCATCTCCAACATCGAGAAAGGGCTTCAGCAACTGGCACCAGGAGGTAAGGTTGACTACCTACGTCACCAGATCTGTGACATCCTTGGCAAAACCAAATCACAAACCCCCAACTTCACCAGAGCTGAGACAAAAGCCATCAAACAACTCCGGGATGACAACACCATCAAGATTGTCCCTGCTGACAAGGGCAAGGCCACAGTCATCATGGACACTGACCACTTCCATGAGCTAGTGAACAACATCCTCCAAGACCCCACCACCTACTCCAAGATCAAGAAGGACCCAACCACCAAACTCCTCCGCCAACATAAAACCCTCCTCAAACAACTTAAAGACAACTTTGAAATTAGCCAAGCTCTTCACAACCAACTCTCCATCAATCACCCCCAGCCACCCTATGCCAGAGCCACCATCAAAATCCACAAGAACCCTCCTAAAGCCCGTCTACTTGTGTGCTCCCGAGACACTGTCTTCTACAAAACGGCCCAACACCTAACCACAATCCTTGCCCCCTTAGGAAAAACAGCCGACTCCTTCATCTCTGACTTCACGGACTTCTGCTCCAAACTCAAGAACATCACCAATCCAGATCAAATCATCAGTTACGATGTAGTAGACCTCTTCACCAACGTACCCATAGATGACACTCTGCAAATTCTCCGCCGTCGCATCACTGAAACCCCTCCTGAAACCAGCTTAACCACAGAATCCATCATCGCCCTCACCACCGCCTGTATCTCCACCGCATACTTCACCTGGGGCGACGAGTATTATCAACAGATACACGGCCTACCCATGGGATCCCCACTGTCTCCTATCCTTACTGAAATCTACATGACCCACTTCGAACAGCAAGCCCTCACAACATCACCCATCCAACCTATTTGCTGGTACAGGAAAGTTGACGACACCTTTGTCATCCTCAAACAAGACCAAGACCCAACCCTGCTACTACAACATCTTAACCAACAACACCCCCGAGTACAGTTCACCATCGAAACAGAAAAGGACAACCAACTACCCTTCCTAGATGTCCTCGTCTGTAGAAACGCAGCTAACAGAATCCAAACCAGTGTCTACCGGAAGCCCACCCACACCGACCAGTATATCCACTTCAACTCTAACCACCCTCTCAGAACCAAGACTGGCATCATCTCCACCCTTACCAAACGTGCCATCAACCTTTCCTCTGCTGACCCCAAACCTGAGATCGCACACCTCCGCCAAGTCTTCACCCACCTCAACAATTATCTGGCCAAACTAGTCGACAAAGTCATCGCCTCTGTACTCTATCCCACACCCAGACATGCGGCCCCTAAACCCGAATCAGCGCCCTTCCGCATCGCCCTCCCGTTCATAGGAAAAGCCTCCCACATCATCAGCCGCCTCCTCAAACAGCAAGCCAACATCGACACCCACTTCACCAGCTCCAACTCCCTCAACACCCTGCTAAGAGCCAACGGCAGGAACACATCTAAACCCCAAGAGGTTAAAGTTGTAGTCTACAAAGTTGACTGCAACTGCGGGCAATCTTACGCAGGTGAAACCTCCCGCCCAATCAACACTAGAATCAAAGAGCATAAAACCTCCACCATCAAATCCGACAGCAAATCAGCCATCTCGGACCATATCATCAACTGTCCCAATCACATCATCAACTGGGACAACGTCCAAATCCTCGCCAACAACCTCCATGATTTCACCAAAAGAAAACTAACAGAAGCAGTCCACATTCGCCGCCACAACCCAACAATCAACAGAGATCAAGGCCATTTCATCCCATCCGCCTACTATGAACTCATCAAACAATAATCACCTGTTTATTGGCTTCATGCCCCATTGGCTTCTAGCTATGTGTTTTCTGTCCATCCTCTACTGTTAATCCTCCACTTGCTATATATATTCTGCACTATGTCCCTCATTCAGTCTTGCTTGACAACGGTATAAGGATCTATACCGAAACGTCGCTTTTTACAGTATTAAAGAAGTTGTTATCCATAAAATTGTGTCTATCTTGTCATCCGCCAACTTCTAAGTAATGCCTATCAAACAAGACTAACATGACGTTCAGCAACCAGCACAATACAATGTTAAGCATCCGGACAACACAGTTATATAACCTTTGTAAGTCCTGGTTCTCGCATAGGAGAGGGCGAACGACATTATACCAGCCCTCCAATCCAGGGAGGGCTGTTCTGCTACCCTTTGTTGTTTTAAGCCGCACTAATGAATATACCAGCTCTGTGACGGCGGTCTGTAAATATTCGAGTCTGGACCAGACATCCAGTAATTGACATCATGAGTATCGATCCACGCAATTGGGATACGATGATATACGTCAACGAAGTCAGCGAGCCTGACTATCTGATCCCCTTAGTCGCCTCTTACGAGAAGCATAGTCGCCTGTTACGGCAAGCATGGGTTGCTGAAGACCTATTCTACCCCGGATCTTCACGAGTCTCTGCTACACCCTTGGGTGTCGAGGATGGTTTAAGTCTACTGCCGTGCACGTGCATGTGTGTTTCAGATGCGTATGTTGGAGAGCTGGTGGACAGACTGACCACGTGTGGCGCGGAGGTGGAGGTGCTCGTGTACTCCGTCCCCGAACTGACCAGCAGACACCAGTGGCGACAGACGCTGACCTATGTTCACAAGCTGCTGCATCAGAGTGGGGTCTACTTCCTGCTTGCCGGAACCCGGGCCACCGCCATGAACACACTAGCTCGGGTAGGTACTGCGTGTCGGCTGATTTGTTTGTTATTTAACGCCGCACTCAGCAATATTCCAGCTATATGACGGCGGTCTGTAAATAATCGAGTCTGGACCAGACAATCCACTGATTTACTGGATGAGCAGCGATCCACGAAATCGGGATACGATACTATTTGTTAGTACCTTGACCTGGAGAAGATTACTGTACTAAAACTATTTGGGATAGAAAGGATCTCTTAAACCAATGCTGGTGAGCGAGTCGAGTTATAGTCACCTTTTACGGCTTGCATGGGTTGCTGAAGACCTATTTTACCCCAGATCTTTATGGGTCGCGTGTCGGGTGAGGTAAGGTGGGGTGAAATAGGGTTTAACGTCGCGTTCAAGATTATTCCACATATATAGCAACGAGCATGTGTGTGTGCGTGCGTGCGTGCGTGCGTGCGTGAATGTATCGTAGTACGGACTAATGTCGCTTTAACCTGCTATCCCACTGAGGTACCAAGCCACAGTTATGAATATCTCACTCTCACAGACACATTATACTGAATCCCTGCCGACCAGTCCTTGTTTTATCCCAATGCCGAGCACCAGGTAAGGTGGCAAGTATCTTTTTTAAACGTCCTTTGGTATGACGCAGCCTGGGATCGAACCACTGGACCACGGAGGCAGTCGTAGAACTTAAGAGTGAGTTGGAGTTGCGCCGCCTGATTAGAGCCAAGTGACATGACGCTAAAATAGACAGACAGACAGACAGACAGACATGTTTATTCAGTAAAAGGCCAATGGCCCAAAATACAGACATGTGAGCATGACATTTAATGACTAAAATAGTTGGCTATTGAAGTTACACACAAGAGCGAGAGAAATTATTTGATAAGAAGTACGAGAGATGGATATGCTGACGTCACTTCCTGAACGAAACTATGGATATTTAACGCAATACATTGATGATATAAAACACTGTATAATCGAGGATGAAAAAATGCAATATTTAACCAAATTATTTGTCCAAATGTCTTCGAGCGAAGCTATATGGTATGATGCCACCAAGTCCTGTGACATCATCTTTCATCAGCAATGGGAACTGACATACATACTTACCAAATTCCCATTTCTTTTAGAAAAACGTTTTCGAAGCTTACTTTGTTACCGATGAAAACTATATTCAAAGGCGATGCCCAGTAAATAACCGTACTTTTAAAGAGATAATGTTTTGATAAACCAGATATATCATCAACTGGGTCACTTTGGAAGTTATACACCCCTGTCGTTGTGAGCTCGACTGCTACATGTATTTTACAGGTAAATTCGTTCGACCGCGGATCAGATCGGACAACTAACTTCCGACACCTCTCTCACTGGCTGGTGCTGACTGATGTCTCCGCCCCTCAGAGGCTCCTGCCAGCCGTAGACAGTTTGGAGAACGTGGTACTGGTGGCTCTTCCTACCCAGCATCAGAGGATTGCCAGGATTGGGGAGTTGGTGGTACGTTTACACTTTATACCGAGCCAGCTATAGAATTTTTACTGACCTTAGACTCCGTTAGAATTCCTACCATTCGAAAGATTGTCGAAAGACGCGACTTCACCGTGCAGAGTTGCATCCCTTAGTAATTCCAGGATCATCTGATCTGTACATGTACATCTGTACATGCTTAACAACATACATTTAAACATAAAACATGGATATCTCACACCGTGGGTAAGAATTCTTGGCACTCTGAAAAGATTGTCGAAAGAAGCGACTTCACCGTGCGGAGTTGCATCCCTTAGTACTTCCAGGATCATCTGATCTGTACATGTACATCTGTACATGCTTAACAACATTCATTTAAACATAAAACATGGATATCTTAACCAAATAGGCCAAATCCATAGTTTATGATATTCATGGATTATAAACTTTCTCAAATAAACTTTGGTGCGTTTCAGGATTTCCTTGGATCTGGCATTGGTGCACGTTTCAACCTGACATCCCAGGAACTTAAAGGCAAGAGTGACACAGAGCTTAAAGAGGATGTTGTCGGATACATTAAGAAAGTGAGCATAGTATAAGAATCACTTCTTGGTATAGAATTAGAATTGTATATAATAAATAGTGTTGGATAATACGTTTTTTAGTGAGTGAGTGAGTGAGTGAGTGAGTTTGGTTTAACGCCGCTTTTAACATTATTCCAGTTATATCACGGCGTGTCAGCTTAATGTGGGAGGAAAGCCCAACGTTTTTAGTGATGGCAAAGAATCGTCTAATTATTTGAAAGTGGTCAGTAAAGATCTTAAAATCCAATTAACTGTAATACTGCAAATATTTCACGGTAACCGCCTTGTTGAATCTGAGATAATTTCTGTATTATCAATGTTCCTCAGTTGCTTGATGACCACAAGGACACCCTGAACATGTATACCCTGACGGAGGTGCGACATATGGCGAGGTTTGCCAGGGTACACGCAAAGGACATACCACACAGCGGTCTCGGGAACAAGCTTTTTCCCAATAAGAAGTACAAGTGGAACGGCGTTCGTCTTCTCATATCCACAAAACCGGTATGGAAATCCTCTTAGTGTTAAAAAATAATTACATACTACCTGACCCGTGAAGATCCGGGGTAGAATAGGTCTTCAGCAACCCATGCTAGCCGCAAAAGGTGACTATGCTTGTCGTAAGAGGCGACAAACGGGATCAGGTGGTCAGACTCGCTGACTTGGTTGATGCACGTCTTTGTGTCCTAATAGCGTGGATCGATGCTAACGATGTCAATCACTGGATTTTCTGGTCCAGACTCGATTATTTACAGACCGCCGTCATAAAGCTGGAATATTGCTGATTGCGGCGTTTAACAACAAGCACAAAAATATATATATATAAACTACTGAAAAAAGTTACGGACCACCCGATTCTTTCCTATTACTAGAGTTAAACTATTAAGCATGATTAACTATAGTAATATGAAAGAATCGGGTAGTCATAACATTTTCTATTTGTAGTTTATTAGTTCCATAACAACCCTCCCAAAATCGGATGGGTTGTCCTTTTTTGGCTAAGTCTTTGCCTCTTTGAAAACGGGAAATTGCGTTATGTCGGTATAGGCCTGCTTTCATGTGAATATAGTGACTCGTGTTTCGGTAGTGAAGCGCCACCAATTTGCGCTAGCGGCATAAAATACTGATAAGACCAAGAAGGTGGAAAAAGCTATGGTGCAACTCTAAAAACAGGTTAAGGGTCGGCGGCTCCAGACTAGGGTCGGTCTGGAAACACACACATACTTTTCATACCTTACCAAGATATTATCAACAATACCGTGAAAACCGCACTGTAACAAATATGATTAATCTTCCAGAACTGAAAAATATTCTCCAGTAAAATTTTAATATCATGCTCTGTCGGTCGCCCGTCTGTCTGACCTCCAATAAACCTTTCTGAACCATATGAATTTGCTTAACATGAGCTACGGCGTCAAAGCGACAAAGTATTTGACACGTTGTGGTTCCCATGCTGATTTCCTCCTCAGTGGCCGGGTTACGTTGAGAAGAGCACGGTGGCAAACAAGACCGCCTACAGCGGGATGTGCATTGATCTTCTGCACTCTATGGTGGATGCAGTCAATTTCACGTGAGTTATAGCAGAATGTACAATAACAACCAGCAGTGATTTTACAGTCTCATGAACCGATCTGAATCCCTGGACCAGAACTGGTTGAGAGTTGGTTGGGGTAAGCCAATGATCATTCGAATGAACTATAAACTCTCCGAGATTGACTCGATTGTTCAATAACATTGTATTCCTGACGGTGATTCTCAGAAGGTGAGTTTGTTTGTGACATCTTAAAAACAACTCATTACGTCTGTGTTTCAGATACACAATTGAGGAGGTGGAAGATGGGGAATGGGGGGCCCTTGTGAATGGGTCGTGGACAGGACTTGTTCGTCAGCTGAAGGACAGGGTAAGAGTGAGGGAGTCAGGTTTTACACCGCATTTTCCACCATTCCTGCAATATCACGGCGGGAATACCAATAACCATCTTCCCGAGGCAAGAGAGTTAACTGACTATAAAAGTCCAGTTTCCACCCTTGCCGAACTAGGCTTGTATTATGGAGTTACATTTTGGCTGGACTAACGAGTCTATGCATAGTCCAATCAAAATCGCGCACCGAAATTGAAATCGGGTTCGTAAACTGTCGTGCAGATTTCGGTCGATTGCAGGATTTGCAAAGCATGTGCACCACCAACTCGTTGTCAGCAGATATTTTCCAAATCTTCTCATGTGATTTGATGCATTTCGCGTTTTATCACAATATAGATATTGATTATCGATCAGATCGTCCTGACCGGGCGCAACCATTTTGTGTGAAGCAAACGCAAGTGATACAAGAGGTGGAATCTGATTGGTCCTTAGGAAAGGCTTAGAAGGGACATAATTGGTGATAGCCACTGGTGGCGCTACGATCGAGCCCAGTAATTCCAGCCTAGTTCGGCAAGGGTGGAAACTGCCTCGCCTCGGGAAGATGACCAATAACGGGCTCCATATGAGGAATCGAACCCGGGTCTTCGGTATGACAAGCGAACAGTTCACCGACTAGGCTACCACATCGTCTCAGTAGGGTTGGTTGTTGTTGTTTGTTTGTTGTTTAACGCCACACTCAGCAATATTCCAACTATATGACGGCGTTCTCTAAATAATCGAGTCTGGACCAGACAATCCAGTGATTTACATCATGAGCATCGATCCATGCAATTGGGACACGATGACATGTATCAACCAAGTCAGCGAGCCTGACGATCCCGTTAGTCGCGTTTTACGACAAGCATAGTCGCTTTTACGGCAAGCATGGGTTGCTGAAGACCTATTCTATCCCGGTTCTTCACGGGTCAGACTGCGTGTGAAGTTGCTCATAATACCAACCTTTGGAATGTCTGGTCTAAACCCCCACACACACCACCCACCCACCCACCAAGGGTTATATCTCAATCTGGTCGCTGACACTCATTCTCCAGGTAAAGGGGCAAAAGACATTCATTCCGGTTTGAAACCTTTTCTTCCAACATTCCGAGAATGTCAACTCCACGTTATTAACATTCAGGTAATAGACATCGCTCTCGCCGACATCGGTATCCACGCCAGTAGAGACGCCGTAATGGACTTCATCTACCCCGCATACAAAACCGAGGACATTGACATTCTCTACCGTCTCCACAACGAGACCGACCTGAGTCTCAAGGACCTGACCACGCCATTACAACCAATAGTCCTGGTCACCATTGCCGTCTGTCTCGGCGTTGTCACCGTGCTGTACGTCGTGGTGGAGTATGCAGACATCTTGCTGGAGACGAGGTGGAGGCCGAGGCAACTTCCGGTCCTGCTGTGGAAAGCAGTGTGGTACATGCTTGGGTCCATTTTGTCACAAGGTGGGTCTTCATCATAATGCTGTATCAGCGGAATACCAGATTGTATCAAGATAGACACATTTTTTATTGATAACAACTTCTTTAATACTGGATACAGATTGTATCATCGGAATAACATATGAATAAATTTGATGAATAGAAGAGCCAATGATAAGTTCCAAAAGACTGGGGCGGTTGGGTAGCCTGGTGGTTAAAGACAATTTCCTGCCATTGTCAGGTACTCTTCGTTTTTATGTGTTCCGTGACTTCTTCCCATCAGTATATATAGGGGCGGTCAGGTAGTCTGGTGGTTAGAGCGTTCGTTCGTCACGCTGAAGACCCGGGTTCGATTTGCCACATGGGTACAATGTTTGAATCCCAATTCTGGTGTCCCCTCCGTGATATTGTTATATTGCGAAAAGTGGCATTAAAACCACACTCACTCACTCCAAAAGATCCCCAGGATCCATAACTCTGATAAGATACCTCGCCTTGTGAAGATGATTTTCAAGCGGAGATGTATGGTAGCGGAGTTAGAATTAGGTTTTTATGATATTAGACAGTCAAATAAAGTAGTTGCAATTCATCGCTGGAAAGATTTTTGTACCATGGGCTTTGCTACATTTTTCGGTGTCTTAATATGTTTTTCAAACACTAATTTCTAAAGCGAAGGGAAAAAAAGATGTTACCTTTCTGGTAGTACTATGTCCTAAATAGGAGATAGTAAGTCCTACGTATAGGAGATGTGAAGTCCTGCGTAGAAGATACTAAGTCCTACGTAGAAGATGCGAAGTCCTGCGTAGAAGATACTAAGTACTACGTAGAAAATACTAAGTCCTACGGAGGAAGTACTGAGACAAAAATAAATCACCGCGGCCCCACTACGCTTCCGTAATTGCCCATATCTGTCAAGCTATCATTACGGGTCTTGTATGCCGCAGCTGACCCTCTGGTAAGGTGCCGTTCCGCTCTGTTCGCGTTGTGCAAGTGTCTTTGATCAGTGCATTGATATGATTATTTTTCGATCCTTTGCGTAAGGTACGTTTTCATATTTTTCGTGTAGGTGGGTCGTTGCGGGCGAGGTCGTGCAGTGGCCGGATGCTGGTGTCGTCGTGGTGGTTGTTCTGTTTAGTGTTCGCCGCCATGTACAACGCCAATCTCACCGTGTCCTTCTGTGTACAGCGCACGGTCACCCCCTTCAGCTCGCTGGAGGAAATGCTCCGCACCAGCGACTACACGTGGGGAATGTTCAACGGATCCATCAACACTCTGCTGTTTGGAGTACGTTGATTACAGCCATGCCATACAGTAAAACAGTCGTTCACATCGTCTAAATCAGTAGTATCATCAACATTGTGATGTCTTTGGTGTCATAATTGGTGTCTGAACTAACTTACAAATTAAGTATTATTCCATTCGTATATGTCGGAGTGTATAATCTTCAAATGATCTGCTATAATATACTTAACCTTAACTATCACTTTGACCCTTGGATATCTCAGAGGAAGGTCCAGGCAGATGAAAATACACACTTGAAAACTAGATTTGACTCACAAAATTCAAATGTTATCAAAACGTTACTGGGTTGAAGAGTCGTTGAAACACAGCAAACTTAAGGTGCAAAACACAACTTTGATACCCGTATCAAATGCATAACCCATTTCGATGTAGTCCCGTCAAAGCTTCTAAAGACTTAAAACGCCACCAGGTACTTCCAGTCAAAACACCCTACTTCCAAGTCTCAGTATGGTACAGAGAAAGAGCAACAGTAACTGCCGGTGGAGACACAACCATGTTTAACAATAACCTTGACCTTTGATAGATATGGCACCAACATTTCATGTTGTGGTATTTTGGAAGATACATGCAACTAAATTTCATGTCCAGTCGTCCATGGCAATTTGCAGAGTTGCTTCCCAGGAACCTATGGTCGCAGGTTTTCATCGCCAATTCGTCCTGATTATGTTTCAGGTTTGTCAGCACTTTACCATAGGGTGTATGTCCAAGACTTTCATCACAGGCTTTTCTCCTAGATCAAGCTGGCATGCTGTGATATAACTGCTATACTGTTCAAAGCTGTGTTAAACCCAACACTATTATATAAAATGTCTTCTTCATACATACGACATGCCTGTAGATCATTAAATTATGATCATCAGCAACCCATGCTGGTCGAAAGAGGCTACTAGCTTGATCCTGGGGTCAGGCTCGGCGACTCGGTTGGTGCATGTCATCGTATCCCAGTTGCGTAGATCGATGTTCATTATGTCAATCACTGGATTGTCTGGTCCAGATAAAAATGTTTATAGCATAAACAAGAAGCAACCAGTTTAGACCAATTAACCAGAAGGTACCGCTTTCGTAAGTCGTGATATGCAGCATTAAACAACAAACAAACACTATGACAAATATAGGGGTAGGAAGAGCACTGTGTTGCAATTCCATTGTAGCGAAATATCCGTGGACGCCAGTTTTGGATGATTAAAAATAGAATTTCACCTATGTGTCTTTTGATATCAAATATATCAACACAATGAAGCCAAGGAGTTTTTAAAACTTTTAGCGATGAGTGTTGATATTATTTATATCAAAGAAACGCTCGGGTGCAATTCTGTTTGTCATCTAAAATCATTCTTCCAACTCTTTAAGTTTGTAAAAAGAAATAACCAGTGTCTTGAGAGTAAAAAGTTGAGCTGACCAATTTCACTGGCAGAGGTTAGTGATGTCATTTGATTGTGATTTCATCTCACCAAAGTGATATCTCTTGTGGAGAGTAGTTTTGGATGATAATATCTTTTACACTTGTGTTGTCAGACATCAAGGAACCCCTTATTCAAAGAGACATATAAGCGGATGATGGAGTTCACCAAGACAGACCCTGGCGTCCTGAGCAAGGACCTTGATTCCCAGCTGCACAGGGTCATCAACAGCAAATACGCCTTTATCTCCAGTAGGAACACACTGAAGGTCATGGTGGAAAGGGCTCCAAAGGGCGTAGTGCTCACCACTGTGGGGGAGACCATACACCCATCAGGGGTGGCGCTGGGGGTGCCAACTGACTCGCCGCTCCTTCCCGAGCTTGAGTGGGTGTAAGTGGCATGCCAATATGAATTGATAAAGACGTAAATAAGTTGGCGGAATCCTGCAAACTGTTTATAAGGATTTCGGACTGAAAACAAAACAAAAAAGTTAAAAACTGTCTTTGATCTGTAATGTTAATCTTATTCAATGCTCACTTCAAAAGTATTAAGGGCATACATGTTTGGAGGTAAGTGATTGTTTATAGATTTTAATAATATTCATGCATTTTTTAGTCCCCTTTTCCCTGGTAGATATAGTAACTGCAGCTACACTTCTTATGGGTTCATGGTTTGTTTCAGAATGAGAAACATCCAAGAAACTGGTATCATGCAGCACTGGGACAGCCAGTATTGGAACACGACTCCGAAAGCCACAGCTGCCTTTAGACTAGGGGGAGAACCATTGCCTCTCACAAAACTTACCAGTATTTTCTTAATTACTGGCTTTGGTCTTTCTACAGCTTTGTTTGTGTTAGTAATTGAATCAGTGTTTCAAAAAATACTCACTAAAGCAAGAAAAAAGTGAATATTTTTGACAAAATCTATTCGAAATAAAACCCAATCTCAATAAAATCAGACCTTAGTTCTCACTACCGCTAAACAAAGATCTGAAGACAACCCATTAGGGGTCATGTCAGAACGACCTTTCATCTGACCAATCAGAACGTCGCTTACCAGATTATGAAAGTGACAGTCAGAATGTGATTTCTAATCATGCAACCTCGAAAACTTAAATGTGGGGTATTCCGAACGATAGTTACGGGTTTAACGACTGAATCCTTACAATCTAGACCATCTATTAGCCATTCCAAAATGTTTTTTGTTAAGGTTTCAAATTTGTAATTGAGAATTTGTCAAAATATGTTTCGAAGCGTAGTCACCGAGTTGAAATTAGTGCCGTAAAGCACAAGAAAGCTGCCCTCTGATTGGTCATTCCATTGGTTGGTCAAAGTTCGCGCAAGGTCGGTCTGACGTGACCTGTAATGGGATGTCCTCAGATCTTTGTTTAGCGGTAGCGAGAACTAAGATCTGATTTTAATAAGATTGAATAAAACCTCTCCTGATATGTTTGTGTTGATGTTTTTTCTATAAGTGTTTGGGTAAACCCCAAAGACAAAATATGAATTGATCATCAGGCGAATACATCATTTATGATACATATTATACATATATATATGTTTCTAAGGCAGAGTAATGCTAGGCTTGTAAAATGAAATGGAATTTTCACTGAAAGGTCATAAGTTATGTATGCTTTGCAAAGAAGTTAAATCCTCCAAGACTAACCTGGCTAAAGTGTAAAAAAGGTTGTCTATCCATGCCAATGCTTCTTCTTATCCTCATGATTTTAATTATAACACAGTACTCTACAACTGTTCCAACTACATCACTGTGGCCAGTTCTTAGGCAGACAAATGTTGGGAACAATCATCCCGATTATATCTATTCTATTTTGGGCGAGATGCAGGGTCTTGTCTTGAGTGTTGGGTCACCTCAGGGCTCTCTGCTACCCAGTTGTCATTGCAAGTCAAGTTCATGGCCGAGATGCAGGGTCTTGTCTTGAGTGTTGGTCCACCTCAGGGCTTTTTGCTACCCAGTTGTCATTGCAAGTCAAGTTCATGGCCGAGATGCAGGGTCTTGTCTTGAGTGTTGGTCCACCTCAGGGCTCTCTGCTACCCAATTGTCATTGCAAGTCAAGTTCATGGCCGAGATGCAGGGTCTTGTCTTGAGTGTTGGTCCACCTCAGGGCTCTCTGCTACCCAGTTGTCATTGCAAGTCAAGTTCATGGCCGAGATGCAGGGTCTTGTCTTGAGTGTTGGTCCACCTCAGGGCTCTCTGCTACCCAGTTGTCATTGCAAGTCAAGTTCATGGCCGAGATGCAGGGTCTTGTCTTGAGTGTTGGATCACCTCAGGGCTCTCTGCTACCCAGTTGTCATTGCAAGTCAAGTTCATAGAATCAATTACCACTCAGAAACATAACAATACATGTATGGTAACGACAATCACAAACAGAACTAATGCAGAAAATGCATGTTTCACAGGTATTATTTAATTCAGTATCAAATGTACTAACATAAACACAAGATGTACTAGTAATTCTTTTGTAATTCTTGCATAAATAGTTGAAAAGAATGAAACAATTTACTTACTTTATGTATAGACAGACATATAAATTATGTAAGACTACATGAAAGCTGATGGGCAATTATTGCATTATAGTGTCATGCTAACTTTGTCAATTTCTCGCTGACTTCCCACAACTTTTTAGCAACACCATCATCATTTGATGCTTGATGCCATGGTTCCATCTTACAATTTCCATAATATTTTCCTGTTTCATTTGCTACTTCTTCAGCAACACTGCAATATAAAACTGTTTGACAACCCTCAAAATTTGTGCGTGCACCAAGCAGGAGAGCCAATGGTGTTAATAGAGACTTAATGAACCCTGGCACCACATGTCTGCTGACGTTAGACATTACCATTCCTGGGTGCACGCAATAAACAGAGACGTTGCTACCATATAACTGCCGGCTTAATTCCCTTGAGAAATGAACATTTGCTAATTTGCTGTTGGCATAGCTCTTAGACTTGCTATAAAACCGCTCACTTTGGAGGTCATCGAAGTCGATAGTTCCTCTCTTATGAAGAGATGACGTAACAACAACCACTCTACTTGGTGCAGATTTCTTTAACATGTCTGTTAGCAAATTCGTCAATAAGAAATGACCAATGTGATTAACACCCATCTGCATCTCAAAACCATCTTTGGTTTTGGTGTACGGACATTGGAAGACTCCAGCGTTGTTTATTAATACGTCTAATCTTTGTTCTTCTTTCTGCAAGCTATCAGCAAATTTCTGTATAGAGACTACTGACGCTAGATCAAGGTACTTTACAACCAGCTCCCCGCCTTGCGTGCGTCGTCGGATTTCGTTGACTGCTTTCGTTGCTTTGCCAACATCTCTACATGCTAAAATCACCCTTGCGTTTCGTTTGGCTAACTCCGAGGCAGTAGACTTTCCGATACCACAGTTAGCACCCGTTATCACTACCGTCTTTCCTGTCATCATTGCCTTACTTGGACATATTTTCGCACTGTTCACGATCCTACGCAGGACCAGCAAAGACACGGAAACACCACTTGCGACCACAACCCAGAACCACGCCATGTTTGTTTACATCAGCCTAAATCGGAAATAACAACAATATTGATTGGCTGAACGTTTTTGCTTCTGCCCAATCATTTCACAGAGCAGACGAACTCTCAAAAGGGCGGATAACTCTAATATGAGTGAATGAGCAGGGTGAAAACAAAATGTTTGCTAACAAAGTTTGGAAAACGTTCGTCACAGGTACGAAGAAAGTAAATTAGTTCATATGTGATAAAGCTGTTTTTCTATATAGATATTTATTAATGTTATGTATATGTTTACTGTACATTAAATGAAAATCCGTAAAATTAGATACAGTTGGCAATGTCAGAGCCTAGGCTACCCGTACCACTACCAGTGGTCAAAGTCCATAATTATGTCCCTCACTGACGTAGTCTGCGAAAACGAGTTTGTGGGGGCCGGGGGGATTTGTCATCTTCTGTTAGGTTTTATCAGCCTATACTATATCTTAAAATTTAAACAATATTTGTGACCAACCATGAGATAAGGGACCTTGAGTTATGGGTGAAAAATCACATTTTGACTTCTCATTATTTTTTTAAACAACACTATCAGGAAAACAAAAATACAATACACAATATACAAATAGGGAATAAGACGATATTTTTGCTGTACGTTCATAGGAACAAGAAGTCGAAGTCAGTTACAGTATGTTGTGAGAGCCATGTGTAGTGCACAGACTCCCAAGTTCGAGACTCTGAACGTCACCAGACCGCGGGACATGGTGGTTCAGGTCGAGCTGAACAGACCTGAGAAGCGGAATGCCATGAACCAAGCTTTCTGGAGGTACAGCATTTACTGCACATATGTATGTTTTCCTGTCAAAGTTAGTTTCTGCGCGGATTGCAACATCTGTTGTAAGAACAGATTTTTCATATCATTCAGGCTCAAGTATCTATGAGAGATATTTTAGATATGTATGTTAAAGGGGCACTGATCTAACGCAATTCCCCGGACTGGTTGTTGCCTTTGTTATTGTTTTTTTTCCCCGCGAGTACCCGGATGATACGCAACGCAACTGAGCGTGACCAGAGACTGGCTACCGTCTGCAAGGACAGCTAAATAAACTTGGAGGCTGGAGGCAATATTTGTTTTACGCATTTTTGCATAAACACTGATTGGTTAACCGTGATCTAAAAAGATTTCGACAAAGGGCGCATGTTAATTAATTTCTTCAGCCTAAACTAACAGACAAAAAGAATGGCGGAGCTCATCGGATGTCGTCATTTGGAAATACCCCAGATGGTTGTAGTTTAACACTAAAAAAAGTATCCATGCAGTGAAAGCATTTTCGGATTTCGGATTGCGTTGATAATACGATTACTACTCCCTTGTTGTCATCCACGTTTTCTGGTATAACCCTACACTTGTGTATTTGTCGTCATTCACTTGATGCTCAGTTAATGAATTTATTACAAGTACAATTAGTGGAAGCACCACTTAGATTACATGACAAAGGTTCCCATTTGGCATTTATTGTGTCTGGGGTAATTATTCAATCTAAATCCAGGTTTGAAGTGAGGTGAAATGTGTGTTATGTAATATGCACGTGGCAGACCAGCAAGAGGTGAATGATCAGTTGATTTCCTTTTTTTTTGTAAATCCACGGATCGTTCCTAGTCATCAAAGGATTAACAGAAAATACATTGATTGATTAATCACTGTTATCTTGCACAGTGGATATGTCAAAAGTGAGTGTTTACACGTCTAGGTTTACTGAAACAAAGGGAATACACTCATATCCTTGCGTGAAGTGCCGATGTAAAAACAACATACTTTGTTCAAAGGGTTAACTGATAATCCGCTGATTGATTGATCATTGTTATCTATCACTCAATGGATTTTTTAGGAACCGTGGACGTTATGAAAATAGTTGTCACGTGGGCTTTCTCAGCTGACCCTTGAGACTTGACACCTATGTGAAACACCCGAAACAATCCAAGTGATCAATTGAGAAACGATATATATCTTTTAAAATATGTGATTGTTACAGAGACACGTGACATCGAATAAGTTTCTTTGTACAGCTGCAGACGAGTGGGCTATTGTTCCTTTGTGTGGATATTCACGGATACATTCCTCAAACAAGGAAGCTGCCTAAAATTTATACACATAAATTTGGTAGGTTGTACTTATGGTATTTGCATTTTGTTTTCCTTCATTTGCTGTAGCATTGAACCGATTCGTCCTTGTTTTTCTACGTCTTGGTTGGGAAATTCTTCAATGCGCGATAGACGTTGTTTTCCCAGGCCTTTTCCCTTGTAAGCGTGTATATATTACCGTCAATTTGTAAAATGTAATTCTCTCAGGCAATTTATAAAATGTGTAAATATTTCATTCATTTTGACTAAAAAAATCTGTCCAGATTGATTAAGACGATAAAAAGGGCCTACAAACATCACAACAGATTACTATGTAGGATTAGAAGCCAAACAACATAGAAATGTACTTTTCAACGTAACATTTTCAGTCTCTTGGTGATGACATTAAATATCAAAATGTTTGGAATTCGTTATCATAATAATACAGATGGAAATGTTTTTCAGTCACTTTGTTAAATAACTGAATATTTAGGCGTTTAATAAATTTTAAAATGTGACACATTTTGACAAAAATATACACACTATCAAAAAGCAATGCTCAGGTGAAACTTTGTGTTGCAAGTCAAAATAGTGTAAACGAAAATCGCAAAATTACCAAGCAAGTGACTTATCAAAACTACGTCACCATTACCGATGCTACCCACAAAGATACCTACATTTCCTTATTATCTCGAAAACTGTATTTCATTTTGTTGATCAATGTGACCATACGCCCTTATTACTACCCATACAAGTGACTAATGCGCTTATGAATGGCGCAGCAGAGGTCGCGAACTAGTCTAGATTTCTGCTGTACATCCGGGTACTCACTGGGAAAAAACAATAACAAAGGCAACAACCAGTCCCGGGGAATTGCGTTAGATCAGTGCCCCTTTAACAGTAGTTACATGTATGTATGGTTTCAGTTTCGTATGCAATACGCACTCCTGTTTAATTTGTATTGTTTTTGAATTTTTCGTTAAACTTTTTGAAAGTGTACACATATTTGTGCTTGATAACATAGGTTTTTATCAACAGTAGTTTTGAGCACATGTGTACAAAACTATGTTTTCAGTTTTGTATGCAGTACGGATACAACACTAAAAATACTCCCTCCTGCTTTGTCTGTTTTGTTTATGTTATTGTTTATGACCTATGTGGGATATTCAAGTCAGCATCTATGTCCATCAGACATTGCCATAACTGTTGTGTGATACATTACTTGGATGTATGGGTATTATTATCTCCTGCCACGAAGTGGAAGGGGTATATAGGAAGGGGTGCCGTCCTTGGCGGTAGTCCTCGTTTTCGGAGCAGATCTTGAAAACTGTTCAATATTACTTCACCAAACCTTGCGCATAAATAGGTCTAGTGGAAAACTGGTGCCTTTTGATACTTTGGGATTTAAAAAAAAAAGTTTTTTAAATTTCCCAGGCTACGACTTTGACTTAGTCTGAAAATGGCGGTAGACCTCTTTTCTGGAGCTTATCTTGAAAAACATACAATATTTCTTCACCAAACCTGGCTCATTAAAAAGGTCTAGCAGTAAACTGGTGTCTATTGATACTTTGGGATTTTTGAAAAAAATATTTTTTGAGTTTCCCTGGCAACGACTTTTACTTAGACTGAAAATGGCAGTAGTGCTTGTTCCCGGAGCAGAAAACCGTACAATATTCTGTCATGGTTGAAAGAAAACAGTATCCAGGAACTTAAGCATGGGGCCTCACAATCCACAAGTCTCAAGGTAGCACCTTTGAGCAGATGATTGGGAACATGACAATTACACAAGGAAGTAAATTTAAAGCCCAGCCTGGTCAAGTGTATACAATGCTCAGTAGGGTCAAATTAAGGATAAAACTTGTAGGTTTTGCTGAACACAAAATTGTAGTAAACAAAAAAGCATTGGATGAGATGACTAGATTGCCGAATGAAAGATTATTCATGGTGATGGACTCAAGGTGGCTCATTTGAATGTTCGATCCCTCAATGTTCATTTCGAAAATGTGAAGAAAGATTGGTTTCTTGTCGGCAAGTTCTGCATTGCTTGTGTGTATGTTCCTCCAAAAATGTCATGGACACGGTTGTCGCATACACTTACTAACTTCATGCAGAAACTTCAGGATCTCTCCAAGCAGCATAAATGTGAACATGTCATAGATACTGGGGATTTCAACTGTGATCTGAGTGAAAAACTGAAACTTGAAGATTTCTTTAATGTGCGGAAAATGACTCAACTCATTCACTCTCCAACTCACTGTCTTGGAGCTATACACTGGACTTGTTGTTTACTGATCATGCCAGTGCTGTAGCATTCCATACTCCAGTCTACTACTCGGATCATCAGATGTTTGGTGCTGTACTTCTCAGTACACCACATGGTGACCCCTGCTCTCACTCTTCTCAAAGTAAAGTAAGAACTCCCTTACTTCTCTGATTATTGTTTAGGTAATGACACAACTCATTACAAATACAACAGTGTAACTGCATCTTAAACCTACTCAGCTGTATAAACACTGCCTCCTATCCTGTATATATTCTTGTCAACCATACTCTGTACTTCACTTGCTTGATAACGGTGTTAGAATCTACACTGAAACCTTGCTAATTGTAATAAAGAAGTTGTTCGTCCATATGTCTCATCCTTACTCATTACAAATACAGTTACGTTTTCTATCATAAACTGCAGATGGCAAAACAACACCAGTAATAACTTTTTTTAGTTCTGCAATTAGGCCATTTACAAAAAGGCCCAGTGAACATAGTTCACAGGAGCTAATGCACTGCACACAACCGGACATGTCATATTGGCAGGGTATATGTGTATTTCATGCTTGTTTGTATTGTTTTTAAGTTTTTGTTCCAAATTTTCAAAGTGTACACATGTTTGTGCTTAAAAAAAACGTGGGTTTTCTCAAAGTTTTTTTTGCAATGCAGTTTACCAAGGGCAATTGTGCTAATTGGCTCAGGTTGCTGACTCTGGTTCTCGCTTCTGAGATCTCGCAAGCCTCTTCGATCCTTAGGGTTAGTTGTGTTGGTTACCCCCAACTCTATCCTTAGCCCGTGGATCCCCTTTCCAATCCAGCACCCCTTTACGATCCTTAGCGTTAGTTGTTAGGTGGGGTATGGGTTGGCTGTCTCTTTTAATGAACAAGCCATTATAATTTGAGGAAATACATTAGAATTTTTATCAAGTTTCAAGTTTTGTGTTGAAAATGGCCAACTGAAATCTGAAAAGGGCGCCTGGTAAGGTGTCTTACTTCCAATAATTATTATTAATTGTTTTAAAAACACAGATATTTATCAAACACAGCTATTCTATTTGCATCAAACCTTTGAAAGCTATATGGTTTAGGATTATTCATAAAACAAGAAGATGAAATAATCTGGTCTCAGTTATGAATGATACATGCTCATAAATGGCCGCCCTTATCATGCTTGTGCTCATACAAATGAATGGCGTGAGTCAGGGAGCCATTCAGGTTTTCTCCAGTCGTATTTGAATCTAGGAACCACCTCAATATTTCATTCTTAATGTTTTTCGATTGACAACGTTCCCTCGACTTTCATGCTACATTTTAAACACTGTTTATGATTTGCTGAAACTCAAGAAGGAACTTGTTTCCTACAGAGAGATGGTCGAGTGCTTCAACTACGTAGCTGGGGACAGTGAGTGCCGTGCTGTTGTGCTGACCGGCGCCGGGAAGACCTTCACTGCAGGTGGGACATCTGTGTGCAGGTTGCCTTGGTCACTGATAAGTTTATTTTTATTTTGAACACCAAACTTTTTGACAAAGAATAGTTTTTCTAACTTTTCAGAAAGACAGTCCTGTTTACTGGGGCCAAGAGACTTCTACCGTTTCTTGCCTTCTCGTTGCAGGTCTGGACCTGGGAGACTTTGCTAGCATGGACATGATGCAGTCTGATGCTGAGGTGGGCAGGAAGGCCTTCAAGATGCGCCAGGCTATCCAAAGTTTCCAGGAATCCTTCACTGTTATTGAGAGGGTATGTAGCCATGTCTTGGTGACCCAGCATGATACAGCAGGAATACTGCTGAAAGTGACATAACACCCATACTTGTCACTCACCAGCAGCATCTTCCCCAGACAAGGGAGTTAACTGACTATAAAAGTCCAGTTTCGACCCTTGCCGAACTAGGCTGGTATTATGGAGTTAGATTTTAGCTGGACTAACAAGTCTATGCATTGTCCATTCAAAATTGTGCAATGAAATCAAAAGCCGGTTCGTAAACTGTCATGCAGATTCGGTCAATTGCAGGATTTGCAAAGCGTGTGCATTCGTTGTCAACAGATACTTTCAAAATCTTTTCATGTTTTTAATCAAGGTGCTCATGTGAATTGATGCAGAAATCAAAGATGGGATATTGTAGGGCAGAAACATATTGGTAGAGGGCACAGTGAATGTTATGTTATTTATGTCCAACCATGAAATACGAGAGAATCTGCATCAGCTAGTTGTTGAACAGTTTCTGTTATTATTCACATGTTTTCACACTAATATAATTAACTTTTCCTTGTGTTCATTGAAATTCCTGCATTCTGATTAGCTGAATTGGTCACGTGTTATTGCATTCATTTCCCATGGAATGTAAAAAATTAAGCCACGCCCACCGAAGCGGACTACTTTTATTACTACGGAATGTCGGGGAATCCTAATATTACATGCAAGGGATTTCCCTTTCTGCTCACATGTATCACCATGCACTGGGCATTTAGCGAAATTCATGCATATTCCTTGTCCATACAACCCTTGAGACCGAAGGCCGAGAATGAATGAAACTGGAGATGTTCAGACTCGCTCGCCTGTTTTTGTCCCGCTCGCCTCCTTGCCACAACTTTCATTTCTTCGGGTTTCATTTCTAACTAGCATTTTTCCAACTGGGTCTTCCCGTTCACAGGGAACTAATGTTCGATTCTGGCAGTAACTGACCATGTCATTTGAAACAGCCGCCTTCTCCCGGACATATTTGTTCCAGCTCCTTACAGTCTGACTGTTGCAGTTCTTCTTGCCTCTTTCCTTGATTGACAGGTTCTATGAACTTTGTTTTTAATCCTACTCTCGGTTGATTGGCTACTGACTGTGTGGGTGTGTCAAGTTATGTGCATAAATTAAACAATCACCTGATTCATGTCACACCACAGTATGTATTCCTACAAATTACTACTACAATGTTTATCAATCTTGTCATTTTTTGTCTGCTTTTATATAAACAATTGTTTTTGGTTGAACTATTATATATTTTCGTTGAATTTAATTATAAGCATTGACTATGTATTTTTTTTGGTTCATTGAGGTATGAATCGAAAAACCGATGTGCAAACTTTTGTAAGTATCTGCTATGTGGATTCATACAGTTTGCACATCGCTTTTTCGATTCATACCTCAATGAACCGAAAAAAATACACAGTCAATCCTTAAATAACTTGTTATGAAATGTATTGTATGTATCGAATGCAGGGTTCATAAATCAATGTAGTGTACTGTATCTCTGTATCACTGCACTACTAATGGGTATCTGGGTTCATGAGAACTGAGAGTTTTTTGTTGTTGTAAAGGCTCTTGTTTAATTGACCTTGTATCAATACTGAGACTTTAACTTAACAATAGCCATATATACCTGTACAAATTACCATGTTTTCCTCAGCATACTGTACTGGCATCAGAGTTTCGTTCTACAATATTATCGGTCTTTAACGAGGCCTGTGGTAGTAAAGTTATGATAGATCCATAACTATTGATGGAGCCATTAAAAGGTAATGGACCCATGAAGATCCGGGGTAGAATAGGTCTTCACCAACCCATGCTTGCTGTAAAAGGTGACTATGCTTGTTGTAAGGGGCGACTGGGTTGTCAGGCTCACTGACTTGGTTGATGCATGTCATTGATCCCAAATGCGTGGATCGATGATCATGATGTCAATCACTGGATTGTCTGGATTGACTTGATTATTTACAGACCTCCGTCATATGGCTGGAATATTGCTGAGTGCGGCGCTAAACAACAAACACTTTGATATAGGCTAGTGGACACACTTGCCTCGGGAAGATGGATACTGCATTTCTGAGGATGTTTTCCTACACCAGGGTCCTGAAAGTGGACCGTGGGTGCCTGTTTGTATTAGCTGGGTACCTGGCTCCATAAAGGATTGTGGATTGTATCTGGGTACTCCCTTGCCCCTCCCCTTGCCACACTTAAATTCCTCCCGTGCTGTTGCAGTGTACCAAGCCAGTGATTGCAGCTATGCATGGTGCCAGTGTGGGTGCGGGTATTGACATGACGTCCGCCTGTGATGTGCGATACTGCACCAGCGATGCATGGTTTCAGATTAAGGCAAGGAGAAACAATTTCTTTCTTATTCAATGAGGGAGTTCGCATTCATTTATCCATTATATATTTGCTATTTCATATTTCATCTTTAAAGTTTTGAATTTACATTATACCATATTTACAATTGCATTAGGTCCATGCAAATGTTTACCTCAAGTATACACATGATGAAAAGACATATTATTCTTGCTTTCAGTCTCGGTTTAAAAATGTTAAAGGTGAATTTGAAGGTTTCGGGAAAATTTGTTTGTTAACCATGCATGCATCCTCTACATCACAAGGGCTTGCATTTCAGTAAACCTACACTAATCCGTGGTTCCATTCCCGTTAATTTGAGTTAGCAAGAACCACGGGAATGGATCCAGTAGCTAGTGTAGGTTTACCAAAACACAAGCCCAGGAGATATATAGGATAACATGCATGTGACCAGGTTAATATTGATTTTCTCTGAATATGTATTGAAATGAAGTGTCAAAACAGTACATCACTTTGTCCAGGAGGTGGATATTGGCCTGGCGGCAGATGTCGGAACGCTGCAAAGGTTCCCCAAGGTGGTGGGCAATGACAGTCTGGTGAGGGAGCTGGTCTACACTGCCAGGAAGTTCTATGCTGATGAAGCTCTTGCCATTGGCTATGTCAGGTCAGCAAGTACCTTTCTAAGATGGGGATTGTGTGCAACAATCTTCCTGGGGCATGGGAGTTCATTGACTCCAAAAGTCCAGTTTCCACAATTGACCAACAAAGTTGGAATTTCTTGACTCAATTGTAGCGGCACCAGTGGCTATTACAAGTTATGACCTATCAGATTCCACCTCTTACATCACTTGCATTTGCTTCAAACAAAATGGCTGCTCCCAGTCAAGACGATCTGATTGATGATCAAGATCAATATTGTAATAAAATTGGTCGTACCTTTCGAAGTGCATCAAATCACGTGAGCATCTTGATTAAAAACATAAAAGATTTCAAAAATATCTGTCGATGCCCAGTTGATGGTACATATGCAGAGATGCATTAATCCTGCCAATTCCAGGTTAGTTACTCAAGGGTGGAAACTTGACTTTCTTGCCTCAGGAAGATGTCACATCTCCACTTCAAGCCTAGGCTTTGATATTGTAATTTCTATCTCCTGCCACATGTTTAACAGGAGGTTTTGAAATCGACTCAAATTTCCGTGGCAACAACTTTGATTTAGACTGGAAATGGCAGCAGTGTTCGTTTCTGGAGCAGATATTGAAAACCATAAAATATTTTTTCACCAAACTTGGCGCATAGATACCGTATTTTCTCGAGTATAGTGCGCAGCCATGTATAATGCGCACCCCCTCTAGCGGATTCAGTATTTTTGAAAAAAATAAAATAATCCAATACCAAGCGCAGAATTTTTTTTACACCGTACCCCTTTAGCGAAGTCCGGCAAAAGAACGGTTGATGAGAAACTTGGTCAGTACAAATTCGAAATTTGAGATAAAAAATCACCAGACATGTTGATTTACCGTTTAAATTGTATTTTTTGTTCTGCTTGTCATTGTTTTATATGCAGGGATTAAGATTACCTTGTGTATTTTCTGGTAAACTAAGCCGGACACAGCAATCAGCTGTACACACGTTTTCTTGGAATCTACCTGTGTTTTTGTGTAGTGAGTCTTAGATTAGATGGAATAGGTGACCACCATAGAAGATGCTCTCTCAGAGATGACCTTGATGTGTGTTGCCATGGTTACTGTTAGGATTTGACCCTTTTTTTTAACAAAATAATTCGTAAGTTGGAAGTATAATTAATATTATTTGTTTGTTGTTTAATGCTGCTCTCATTAACATTCAAGTTTTAAGATGAATGTTTGTAAATAAGTGATCCCGGGAAGGCAATCCCGTGATTGACACCACGAGTATTAATCCATGCAATTTGGATGTGATGACATGCATTCAACCAAGTCACTGAGCGCTTTACCTTCGGCTCCATTTCGTCACCTCTACGACAAGCATAGGTTGCTGGGGACCATTCTTACTTGGAATCCCCATGGATTGAAGATTAATTATTAATCCTCTTTTGGATCAAATGGAGGCCTAGGAGATTCCTAATGCATTTTGGATTCATGTTGATAAATAAATGAAAGTTATTTGTCTTGAAGATGTGACCAATATAATTGTTGGTCTTTTTCATACTTGATAGAATAATTGATGCTTGCGGTGCAGAGTTGCATCCCCTTGAGTGTGCCATAGTTCTGTGGGGGGCGGTTGGATGGCCTGCTGGTTAAAGTGTTCGCTCGTAACGTGAAGGCCCAGGTTCGATTCCCCACATGGGTACAATGTGTGAAGCCCATTTCTGGTGTTTCCTGTGACATGTTGGAATATTGCTAAAACTGGCGTAAAACCATACTCACTTACTCACACCAGAGACCATATAATAGAGGGACGGCCCTCTAGCCTATGCGCGAAACCATCAGTGCTACGGCTTGTACTGCGCAGCCTGTCCGGAAGCGAGCAGAAACGCGTTCACTGCAGTCATCGTTGTTGCCTTTTTTTCCCATGCAAAAGATATATTTCACAATACATAATTACACTCATGTATTTCTTAACATTGTTAACATTACAACTGAGATTTGTTGGTGCCCTAAAGCATGTCGTTGTCACTGTATTTGATGACTGTGATCACGCTTTGTCTTTGTCCGAGAGAACAAAATGGCGCACATGTAAAATCGGCAAAAGTGCAGATTTTGATTTTCAATAACGGCCTCTAATTCGCAATGAAAGTCCTTGGTTACGTAGGTGTATAAAAAGGAGATATGTTAAAAATTGGCTTAGTGCCATTAACAAATTTAGGGCGGATCCGAAATTTCAGATTTTGACTCGAGAAATGGGACTAAATCTGAATTAATCCGAAATAATTACATCACAACTCTTAATTTTCGCATGCTTTCAGACGAATGTGTTCCTATTATCGGTCCTGAATTTAATAGTTTTACATTCATCACGATTTCCCCTATGGCTTGGTACCAACGTTATTTAGATACGATTGGTAGTTTTTTTGGTATGATTTTTGGCGCAAGGCCATATTTTACGTCACATATTTTAAGTTAAATTACCATATAGCAGACGACATAACATGCATTTTGTCTGTGATTATCATCCGCATATATCCTTTGAAACATTCTACAAAGTGACTTATATTGTATGATATTAGAATTGTTTTTGTAAAACGCGTATTTTTTTTTACCATTGCTTCGCCATTTCTTCGTAAGTTTAACTTTGTTTCAGTTAGGCCTTATCACATATCGCGCATATACTACGTACTACAATACTACATATTTGTTATCTTCTGTAGATTTTGTCTGTATAAATCATGACTACATTTAATCAATTATTTATTTTATGCCGTGTAAATATTGATTATGAGCAAAATGATATTGTCCTAAACCCAATCATAATAATGTAAATATGATGAAGGTACTACTTACTTTGTGTATTTACACAACAATGAAAACATCATACAAAAATAAAAATCCGTTACATGAAATATTGTATAATACAATTATCATTTGCTTTGTAAATGCCAAGAAAGAAGAAGGATTATATCGGCAGTCGTCGGGAGAGAAGTTGCAGACAACAAGGTCGAAGGTGTCATTCAGTAAAATATATAGATGGTCTATTGTCCTTTTCTGTGAAAAATACATTTACATATTTGTCAGAGTTTGTGATGTTTTGTTTTGTTTTAATAGTAATACAGGTGTAGTTGCATGCTTTGTTCCAGGTTAGAGTTTAAAGTTTGTTTTTCATTGATCAGATATAGAAAACTATGATGAAAGAATTTTGAAAACAACAAACGTTACTACAGTTTACGATATACTAGTAGATATCTGGTACCATGCTCGTTGAAGCTATATTGTTATACCTGAAATACCTAATTATTTGTATGCTGAAATATCAATCTAATCGGGTAATATCGGAATATTTGGAATTTAACAGTAGCCTCCCTTTGAAAAAAAACTTACCTCGCTCCGGCAAACCCCTTTATCACTGCTAACCCCAAACTGGCATTAACCAATAACGTTTGATTCTTTCGAAGCCCATTGTCGGACACATCGAAAATTCATTTAACAACGCTCGTAGTTTAATGTGTATTTCTAATTCATTGGAACTATTAGCATTATAAAATAGTAGCGAATTTACATGAAATAAAAACATTAATATGGCGTCATTTTTTTTCTAGCTTATAGTAAAGCATTTACACCAGTCGGTGATCATGCATTTTTGCAAGTAAATCTAGTCTGGACTTATAAGATATGAAGTTAATATGGAGATATATTTTGTGAACATCGGGAATATGGTGATATGTTACAAGTGTCTTCCCTGCTTCTGGATGAGTTTTATTTACACTTCCTGAGTTCCTGTGCAATTTACCGGATCGTAGTTTTCTGTGGCGTTCGTAGTAGATTTGGTATATTTGTTTATTTATAATAGTTAACAATTGCAGCATAAAATGAGATATATTAACTGATTTTTAAAACAAATAGAATGCGTTATAAAATACTTTTGATATCGGAACGGCTTTTTCTTCACACGACCTCGAAAACTTACGCTTGTGGACAGACGTCATATTTTCATTTCCTATCTTTTTCTTTGAGTGAATCTTTTTGGGAGGTATTTACCAACGGCTTGGTAGCGGTAACATCACTGTCATTCTATTTAGACCAGGAAAATCTTTGTGATCCGCTAAGAGACGTCCTTTTATTGGATTGTCGCTGGTCGTAGTCGGAGAAATCTCGGCTAAGGGAATTAACTCTAGCCCCGGATATTATATAATATTGTTTACGTGGTTACCAGAATGGTCAGTCGTGAATGTCTGCGCATCTATTGCGCATCTGCAGCGGTACAGAGAGGTTAACAGCAGGGTGTCGGGGTGTATCAGTTACATGCCAGACCGTAGCGCTGATGGTTTATGATAAACTGTTGGGGAGGGCCGTCCCTCTATTATATGGTCTCTGCTCACACATTATTCCAGATTTGCCCAGATTTTGATCATAAGTTTTTCAGCACCATACTCTTGCTTGTAGGCTGACACGTGCGGTGCTGTATCTCCAACACTGCTCAGTTCAGCACTTGACTCAACTCACTCCCTCACTCCCTCACCAGCTTTTGTTTTACAGATCATTTCTATCCCAAATAGTTTTCATACAGTAATCTTCTCCAGGTCAAGGTACTAGCAAATAGTGCTCTGTTTTGCAGTCGCATATTCCCCAATAAGAAAGTGATGGTGGAAGGTGCCCTTGATTTGGCCACGCTTATTGCAAGCAAGAGTCCCATAGCTGTACAGGGTTCCAAGGTCAGCCTGGTGTATTCCCGGGATCATGGAGTGACAGAAGGCCTGGAACACATCGTAAGTAATAGGGAACTTATGGACTCAGTTACGTGTCCTGTCATCCATCTTGTTAGCTTTCAGGAAAGTCTGTTGATGATTGGTTTTAGATATAGGTAAATTTTGCAGATGTTATTCAAATTTGGAAAATTCAGTTATGCTTTATAAAAATATAAATCTACAGGTGTATGCAGAAGCATCTCACAACTTAGGAATTTCAAAACTATTCAATAGAACTTCAATTAATGAAGAGAGAACTCTATTTTAATGCACTGTTATACTTCACTTGATGATGCTCAAGCAGTCATAGGTTATATTGAGTTTCTTGGTTTTTATCAACATATAACAATTGGAGCCAAATGATAATGAATGAATGTAAAGCCAAACTCGACCTTCATACTGGTTAGAAGTACGGATTGCCCAGTCGTCAAAGGTGCGCAATAAGCTGTGCAGAGTTGCGTCCCTTGGGCTTGTCAGAAACCTATGATTGTGGGTTCAAATCCTGGTTCACCTCGCTTATGTTTCTAGGTTTGTCAGCACCATACCTGTGCTCAAGGGTTTCACCGAAGTGGTAAACATCTAAGACCTGCATCACTTCGGGCTTTCCTCCCACAATAAGCTGACACACCTTGATATAACTCAATCTCATTAAATCAGATCTTAGTTCTCGCTTCCGCTAATCAAAGATCTGAGCACACAATTTCATTCAAATATCCCCAGAAATATTCATGATCCCTAACTTTTTGGGTTCAGTTTATTTGCACCACATTGGATCACTGTGTCAAGTGTGTGCCGTAGAAGTTATTAATATGTCCTCCGGTTAAAATGGAAGTACTAATTCGGAGCTTCAGGTTGGTATGCATATTTATGAATAAGGTGACCCATTAATTTGGAAAAGAAAAAATGAGGCCAGGGTTCCATGGTAGTAGAAATGAAAGGTAATTTATTCATTTTAGTCAAAGTTACAAGTAATTGACCAGCACCCCCAAGAATCTAAATCACTGCAAATGAAGTAACCATGGTAACGGTTTGATTGTTTAATTGTTTTTCAGCGTGTATGGAACCAAGGCATGCTTCAGAGTGAAGATTTAATCAAATCAGCCATGGCAGCAATGCAGAAACAAACCCCAACTTTCTCCAAACTTTGATCTGTTGATCAAGACATTGACCTCATAATGACACTACAATAAAGGTGCAGAAACATCACGGATTCATGAATCAGTGGAGGATGAACTGTTGTACAGGAACAGGTCATTGCACCAGACAAAATATGAAACGACTCGTAGATTTCTCAAGTAATATGAAACATAAATCACAAGTGACCTGTTGGTACTTGTACATGCCTGCCTCTGTAATATAAATCAAGTTTTGGACATGTTACATCCCTGTTTGTTGGAAATAAAAAGATGCTTGTAGGGCAGCCCAGGGGATCATGTGTTCATCCTGAAGCCTGGATTCTCCCCTTGGTATGATGTGTAAAAGCCCTTGCTTCTTGTCATTAAGTTGCATAACTGGGGAAAGTGAAGACACATAACCCACCATGGATTTTGTGGTGCTGCATCTGGAGTCACCATCATGGAGTGTGGGCTTGTTGTTGTTGTAGTTGATTGCAGAAGTTAGTCAGCATTGCCATGGCATATCCTTTAAAACGCATTGTTTGAACAAAGGTTTGTGTTTCTCACCCGCTATTATATAACCATACAAAAGGAACATTTATATCATATTTATATCCCGATATTCGTGTCAGTGGTTTTGAAATGTTGAATATGAATGTAAGTGGATTGGTTTTCAATAAATTATTTTTGTACATATTTATTTGTGTATTTTTCTTCTATTCTGTACTTCAGTATCAGTACATTCTCAAGGGGTCAAAAGTATGGAGGGTTCTTAAGGTCATTGTTTCTTAATTGATAGTTTGCACACAAACAATTAGAGACCATGGGATGGCCTTTTGGTTAAAGTTTCCCTCATCGCCAACCGAAGGTCTAAGTTCGATTCTCTGCATAGAAACAATGTGTGACGCCCACTTCTGGTGTCCCCAGGTGTAATGCTGTGATGGCATCAAGCCATACTCACTCACTCACTACAAACAGAACCATGAAGATCCAGTGTAGAATAGGTCTTCAGCCACCCACGCTTGCCGTATAAGGGGACTATGCTTGTCGTAAAAGGCGACTACAAGGATCGAGTGGTCAGGCTCACTAACTTGGTTGAAGTTCATGATATCAATCACTGCATTGTCTGGTCCAGACTCGATTATATGGCTGGAATATTGCTGAGTGCAGCGTTAAACAACATTAAAACAAACAAACAAACATGACCTCAAGGTAGACATTCGTTCACAAGGGATGGTGATGAAGCATTACATTATGAATCCGGTCCATGTTAACGGTCACACTGCAATGGTAACCCATGATGTTTCACTAACTTGCTTGAGTGAGTGAGTGAGTGAGTGCGTTGAGTTTAACGCCGCTTTTAACAGTATTCCAGTTATATCACGTAGTGTCAGCTTAATGTTTGAGGAAAGCCCGAAGTGATGCAGGTCTCAGACGTTTACCACTTCGGTGAAACCCACGAGCATAGATATCGTGCTGAAAAAACCTAGAAACATAATCGGGTTGAACCTGGATTCGAACCCACAATCATAGGTTTCTGGCGTGGCCAAGAGACGCAACTCTGCACAGCGAATCACAGCACCTTAGACGACTGGGCCACCCGTGCCCCTACTAACTTGCTTGAACTACAGTGGTTTAGCTTTTCTTGCTTAATGTCCGGTTTCATTGGCACAATGAAGGCTAGCGCTCGAATTGCTTACATTATGTTTTAAAATCATGTTAAAAAACAAACTGTTTCCATTCTTGGTCGTTAGATACGTTTTGTAAATAAATATACAATGAATTATTGCCAAGTAGAAACCTTTTAAGTGCAAGAAACTTATGTAGATACTTTTCTTTGGTCCCAGCATTCTCCCTAGACTACATAATCATCATTATGTTATATCTGATTAGCAGCACCCTTTAAGTAGAAAGACCTGTTATCTTGACACATTTCCTTGGTAGCCAGACATGTCAGATACCAAATTTCACTTGATACGTAGAATAGCAGTCACACAACTGGAATTGCTAATCCCCACCCGATACTAACTGCCTTGATCCACAATGAGTTGACATTGAGTTCATCTCGCTATTGAGCTTTCGTTAGGGTAACGGGACAGTAAACACCAAAGGTGTGTCCTGGGGAGGAGATGATAAAACACATTTACTATCTATTCATAATAATATGATAAGCTATAAACTCTGTGGGGTAATATAGTCATGGAAAACAGGTGGGGCTATGTCAGATCCCGTCTCAATAGATATTCATGAAAATGAACAAGCAGAAGCCCCATGGGACGCATGTAAGATCGGCAGATGGCTATACAAAATTCGAACCCAAATCCACACAGAAAAAAATACTCATACTCAAATGAAATGAAAGTTGATTTAGCCATCTCACGCCACAGATTGGGTCACAAAAAGCACATAACACATGACAATGTATGCCCATCTTGCAATCAACCTGAATCCATTGCTCACTTGTTTCTGGAATGTCGTCAGGCCCCAGCCCGGGCTCGGTTAAACCAAGAATTGCAGTCTATCTGTCGTAGATCTCCTAATGCCAAGAGATGCAAAATGCGTTGGCCAAACTAACTATATTTCGCAGATATGGTCAGATACGTGAACGTACATAAACAGAGCAGCCAAAGAAATTCTGTCAATTTCTATCAATAAAAAATCATATCAATACGAAAATAGAAATATTATCAATACAAAAACAGAAATTGTATCAATACTAAAACTCCCAATAGATATGTGTACCTTCTCACAAACATGAGTCCCAAAGAGGGACAGGTCAGCCGACATTGCTATAGCATGAGGCCACGTACAGCAACAATTTATGACTTGCCTGTAAAGAGATCACCCGTTTAATAAACATACAGCTGTATTACACATTGTGTAATACCAAAGCGCGTGTTAATGTACTGCGGGAACAAGTTTCACGAACAAATATTGAAAACTCTCAACATCCCTGAGGAGCTTATGCACACTCGATGACCCCATCAACCCTGTTGCTAGGCTGACGTCACATGGCATTGTTTCGCCGGTGGATCTTGCAACAAAATATCACAAATTACGTCATATGGTATTGTGACGTGAATGTAAACTTTGTGATGCAGGATCCCGTTCTACAGCGCGATCGTAGCGCGACGACACGTGTACGCCTAGGTATATTGATAATTTTAGCGCTACGATAAAATTCTGGAAAGGAACTCTGAATTCTTAAGATGGTCCGTTGCATGGTATTAAATTAATACATGCCAACTTTTGACGTGTTTGAGGTATTGTTTTGTTAAACCTCAATTGGATTGTGCCGTGGATCGCGTAGATTTCTGCCCCCCCCCCCCCCCCCCCCCCCCCCACACACACACACATTGAAATTCTAAAAAAAGGTTTTAAACGTCAAGTAATATATAAAATACAAAACTCGCCCCGTGTAGTACCAATTTATTACAACTCGTGATAAAGACTTTGACCACTGCGTGCAGAATAGGCAGTCCAAGATGTCAGATGTTTTCATTGGCATTCTAAGTTAGAGCAATGTGTGCATGATGCATTTTTGTTGTTGTTGAGTTGTCATTAAATTTAAATATTAATTATAGATCGCAAACCTCATGACTATTATTTTAGTTCTTATCTGTGTCCCATATCATGGGATATACACGTGTGTGTAATAATGCATAAAGAATGTCACACAAGTTGTAGTTGGTAACTAGAAAACTTGTTAATCGTATATCAGGACAAAAGCAAACACAAATCATATACGATACATATTTTATAGTAGAGTAACGCTAGTCTTGTAAAACGAGACAGCATCGTCAATGAAAGTTCTTAAATTATTCATGCTTAATAACAGAGTCAGTTGCATCAAGACTAACCTGGCAAAAGGAATTTTCTATCCATTCCAGTCAAATGTTCCATTGTATTGGAAAAGGAATTGTCTATCCATTCCAGTCAAATGTTCACCGGAAACATAATTATTACACAGTACTCTAGAACTGTTCATCTGCATCACTATGGTCGGTTCAGGCAGACAGATCATGGAAACAATTATACCTACACCCTATTTAGTCGAGGTGCAGGGTCTTCCATATCTGTTTTCACGGGGGATTGTTTAAATCAGTATCATATGTACTAACATAAACCTAAGATGTATTCATTTTAAAATTCTTACATAAAAAGTAACATTGAAACATTTTACTTACTGTATACAGACAGACACATATATATAAATTATATTAGAGTCCATGCAAGCTGATGAGCAATTATTGCATTTTTTAGGGTCGAGCTAATTTAGTCAATTTGTCACTGACTTCTCACAACTTTTTAGCAACACCGTCGTCATTTGCTGCTTGATGTCATTGTTTCATCCTACAATTTCCGTAATATTTCGCCGTTTCCTGTGCTACTTCTTTAGCAACGCTGCAATATAAAACTGTTTGACAACCCTCAAACCCTTGTTTTGACTGTCGGACCCCCTCCTGGCTCTCTGCTAATAAGTTGTCATTGCAAATCATGCTTATGAAATCAATTACCACTCATGAACATATTAATACATGTACTGTAACTGCAATCAGAACTCATGCTAAACAATGCATACTGGTTCACGAAGTATATTTAATTCAGTATCAAATGTACTAACAAAAACACCAGACAGGCGGATCCAGAAACAGTTGAAAAGAATGAAACACTTTACCTATGCTTACGTCGTGCTGACGCAGTCAATTTCCCACTCACATTTATTTAGCAGCACCATCGACATTTGCTGTTTGATGCCATGGTTCCATCTAACAATTTCCGTAATATTTGCCCGTTTCAAGTACTACTGCTTCAGCAACGGTGCAAGGTAAAACTGTTTGACAACCCTCAAAATAACAAATTACTCCACAAGCAATGACTCAAGGCCGTAGTTAACTTTTTTTTGACAGGGAGGGCAAATAAGATTCTTCATTTCTTATTTCAAGTTAACTTTCACAAGGAAAAGTGTTTGCTATAAAAAATCGAGGGAGGCATTTGTCTCTCTCTCCCTCCTTTTGAACTGGTCCCTTTGTTTTCGACCAATCATTTCACAGAGCAGACGAATTTTTTCAAGGGCGGATAACTCTAATGTCAGCGAATGAACTGGGTTGTTTGCAAACACAGTTTGGAAATCGTTCGTCACTGGTATGAAACAATTAAATTGGTTTATATATGCTAATGCTGTTTTTCTATATAGATTAATTGATTTATGTATAAATATATATTGTTTATGTACATTCAATGTAAAATGGAAAAATGTGGTACGTACAGCGATGAGCTACAGTATTTGCTGGTTAGCTAGCCCAGTTCAGAAGTTGGCAATGTCGGAACCTAGTCTGTTTTAGTGGTCAAAGTCCATGTATCCCTCCTAGTCACACTCGGCAAAACTCTCGGTCTGCATAACACGGCTACATTTAACTTACCTGTGTTATACCTTCATGCATGGGATTTGTTTTTGTACTTATAATATTATATCAGTAATAAATTAGGCTGACCCTTCCTATTTGACTAGTAATTCTCTTCTGGCTGATATTTGTTTTAAAAAAACAACAACATTCGTACAGCTACATATATATTTATAAAAAAAGGAGTCAGGAGTGTCCGGTAATATCAGCCTATGCCATATCGTAATATTTAAACAATATTTGCAAATTTTGCCTACATATATATATATATATATATATAGAGAGAGAGAGAGAGAGAGAGAGAGAGAGAGAGAGAGAGAGAGAGAGAGAGAGAGAGAGATATTCGATGTATGTCCATAGGAACAAAAAGTAGAAGCCAGCAACAGTACATTGGTCGCGCCATGTGTAGTGCACAGACTCCCAAGTTCGAGACTCTGAACGTCACCAGACCGCGGGACATGGTGGTTCAGGTCGAGCTGAACAGACCTGAGAAGCGGAATGCCATGAATCAAGCTTTCTGGAGGTACTGTTGTTCTTATTGCTCATTTACTGCACATATGTATGTTTTCTGTTAGTTAGTTTCTGCGTCGGATTGCAACATCTTTTTTTACAACACATCTTTGTTCATATTATTCAAGCTCGAGTATCTGTCATAGTTCAACACAGAAATGTTACATCTGTCAAAGGTTTCATTAAGAATTATTATTTATTGTTTAAAAAACACATTTACTCAAACACAGCATTCTATCTGTATTTTACTTTTGAAAACTATTTGCATCTCATATAATGAATCTCACTTACTTCTTGTTTGTCCTTCATGTGCAGTTATACACACAAACAGTACACATGTATATTGACAGATACTATTATGTCTATCCAACAAAAGGAACATTCTGTCAGTTATTATCTTTGCAAAATGTTAAAAGCATTGAAAGGCTTAAACAAGAAGCAATGTTGTTGCACACATTACTATTAGTTTCATTGTATTTAGAACTATGGGCCATGAGGCCTGAAATACTTAATATAATTTGTCGTTTGACTTAAGGGACCATCTTAATATTTGATTATAAGCATTATGGTATAACAAAGTCCCTTTTACTTTAATGCCTAATTTTGAACATTGTTTAACAATTACTGACACTGTAGATGGAGATTGTTTCCTACAGAGAGATGGTCGAGTGCTTCAACTACCTAGATCGGGACAGTGAGTGCCGTGCTGTTGTGCTGACCGGCGCCGGGAAGATCTTCACTGCAGGTGGGACATCAGTTTGCAGGGAGGTCCCTTTGCTAGTCCTGGGGACTCTTGGTAATAAATCTTGGGGGTCTCAGGCATGAGAACTGTGGGTCCCAGGGTGACCACTGTACCAGCAGCATATGAGTATGTGTAGTACCTTAAGCTTATTATAGATAAGAATTGCCTTATTTGAATAAAAGTTTAGTGTTTGAGTGAAGAACAGCTGACAAGGGCTGATATGTTGATTGGATTTCACATCAGAACATAATATTACATAAATCTTACCTACATGCTTTTATTTCATTAGTTTCAATAATTCCATAGTTGTTTTGCTTCTCAGTATGATCATAACTGTGTTGTGACAAACTGGTCAGTAATACACTTGCCCTGTGGGGATCCCTGTTACATTTTATGGTGGATTGTGTGTCCAGGGACCCAAACATTCTGGATCGATGTTCATACTATCAACCACTGGTTTGCTTGTGCCAAATTTGAAAATTTACAGGCTGAGGTTTATTGCTGGAATATTGCTGACTGCAGCAAAAATAATATTAACCACCCCAAAGCCCATGCACATGAAGGAAGGATATGAGATATTCTTACAGGAGAACTGAACAGAATTTGTCATTGAGTGTTGCGTTTTTTCTTACTTAGTTTATGGATCCACTGACTGACAAATCAGGAATGTGTAGTTTAATGTTTGGTAAGTTAGCACTGAGACTGAGGATCATGCTTATGAATATATAATCACAATTGTTTCCCCCCTGACTGGGATAAACTTGTATGCTCATATACTATTCATCACTCCATCAGTAATCCAAACAATGTGTGTATTTCTTCCCATGTAAATTATATAAAAATGTAAAAAAATCCTGTCACATTTCAATAGATAGAGATTATTTTTGTTCTCATCCTACCATGCCTACCAACACATGTCCAACCCTATGTCAATTTTTATTTTTATTTTTGAGCAGTGACCAAAGGTTTTGAAAAAAATTATTTATACCAACAAATAAGAAAAGAGTCCCTAGGTGCCTGGTCTTATTTGTAGCAGGGACTCAATAATAAAGTATTAGTTACCAAAAAGAAGGAAGAAGAAAACGAAAATCCTGTTTTCTGAGGCCATGAGACTTCTACTGTTTCTTGCCTTGTGGCTGCAGGTCTGGACCTGGGAGACTTTGCTAGCATGGATGGGGTGCAGTCTGATGCTGAGGTGGGCAGGAAGGCCTTCAAGGTGCGCCAGGCCATCAAGGCTATGCAGGAATCCTTCACTGTTATTGAGAGGGTATGTTACCCAGTCTTGGCCGTACCCACCAACATGCTCAATGTCAGACATTCCTTGTACCTTTCATAGCCTGGTGACTCCCATATGAATTATATATCAGAGTCAATAGAAATTTTGTTTTTTGACAACTGAGAGGCATTTTTGTTGCAAACGTCATGTAGAGACTCCTCCTATGCTGTTACTGCATGGCAAAAAACGATTACCCATATCCGTGCAGTGACGTCTGTCTGTCAAGAGGACTGGAGACAGGCCTACAGCATATGGCTATGCGGGAAACGTTTACCCATATCCATGCAGTGACGTCTGTCTGTCAGGAGGACTGGAGACAGGCCTACAGCATATAGCTATGCGGGAAACGTTTACCCATATCCATGCAGTGACGTCTGTCTGTCAGGAGGGCTGGAGACAGGCCTACAGCAGATGGCTATGCGGGAAACGTTTACCCATATCCATGCAGTGACGTCTGTCTGTCAGGAGGACTGGAGACAGGCCTACAGCATATAGCTATGCGGGAAACGTTTACCCATATCCATGCAGTGACGTCTGTCTGTCAGGAAGGCTGGAGACAGGCCTACAGCATATGGCTATGCGGGAAACGTTTACCCATATCCATGCAGTGACGTCTGTCTGTCAGGAGGGCTGGAGACAGGCCTACAGCATATAGCTATGCGGGAAACGTTTACCCATATCCATGCAGTGACGTCTGTCTGTCAGGAAGGCTGGAGACAGGCTTACAGCATATGGCTATGCGGGAAACGTTTACCCATATCCATGCAGTGACGTCTGTCTGTCAGGAAGGCTGGAGACAGGCCTACAGCATATAGCTATGCGGGAAACGTTTACCCATATCCATGCAGTGACGTCTGTCTGTCAGGAAGGCTGGAGACAGGCTTACAGCATATGGCTATGCGGGAAACGTTTACCCATATCCATGCAGTGACGTCTGTCTGTCAGGAAGGCTGGAGACAGGCTTACAGCATATGGCTATGCGGGAAACGTTTACCCATATCCATGCAGTGACGTCTGTCTGTCAGGAAGGCTGGAGACAGGCTTACAGCATATGGTTATGGGGGAAACGTTTACCCATATCTGTGCAGTGACGTCTGTCTGTCAGGAAGGCTGGAGACAGGCTTACAGCATATGGTTATGGGGGAAACGTTTACCCATATCTGTGCAGTGACGTCTGTCTGTCAGGAAGGCTGGAGACAGGCTTACAGCATATGGTTATGGGGGAAACGTTTACCCATATCTGTGCAGTGACGTCTGTCTGTCAGGAGGTCTGGAGACAGGCCTACAGCATATAGCTATGCGGGAAACGTTTACCCATATCCGTGCAGCGACGTCTGCCTGTTGAGAGGGGCAGGGACAGGTCTATTACATATCACTTAGTGGGAAACGTTGACCCAGTTTCCATCTAGGGAGGTATTAGCAATTTTGGACAGCGTGAGTAATTGACATGTCAGGCTACAGGAGTATACATAATAACATTAGAGTGGTATCTCTCATGGAGAAGTTGGGTTCATGGTTAAAAAACAAAACGCACTCACGTTTTGGGTTTCAATTGTAACTATATCTGCATGTCACCACTGATCTCGTTCAGTATAAATTAATATTACAACAATGTAGTTAATATTTTGAAGAGATTAATTCTGAAAAATTATTCATAACTTTATCACTGTAGTTATATCAATGTCAACAGTATCATGTATACCACTATGACTGTGTCAACTTATACCCCCTGTTCCTTTCAAACAATAACAAATGTTGCAGGAAGTCATTGTTTTGCAGGGGAGGTTGGGTAGCCTAGTGGTTAAAGCGTTCCCACATCACGCTGAAGACCCGAGTTCGATTCCCAACATTGGTACAATGTATGAAGCCCATTTCTGGTGTCCCCCACCGTTATATTGCTGGAATATTGCTAAAAGTTGCGTAAAACCAAACCCACTCACTCACTCATTGTTGTGAAAATATATCACAAGTTTTGTTTTCATCATGTTTGTGTTCTACTACTTATGTTACATAAATTTTTAAACTGAAATGTGCCAAATTCTCATTCCTGATTCTGAAGGTACCACATGCAAATTACAATTTGTTTTACCTTCTGGATTACACATGTGCACTTTATGACAGCATAGGTTACTAGCATCAATAGGTATGCTACAAAATTTCTTTCCACCATGTGTATCCTCTGGATCAAAGTTATCTTGTGTTGCAGTGCACCAAGCCAGTGATTGCAGCTATGCACAGCGCCTGTGTGGGTGGGGGCATTGACATGTCCTCTGCCTGTGATGTACGGTACTGCACCAGCGATGCATGGTTTCAGATTAAGGCAAGGAGAAATGGTCTCTATCTTATGCAATAAGGAAGTCAAAAATCAAAATTTTCGTGTAATTTTCTATTTTTTACAATCCTTAAAGTTTGGAATTTATATTTTGCAATATTTACAATTTATCAACTATTTTTGCATGGTTTAATGGCTTGATATATAGACCAGTATACAACAGGATACTCATTAGATTATCATACCTGCCCTCCTTCCTTTAATACACTCTTCATCTTTTTTTGTGAATTGATTCTGTCCGACAGAGTTTGAGTAAATACTGTAAATCTTGGTATTAACGCGAGTGTGAATTAAATGCGAAAAATGTGACTGGTCTTTGCTCGCATTTTTAAACATCGTATTTATATCAACAATAAGACAATTTGATAGCAGAAATACCAACTTAGACATACGCTGAAAACAAACAACTCTGTATTCCACTTCACTGTTTATTGAGCAGCACTTGTTACAAGTATATAAACAATATCATTCAAACACTAATTACATCCTGTGAATTGTCACTGCTGGAGTCAAGACAAGCGTTCTACTCACTCATGTCATCACTGATCACACCTGCAAGTCCAGACAGACGTCACCCAACACGGTGTCTTTGCTCTTTGCGACTGCATCAAAGGCCGACACGAGCCAGCGCGCACGTATTGTTTTAGCTCTACTCTACTCAGCGCTAATAAGCGGTGCTATTTGGTGTGTGATTGGATTAATGTAAGGTTGGATTAAGGTGAGGACTCTCCTGTAAACCGGACAGAGGACATTTTGTTTAGATATAAATCCACTGATGCTTGAGAGGAGGGGGGTGTCGCATTCATATTGAGTCACATTTTTGGCTAGGGGCCAGCGGTTGTTTCTTTTGGAGACGCATTAATTTCACGTTTTACAGTATGTGTCAAGCTTACCAACTCAGTCATCATATTTTTTCTTAGAAAGAAATAACAAATATAAAATGAAATTTCTCCCTCCACTCTTTTCATGAGACAATGGATGACAGCCTAAATTTACACAGGCCCTCTCTGCTTTTCTGTTTTCAACATGTTTAAGTGCTAGTGTAATTTAAAATGCATATTGAATTAGACTGAACAGTCTGATGCTAAACTCTGAACTATCTCAAATATGAAATTTGAAACAAGTTTCCAAAACGTAATCTAGAAGTTTGCAATGCATTTGGTGCATACAAAGGACGAGTGATGATGTTTTCCTCAAGTATAAATATGAAAAAGAGACATGTTGTTTTGGAAGCAGACTGCTTCCAGTCGGGGTTTGAATATGTTAAAGGGGAATATGTTTTGGGTGAATTTATTTGTGGTACATGTATGAAGCCAGGTTAATATTGATTTTCTCTGAATATTTATTGAAATGAAGTGTTAAAACAGTCCATCACTTTGTCCAGGAGGTGGATATTGGCCTGGCGGCAGATGTCGGAACGCTGCAAAGGTTCCCCAAGGTGGTGGGCAATGACAGTCTGGTGAGGGAACTGGTCTACACTGCCAGGAAGTTCTATGCTGATGAAGCTCTTGCCATTGGCTATGTCAGGTCAGCAAGTACCTCTCAAACGGGGATTGTGTGCCACAGTCACATCTCCACTTCATGTCTTGGCTTTGATGTTGTAATCAATGCCATGTTTGAGACCGATACATTGTCTTTGTGTATTTACCTGAAGGACAGTCATTAACTGTTAACGTAGTTAGATTGATCTACAGTATTAAATTTGAGTTATATAGAGATGTGCATGCATGTGTGTGTTGTAATACTATGGGGGCAATGGGGTAGCCACATGGTTAAAGTGTTCGCTTGTCATTCTGAGAGCCTGGGTTTGATTCCCCACATGGGTTCAATGTGTAAAAGCAATTTTGATGTTCTCCACCATGTTATTGCTGGCATATTGCTAACCTGACATAAAACCATACTCTCTCCCTTACACATGATCCTGTAATCCAAGATTTGCCACGTCAGGCTTTCCTGACACGTGGTGCTCTAACTCTAACACTGCTCAATTCAGCATTTAACGCGACTCACTCGCTAGCTTTTGTTTTACAGATCCTTTCTATCCCAAATAGTTTTCGTACAGTAATCTCCTCCAGGTCAAGGTACTAACAAATAGTGGTCTGTTTTGCAGTCGCATATTCCCCAATAAGAAAGTGATGGTGGAAGGTGCCCTTGATTTGGCCGTGCTTATTGCAAGCAAGAGTCCCATAGCTGTACAGGGTTCCAAGGTCAGCCTGGTGTATTCCCGGGATCATGGAGTGACAGAAGGCCTGGAACACATCGTAAGTAATAGGGAACTTATGGAGTCAGTTACATGCCCTGTCATCCATCTTGTTAGCTTTTAGGAAAGTCTGTTGATGATTGGTTTTAGAAATAGGTAAATTTTGCAGATGTTATTGAAATTTTTTGCATCACACACTATGCATTTCTCCTTGTTCTTCGATCCTGATGTGGAAACGTTGTAGAACAAAGTTTCCGGCTTCTAAAGAAACCCCTCACCCCAACACCTCCATATACATTGTATCACCAAAGTCACCACTGTAAACCATGGGTCATGCAATCCCATGTGAATGCACCCTGTACGATGCAACCCCTTACAATCAGATCACCTGACATTCCCTGCACCCTCATTCGCTTTCTTATTGCCTGGTACAACGGACGTTCATTGAACAGAGAATACATATGGGTTTTTTTTAGGTTAGACATAATTTTTCTTTTTTACTACAACTGCTAGGAATAACATGGAACCATCTCGCCCTATTTTCAACAATTGCAATCAGTTATTCTCCCCATTTGACCTACATGCCGTGTGTTGTGACTGTAGAGGCATATGTCCCCTCAAGAAACGATGTAACCTCTGCTGCCATCTTATGGAACATGACTCAAAAACTAACCTCCCGAAGTGCCAGAAGAGATTGTTCGATAGTCATTCCGAGGCTTCAGTGAAGGACTTGGAGCATGGACCTTCATCTTCCAGTAAACCAAAGCTCGTTGTCGATCGTCACTTCTTTTTCAATTGGACTCATTCCTGACTGATGATCTATCTGCCGCGATGATGACCACACTCTCTGCATGTGCGCTGAAGCAATTTCTTTCTACAGTCCTTTCGCATTCGGCCAGCAAGCCTGCTTTATAGTCTGTGGAATTGTCCCCACCTGTTTGTACGAGGAATGCTGTAGTGATTTCATAGAAAAATTCTACATCCGAAATGTCTCTAGTATCTGTGCCCCACCATCCAACCTTGGGATCAATGCATAGTGTGAGATAGGATAAGTTTAGAAATGGGAAAACTTTACAGTACATTGTATATTGATATACTCATCCTATCTCACATGTTAAACGTCCACCCAACCATCCTCGCGTCACAGATACACCAGCCAGAAAAAGAATTGCATCACATACGATTGCAGTGATGCATGACCCAGTGTATGGTGATATATGGGATGTGTTTGGGTGAGGTGTTTTTACACTGGAAACTTTGTTCAAGGACATTTTTACACCAGGATCGAAGAGGAGGAGAAATGCAGTGTGAGATAGGATTTGTATTTGATTATATACAATTTATCGTTTAATTTTCAAATTTGTAAAATTCAGATAGGCCTAAGGAAACATAATAGTGTACAGGTGTGAGAGAAGCATCCTACTAAGGGTTAAGATAGTTTTTGATTTTTGATCATATAACAATTGCAGCCAAATAGTAAAGAATTAAGCTGAACATTAGTTACCAAGGGTCAAACTGAAATCTCATCTTGCACCAAACAGTTTGTTTTATTCGCCACATCGGTACAATGTCAGAATCCCATGATGCATTATTGCTGTACTGTCCAGTGATACTGCTGAAATATTCCTAACAGGTTGAAAAGCATGCTCACTCATATATATTGTAGATGTAAATGTTTAGAGTCAGATCAAGTTCTACACAACCATTGTCAGTATTGTGGTGATATCCTAACTACACAGATTTCTGAGTGTTGGCGAGAAGCCATATCCAACACAATTTCCCATATAACCAAAATGGATGTATGGTTAAGTCGTGGGTGGTAGGTGTTAAAATTTCAGACAGATTAATGGAGGTTTTTTATTGGCACTACATTTGCTTTCTCTGTGTCAAGTGTGTGTTGTAGAAGCTACACAATATAAATATGTCCTCGGGCTTAGATGGAAATACTAATTCAGAGCTTCAGGTTGGTATGATATTTATAGATAAGGTGACCCAGTAATTTGGAAAAGAAAAAATGAGGCCAGGGATCCATGGTAGTAGAAATGAAAGGTCATTTATACATTTTAGTCAAAGTTACAAGTAATTGACCAGCACCCCAAAGACTGTAAATCACTGCAAATAAAGAAACGGTTTGATTGTTTGATTGTTTTTCAGCGTGTATGGAACCAAGGCATGCTTCAGAGTGAAGATGGAATCAAATCAGCCATGGCAGCAATGCAGAAACAAACCCCAACTTTCTCCAAACTTTGATCTGTTGATCAAGAAATTGACCTCATAATTGACACTACAATAAAGGTGCAGAAACATCAGGGATTCTGGGCTCGTATAATCAGTGGACCATGAACTTTTATTCAGGGATAGGCACGGTCACTCGTTTGTTTGTCCGGAGACGAGTAAAAACCTGGAGCAAGGGGATTTCTCCCCAAATCATGTTGTATCAAACATAAACCACAAGTCAGAAATGAGCTGTGGACTAGTTGTTATTTGTATTTTACTTGAGGTTCCTACCCTCAAATCTTGATTACATCCCCAGTTGTTGGAAAATATAAACATGCTTGTAGGGCAGCCCAGGGGATCGTGTGTTCATCCCCAAGCCCTAGATTCTCTTTCCATCAGTGAAATGTGTTAAGCTCATACTTTATCATAAAGCTGAAGATTGCTTGAAACGTGTGTTCCCAACTTGAAGAGACCTGTGAAGATATTGTGTCGAATAGGTCTTCAGCAACCCATGCTTGCCGTAAAAGGCAACTATGCTTGTCGTAAGAGGTGACTAACGGGATCGGGTGGTCAGGCTCTTTGACTTGTTTGGTGCAAGTCATTGTAGGCCAGTTGCGTGGATCGATGCTCATGATGTCAATCACTGGATTGTCTGGTCCAGACTCTTATTTACAGACCGCCATCATATAGCTGCAATATTGCTGAGTGAGACATTAAACAACAGACAAAACAAACCCAAGTTGAAGAAAACTGACCCTCTGTGGTGTTTGTGCCACAGCATCTGCAGCAATTCACTGAGGCTGACTTGTTGATTTGAAGAAGCTGTTGTTGTATTTGATTGCATAAATATTAGTCAGCATAACTCTGACATATCCTGTAAAATGCATTACTCACCCGCTATTATGTGACCATACAAAAGTTTTTAAACATTTATCATATTTATATCCAGATATTCTTGTCAGTGTTTTGGAAATGTTAAATATAAATGTGAATAAATTATTTTTTGCAATATTTTGTTGTGTACTTCTTACTATTCTATAGCTGTATTAGTACATTCTCAGAGAGGTCCAGAGTATGGTGGGGTTCTTAAGGTCATTGTTTTTTAATATACTGAACCACAAAAGAAACATCACTTTATGAAAAAAATTCTTGAAAATTTTCCATTGAAATATCACTGCATTTTTGGGTGGTATCTCGTTTTTGACAATAGTCTGTATCAAAATTTAATGTTAACGGCCAAAAAGTAACACAAATATTGATATAATGGTTTGCCAAAATGCAGCTTAACAATTGACCATGGTACAGAGTCCTGAATTCGCTCGCGGTTTCCTTCAATCTCATTAAAATCAGATCTTAGTTTTCGCTACCGCTAACCAAAGATCTGAGGACATCCTATTACGGGTCACGTCAGAACGACCTTTCACGAACTTTGACCGACCAATGAAATGACTGACAAGAAATCGACATATGCCAATCAGAAGGCAGCTATCTCGAGCTTTACGGCACTATTTTCAAACGGGCGACTATGCTTCGAAACATGTTTTGGCGTATTCTCGATTAAAAAAGTTAAAACTGACCAAAACAACATTCTGGAATGGCTTATGGATGGCCTAGATTGTATGGATATAACCATAAAACCTGTAACTTTCGTTCGGAATACCTCGTGTTAAATATTTCGAGGTTGCATGATTAGAAGACACATTCCGACTGTCACTTTCAGGATCTGGTAAGCAACATTCTGATTGGTTGGATGAAAGGTCGTGCTGACGTGACCCGTAATGGGATGTCCTCAGATCTTTGTCTAGCGTTAGCGAGAACTAAGATCTGATTTTAATGAGATTGGGTTTCAATGTACCTTCTCTGATAAACGTCACCTCAATACGTGGATCCAATATTCTTGTATCGATACTAGCGCCATGAATCAGAGAAACGACTGCGTGCTGTTAGTGACCAGGTTTCATTGTTGTAATCTGTAGATGGTTCTTAGGTGGACATTAAAAGCATTGGCAACCATTCATTCAGCCTGGCCAGCATGCAATCGTCATAAAGCCTGGTTTCCCAGATTCTTCGTGGCACTAAGAGGCTAAACATTCAGGCTAAAAATTGAAAAAAAGTGCGTTTGAAGATTGCGGTCTTGTTTCAGCAAGGAGGCTCTGGTAGCCTAGTTGTCCGAGTTGCTGTGCAGAGTTGCATCCCTTAGTAATTCCTTGATCCTCTGAGTTGTTTGAATCCCATCAACTAACTATGATCCTTGGTTTCTTGGTACCATACCTTGCTCATGGGTTACACAAAAGTACAATTTGGGCTTTCCCTCCTCCCACACTAAGTCGACATGGCACCAGTAACTGGAACACTTCTCAAAGCTGAGTTCGGTAGGACTTACACACGCATACTTATTTTCAGCAGAAAAGCCCCCAGTGGGGATTCTGGGTTAGGATATAACATCCAATGCTTGTCACGGCTGACTATATGCACCAGGCCGTCATGGTAAGTGACTTGACTGATATACATGAACAGCATGAAGCATTGCTCATCCATGTATCACTGGTTTGTCTGGTCCAGATTTGATTATTACATGCTACACATGGGTGGGTTGTTTGACAAGAAATTCTTCAGCACATTTGATCTGAATGTTCAGGACACTTTTTGTAATGTCATTTATCCATGTTAAACATTGACACCTCTGCAGCATATTAAGATTGCTGATACATGTAATATCATCATAAGGAAGAACGGGGATGTATCTGGATCTATCTGTTTCTGAGCCTTAAAAGGCGACTATGCTTGTCATAAGAGGTGACTATTGGGATCGGGTGGTCAGGCTCGCTGACTTGGTTGATGCATGTCATCGTATCCCAATTGTGTGGATTGAGGCTCATGATGTCAATCACTGGAATGTCTGGTCCAGACTCAATTATTTACAGACCGCCGTCATATAGCTGGAATATTGCTGAGTGCGGTGTTAAACAACAAACAAACAAACAAACAAACAAACAAACAATAATTCAAATAAAACAACAAAATTCTCATCCAATGGATTCATAGTACATTTTATTTGCATCCCTTCTCATTTTGTATGTGTATAAAACCCCAAAGGTATGTGATAAATCAAACAATTATTTTGATAATGCTCAAAAATGAAATAATACTCAAGTTACAAAAAACACAAATATATATATTCATTATCCCTAATATCATCATGATCATGTATATCCAGATTATAAGACTGCCCTGTGTCAAATGACTTGTATTCAAGGATGGGTAACAGGCTTTCACACAATTCAGACAAAGGTTCACAACACCTAATTCAATGCTGTCAAAGAACATGCAATGTAATTATTTATGAATCAAGTATTAACATTATTGGATATATCCATCGTCTCTGTAGTCATACAGGGATGACACTAGGAATTTTCTGACATGGGCCCTTTATGTGAAAATGTAATATATTCTAGAGGTATGCCCATACAGCGCAATGTTAAATGCCCCATTGTATTTGAAAATATGGGCCTTTTTTCAAATTAGGGGCTAAAAGAACAAGACCCCACCCAAGAATTATCCCTGATCATGTATCCCATGTCTTGTTGCCATTGTTTCTTATATTTATCCGTAGGTGTATTGGCCGAACACACAGCTCTGTTTACCTGACGATTTCCTCCACCCATGAATTAAAATCAAAGTTGACAGCAATTGTAAACTCTACCACTTGTGATACCAACTCCAACCCTTTTGATTGTCATTTGTCAAGTCACTAAAAGTAAATATGACCACTCTGGCACCGGGGCTGAGTGGAGGAACAAGAATGTTTTGGTTTTAAATCTATAATGTCTTGTTACTTCTGTAAATGGAAAAGGTAAATAAATGGTTAGTCACCCTGATCTGGGCATAAGTTCAAATCATAGTTTCCACTGGGTATTGGCCAACTATTTCGTTCATTAAGACTCCTCAACTTAGTCCTTTCACGTCTCAAGATGAAACTGTAGAATAGGTGTATGGGCTCATACACCTTGAAAGTCAGGGTATTACTCTTACATGCCTATCATCAAACTTCTTTATGTGAGTTTCCTAAAACTGACCATAAAAGACATACACATTTTAATTCGAAAAAAACACAATTAAGGCTAAACCAAATAATAGTCTTGGTTTCGTTTTTATTTACATTCCCTCTCTCTCTCTTTCAAAAAAACATTCCAATTGTTTTGTGTATGAATAATATGCTAAATTAAGTGCTGGCAGAAGGCCTGGTAATGAAGTTGATGTTAGGCAGACAGACAGACAGTTTATTCAGTAAGAAGGCCATAGGCCCATAAACAGACAATGGTTGATTGCATGAACTAATGCTAGTTGATGTTGGGTTTGTGTAGTGTTGTCCTGGCATGTGAAGAAAATCATATTTGATTACAATGATTTAACCAATAAACAAAATAAGTGACCCTTCATTCCTGAGGAATAAACCTCTATTATCCTCAAATAACACCTATTTTCCCATGTAGAAACCATATACCAATGTGCTTAGTATTCAGGTGAAGAAACATGACAATATCCCTACAACAAAATGATCTGAACTGAATATCAAATGGGTAATAAATATTCAGATACACACTTCTACAATCTCCCAGATAACTAATTGAACTAACACACCAACAGATTAAATCAGTCTAATAAAAATGCTAATGCTGACAGAAAAACACTAATTAAATAAGTGACCGTTTCACCCATGAATTCATCCACAGACAACCACACCAACAAATTTGAAACTGTGTGTGTGTTACGAAAAGTTCAAAATCTTATTCTTAATCACAAGGCATAGGTTTTAAACTTTGTGCAAATGTAATAACCATAAGTTAGGTGAGCTACAGTGACTTAAGGCTCTATTTCTAACTTTTAATATTAGGGTTAGGACCCCTTGACTTTCTTGTGAGTGAAATATACAACTCTGTTTAAGTAACTGTCATCATTGGCATCATCAAGTATAATAACTCTATAAAATACCACCTGGGATCTCTTCAATAACCAAATTATACAAATGAAACAAAGGCCTTTCTTTTTTTAACTTAATGGTTTACAGACTTATGTTCTGGAGTACAAGTGAAGCTATGAATACTATTTGAGCTAACAATTATGGATCACCGACCAATTACCACTTGTCTCAGTCAGACAGGGACATAATTGATGAATTTGTAGTCATACGTGTGATTATCATGATCAGTGTCAATAACAAAAAGCTTCAAACTGGACTTTTTTTCTATATTCCTGATTATTGGGGTCGGCGGCTCTGTAAACCAAATAAGATAAAATAAAATCCTTAGAAAAACAGATAGCTTAAGGCATGTCGTTAGGCCTCCCATGTTTAATTCAACATCTATATTTTCCAAATTCTAGCAAGCCCAATTACTGGAGTAGTGAAGGATCACAAGAACTTGAATACTTTCAATTCACACAGTCTGTGTTTATTTGTGCCTAAATCCTGTCAATCTTCTAAACTTTTCTTGTAAACTAGATTTCACTCTTTAATATACATGTATGAGGTATAACAAAGTAACTTAGGGTTTGATGTTAAAGACACACAACGGTTGATGTACTCATGAATTGTCTCGATCATTCAGGGCCTTGAGATCCACATACACATTGAGACATGTGTGGTGAGACAATGACACTGGTAGAGGACTTAACATTTTCCAGTCTGATGGAGGCCCATTCAGATCCAAGCAATGTACCATGTCATGGGCACGGAATTTGTCCTCAAGTCCACCTGATATCACCAACTCATCTCTGAATATGTGACATCCACCAAATTTGTGATAGCCATGGGACAGGATGAAATCGCTTAATCTGTTTGTTACAGGATTGTAAACTTTTAATCTCTTGCCCGGTTGGTCATTGATGAGAAGCAAAAATCCATCGACTGCTACACAGTCTGTTCTGCTGAGACGCAAGTCCTCGGCATCAATCTGGGAAGACAGTATTGCAAGATCATGCCATTCATTGTCTAATGGGTTATAGTACTGAGCACCTTTGTAGGAGTCAAACGACACATCCCTTCTCCCTGCTGCAACAGAGCTATGCATTCCACCCAGCAGGTACAGCTTGCCATCGAGAGGAGTCAGAGCTGCATTTCCAATTCCCTGAACTTCTTTGATAGCAGGGAGACTGGTCCACTGGTCTGTGGCTGCGTTGTATACTTCTCCATCAGGTCTGACTGTGATCTTCCTGTTGCCCCGCCCACCTACAATATAGACTAAGTCTTGAAGTGTTGCACTGCTATGGTTGTATCTCACGCCATTCATTGACTGTACCTGTCTCCATGTGTCTGCCAAGACATCATACTCCCATGCCTCGGAGAATATTTGCTTCTGTTTGTCATAAAGAGGCACCTCAGTGGTTACCCCTCCAGTAAGGTAGAGTTTGTTGTTCCGCAAAGCCACTCCAAAATGATGTCGTTTCTCAAATGGAAATGAGGTCATCGTGTGCCATCTACTGGTTTCGGGGTTGTAGAAGAAGACATCATTGGTGCTGTATTGACTTGAATTTGTGTCCCGACTCACAACAACCATCACCTGCTCATATCTGGAAATCCTGGTAACACCAGTACAGTTCATCAGCTGGTCGTACATTTCTTTGCCACACATCGACAAAACATCAGCAGTATCAACATCTGTCTGACTGAGTCCAAGAGGAGAAATCAAATCACACAAGTCTCTCTTTCTGTCATTCTGTCTAAATATGACCCAGTTTATTATGGATTTCAAAACTATCATTTCAGAATCCACCTTCAGAGTTCTGCTTGTGACTATTCTGTTGAGGAGATCTTTTGGAGTGTGGAGGAAGGACTCACTTTGTGCAACATCTTTGAAATGGGTTTGAATATATTCCCATGCTGCTTCTTTAAGGTCTGGCAATAGATGAGCCTCAGCTAGTTGAAATATTTTTAGACAGGTATCATAGTTGATATGCTGAAGAAGAAAACCACTACATGCATGAACAAGGTCCCTCAGCTGGAGGAAATCTGCACATTCTAATAGATCTATCACTTCATCTGCAGATACTGTCAATGTAGCTGTGTAAATGAAGTCGATCAGTTTTGTGAAACTACTTAAAGAAACTCCCTTCAGACAAACAGTGTTTTGCTGTTCTGTGTTTGAGAAGGAGAAGTATGCACTGAAATATGGGCAGCAAGAATCGAGAAGGATCTTGTGGCATGGAAACTCTTTTCCCTCTACTCGAATGATAATATCAGTAAACTGTCCAAGTTGGCGACACTTTTCAAAGTGGTTCCATGCTAGGCTATAGTTTTCCATTCCATGATAGCTGAATACTTCAGTACGGTAGCTGTCAAAGAGGGAGGTAGGTGGTTGTGTATTATCCTCATCCATTTTACCTGAAATGACATAAAATATTCCACATCTATTTTCTCAAACATCCTAAGATGATTGCTTTATTATGTAAACTGGTAAATCAGCGATGCTCAGATGATATGAAGCTATGAATATGATGAGAATATTTTACAAACAACACAAATGTTTTGTCATATGAACTCACTTTTTATATTCCAGTGCCAAATTATCATGTTTACAACAAATAATATATATATCATATAAGTTTATCCATTCATAACCAGCAGAATATTGACACTTGCTGTGCAGCACACTACACACAAGGGGTGGGGGGGGGGGGGGGGGGGGGGCATGCTTTGCACAGAGAATCTAATGCTCAGTTGTTTACTGTTTGGAATTTTAACCAGAAAGCTTGATTATCCTCATTCACGTCTAAAATGTCCAATCAAATGACACTGACACACATTCCTTACGTAACGTTGTTAATAGTTACATAAGTGGATGAGTGCTGTCTGGGTTTACGCCGCTTTTAGCAATATTGCAGCAGTATCACAAACGGGGTACCCATGTGGGGAAGTAATTAAGTAGGTATAAACGGAATTAAAAAAAACCCATTACCACTCAAAGGCAATATTGTTGGTTACCTTCCAGAATTCCTGTTCAACTTCACAAGTCCAAGCCGATTCTCACACAAGTCAAGTTTATATCAGTTGTTGTTGTTGTACCAATACCACGGCAATATCACAATGACAAAAGTCAAGCTCGTGATAGACTGTGGGTACGTGATGGTGTGTTTCCGAAGACAAATTCAACGAGAAAATGTCTCAACACAACAGTCAGCATGGGTATATTTGCAGGAGGCCTTCCAGATTAGTTAGTACGGTATATCAGTGCACGCACAATACACGTGACAAACATATAGAATTGAAGGTGACACGGTGACCCAATTTCATGTCGAAAGAGTAGTGACGATATGCAGTATTTATTTACAGCACATACCAACATTCCCGTAGCAGACGCACTTTTCCACCCGGAAGTTATCGGCGTGATGGTTGAACCATGTTTTGTTAAGTAAACTTTCATTGGGTGATATTTTCGTTTTGACCAATGAAATACGTTCTTACATTATTACCCAAACGTCATTTACCCCGGAAGTTCGTAACCTCAATGTCTTACCTTCGGTTATGTAGTAACATGTGATGAATTGACGGACTATAACGTACAACTTAAGGAATAAGATAAAACAGTGTACAAAATGAAGAGTAGATTTAGCACAGTCGATATTAGCGCAGTGGTCAAGGAACTTCACAGGTAAACTATTTCTATTCTAAACTTTTCTCCGAAACGGGTCATGGCTATTTTTGTAAAATGTGTATCTTACTGTATGACGATGAGTGTTTTGAACATGACTGTATACACAACAAATATCTAAATTGCGACATTTACTGAGAGGATGTACTTTTTATGATGAAAATTAATTACATATAGAAAAACACAACAACAATGACTGACAACACAATATGTTCCTGGGCAAAATATATCTATATATCAAAATCCTAAAACATATTGTACACGTTGTAAAATCAACATAGAATCTCGATCAGATTACACATGAATGTATTTGAATGATATGAATGGTGTAGGTTTAATGAGATACCACCAACTTCATGTTCCAGGGATACTTCTTTTGTTACTCCTTCCATTTACACTTGAACCACTAACATTCATCACTAAGGTTCATATTTATCATAGCAAATGCACTGATTGAATCATTGGTTCCGAATTATTCAGTAACTATGTTTTCATATACATTGACACAGCACCCCACCCCAACACACCCCACCCCTCCATCATTCATGGAATTTGATCTGATCTTTGGATCTGATCTTATAGATGTTTATTAACATTTGTAATGTTCACCAAGCATGTACTGACTGGACTTTGTTGTCATACCAGTATACTATATATCTGTCCAGAATGTCCAATTAGGATATGGTGATTATGTGAACATCACAAAATAATTCTGAGTTTTTATAATTTACATGTGATATGGTACAATGTAACCCTGATGAGTAGAAAATGAATGGACCTGGAAAAAAACCTATACTTAACACTAACAGGTTTTGTAGTTTACCAATCACTACTTGATTGCCATTATTGAATCATCTACCTCACATTCTTTATGTACTGTTACACACATGTGTATATCCCATGATATGGGACACAAATAATAACTAAAATAATAGTCATGAGCTTTAACAGTTTACAGTCTGTATTTCATGTTTAAATTTAATCTGTTTAAAGAATTCTACTTATCAGACACAACATAATGATAATTATATGGTTAGAACACCGGGACCAAAGGAAAGTATCTACAAAAAAGTTATAAGGTTTCAACTTAGTGACAATTCACTGTATATCAATATGACAATTGCGACAATTTACGGGACCGGCGGATGCTTGTAACACATAGATAATGATTTGGGACTTTAAACATGTTAAAACACACAATTGATAGGTTTTTCCTTCACATCTCTAATTTACATAATTCATGGTCCAACTAAGAGTGAAACAGCATTGTGATAATCGTTAACTAGGCATTAACGGGCATTGTCTAGGTTTCTAAACTTCTTTTTCTTCTTCTTGGTTGGCATCAAACTAACTGGATAGGATCACAGTATTATCCAACTCAAGCTGCAGTATCTCAATGAAATTGTACAGATTTGGATGCTGCCCCTCAATATGATATGTTGACGTCGACCCACTGCTCAGTGACTTATTATTGTGCTTGGTGACAAAGTCATCTTTGGTGTTAATGGTGGTCGGGCATACTCGATGGGAAATATCTCCAACGAATGGAGGTTTGAAGTCTGGTCTTAATCATGAACTTGTATCCGCAAAAGCCAAGTGCCGACCCCTCTTAGAAGTGGTAATAAACTGTATATCAACCTGCACATATGCCACAGTGGAATACGGTTTCTTGTTTGTAATTACTTTTATTACCCAAATCGTAATAAATGATTAATATGTTCAGTCATGCATTGACATATATTTTTAAACTTGTCGCTCAGTGCATGTGAATTTTGTTCACTAATTATTTCATTATATTTGAGATGTGTTCCCATTAGTTGTGTCATCTGTGACATACCCCCCTTAATCCCCTCTTGTCTTACCAATCGCCCCAATCAGATGAAATTGTACCTACAGCAATAGGTGCTGGTCGAGTTGGGAGACCCCCAATAAACCACCATGCAGACTGGGCACCCCGGTCGTTGAATTGCGCTCCGCATCAAATACAAGTTACCTGTTTTAACCTTCAGAAAGGGTAACCCCCACAGTGGCAGAATGTTTTCGTTTTCGCACGATTTCGCCCCTCGTTGTTTATCGTCTATTTTACGTTATTTCTGTTTTTCAAACATAATTTTGGTCAAGCATTTGTGATTAAGTATGTCCTAAAGTATTAAAATCTGCAAAATTGCTCTGTTGACTTTATTTGCCCGTTAACAAGAATGTTTAACATGTTTAACTAAGTGCCCATGGCAGGCACATTTGAGAGAACAAAACTCCCTCTATTTTGCTCCAAATGTGGATTTTTGTTTAAAAAATTAAAATATTTTAACATACATTCAGTGCTGTAATGTAAAATCAAAGCTTTTATAAAAATCATTTGATTTCCCTTCTTTTTACCAAGACCACAGTAGCTTTTTAAAACATGGGGTTCCTGGGGTCCTTGATCTTGTCAGTGTTTGCTCTTATAGTATTTAGATCTACATTTCCTAGGGGCCACCTAAACCTTTAACATCATGGTTACAACAAGGACCCTGTAACTTTCAAATGTTGGATAGAGTTCTGCAATCTGGTACATTGCTAGAAGTGCATGGCTTGTGGCGGCGAATGTGGACTGCTTCTGTTAGTTTTCCTTTACTGAAATCAAGGAGGTTGTTGGAGAGGATTTGGACGTTGTCCCAGTTGATGTTGTGATTAGGACAGTTGCCGATATGGTCTGAGATGACTGATTTAATGGTTGAGGTTTTGTGCTCTTTGATTCTGGTGTTGATGGGGCGGGATGTTTCACCTTTACAGTATTAAGGAAGTTGTTATCCATAAAATTGTGTCCACCTTGTCATCTGTCAACTTCTAAGTAATGCCTATCAAACAATTTATCTGTATCGGGATTACAACATGATTGTTTTGTGTATGTTTACAGGTTCCTTGGCATGCGTGTGGTCAATATCTATGATATAGACAACAAGACCTACCTCATCAGGCTGGCAAAGTAAGTATGACTGAGGCTTAAACATGATGTGGTTCTTGATCATTGATATTATATACCGTATTCGACGTAATAAGCGCCTAGGGCGCTCTCAAAATTAGAAATAAGGGTCTCTCAAAAGAACAATATTTTGGTGAGAGAAAAAACAGAGTTGAACATGTTGAAAGATAAATTTCATGGTTTATGCTGACAAGCTGAAATGTTTATGTACGACAGATAGATACTGTTTTTTTTCAGAATTTAATTGCCCATAATTAAGGGTGCATATAACACACGAGTGCGTATTATACACGAATAAATAAGTCTTGTGTACATCGATCAATCGGAAGGGGTGCTAATCGGGATTGTTACTAGCCAATATCTTTGCAAATGACGCCGTGGACGCTTATTAGAGCGGGGCTCTTATTATGTCGAATACAGTATATCAGTATGATGGTCGAGATAGACCCCGTCAACTCCAATACAGCATGCAAAAGTGAGGATTGGATGGTTACGATGTTTGATTGTGTAGTTTTATACCCCTCAGGTCATACTACAATCAATTCTTGCTCATGCTGTCAGTTAATGGTTTACTTGGTCCAGACTCAATGATTTACAGGACAGGTGCCCTGTTCACAAAGCCTACTTAGTGCTACGAGAACTCCAATACAGCATACACTTAGCAGTCGTGCAATGAAGAACACGATGAATGCTTTCTGTAACCCGGCCAAGTGGTTAAGTGGGTGATTGAGTATGGTTTTACACCACTCTCAGCAATATTCCAGCAATATCACAGCAGGAGACACCAGAAATGGGCTTCACATGTATCCAAGTGGGTCCCAGTGATTAAGACCACTGCTATATCATCATCTCCCTGAGGCAAGGGAATTAACTGACTATGAAAGTCCAGTTTTGCCGAACTACGCTGGAATTTCTGGGCTCGATCGTAGCATGACCAGTGGCTATTACGAGTTATGTCCCTCCTATGTCTCTCCTTTCATATCATTTGCATTTGCTTCAAACAAAAGGGCGGCACCTGGTCAACATGTAGTCAAGATAATCTGATTGATAATCAAGATCTATATTGGGATATATTGGGACTTGCCAAAATCCTAAGATTGTATCATGCACCTTGATTCTGTTGCTAGGTTTGTCAGCACCGTCCCAGTGCTCGTGGCTTTTTCACAAATGTCTGAGACCTGTATCACCTCGTGCTTTCCTCACACATGAAGCTGACACACAGAAGTACTGAATTACTGGTCCAAGCGGCATTAAACCCTACTCACTCTCACTATTGTACAGTATAATCAGTTTTCAAATCTGTTCTATTTCCAGACCTGATAAAAAAGTGGTCATTTTGCTGGAATCAGGAATACGCCTTCACAGTACTGAGTTTGACTGGCCAAAAAACCCAGCTCCGTCCGGCTTCTCCATGAAGGTAAGGGATTATTATGATGATGATGATGACTACTAATCAGGCATGATGTCATTATTGCATTGAACTGTATTACATGTTGCATCCCAAAACTTGGAATAGTAAGATACATGCAGTGAAAAGATGTCATTAGAACCAGAGAAATAGTGAAAATATACATGTTGAGATACTTGAGACTGCAGGTAGGATTTTATTAGTTCCCAATACGAAATACATTTGTAAACAGAGGTTATCACGCTAGTGTTATCTGAGATGGTAAATATCCTGTATTAGGAATAAACATTGTATTCAGCGAGCCTTGGGGAAATAAACAGGTTAACACAGGATATTTACCATCCCACAACACACATATCCAACAACCAATCAGTACAAATTCCCAAATTAGAGTTTCCCAACTCATGCTAATATAGTTACAACTGAAGTTTAATTCACTGCTGTCAAGGGGCACGGGTGGCCCAGTCGTCTAAGGCGCCACGATTCGCTGTGCAGAGTTGCGTCCCTTGGGCACGCCAGAAACCTATAATTGTGGGTTTCGAATCCCGGTTCGCCCCAATTATGTTTCTAGGTTTGTCAGCACCATACCCGTGCTTGTGGGTTTCACAGAAGTGGTAAAGTCTAAGACCTGCTTTCCTCCCACATCAAAGCTGACACGCCGTGATATAACTGGAATACTGTTAAAAGTGGCGTTAAACCCAACTCACTCACTCACTCACTGCTGTCATCACAAGACCCTATTATAAATATGAATACAGCAAAGTACTTGTTTTATGCCAATGCTGTAAGAACACAAATACTCTAACATTTATAATATGCAATTATGTTAAAAAAGCAAAGAAATGTATTATATCTTATATTGTTTGCACCTACATTGTATTTTGTCTGTACAAAAAGGCCTGTGGCCTACAAATACTGAATAAAGTGCAGAAGAAGTTACAACTGATATAATGGCTTTTTAGAGGTGATTTGTTGTCAAACTATAACAATGTATAACAGGACCAATATTCACAATGGGGATGAGGCTGCCGTTTTGAATGTAGCTCAAGGCAGAACTCGCGTTCAGAAGATTCATTTTGATAGTTGTTGATTTCAGACTAACAGGAGAAATTTCGTGTTGACTTAGCATATGGGATAGTGATAAGAAAGATGACATGACTTCTGAAACAAAGCTATGGAGGTACATGGGTTCAGGGTTATTGATCATGATATACAGGGCTCCATTTGTAATCTGGAAAACCTTACCCAGACCTACGACTGTTGTCATGTTACCATGGTTACTAATGCTTTGTACATCGGGCCCCTGAGAAACTATGGTGAAATTACTTTACAATAATGTCAGGCCATCTGGTTACGTGTTATTTCATACTGGGGGGCACGGGGGGGCCCAGTCGTCTAAGGCGCCGCAATTCGCTGTGTGTTAATCGCGGCGTTAATCCCAACTCACTCACTATTTCTTACTGTGTGATTTCAGATGAGGAAGCATCTCAAAGGTCGCCGGTTGGAGAGTATTCAGCAACTTGGTGTTGACAGAATTGTTGACTTCCAGTTTGGCTCCAGTGAAGCGGCGTACCATGTCATTCTGGAGCTGTATGATAGGGTAGGGCCCCCTGCTGAACATGGCATTTGGATATCTTCTACTAATACTTGAACAGCTCAAACATGTTAAAAAGAGAGCAGTGCTGAGAGGTGTATGAAATCAATCAAGTTATCATTTTTGGGCTAGATCTTTTTAGCAAACAGTGTTGAATGTATTCTTCATTAGCTCAAACAGTGTTGAATGTATTATTCATTAGCTCAAACAGTGTTGAATGTATTATTCACTTGCTAAGTTATCTTTTTTACAGTTTTTAAGTGAATAATTGTCAGTTACTAAAGCATTTTATAATACAAAGACTTCCACCAAATTCTTTGGCCAAGAAGCGGTCACATGTCATTTGACCGAAACCTGTACTCACTCGCAAGTCAGGTCTGAAAATTTACGGTGTTGACTTGAGTTACTTAAAATAGAATGGGAATTTCCCAGAAGTGATATTTGCTTAATCTTAAGCCAGTCAAATGTCTCTGGAACATTCAACACTATTGTAGCTAATATAGTTTGATTTGTTGAATATGGTTTTGTCTCTTTATTATATAATAAACAATTATAGATTGTTTTATGGACCTGAAATTTACCTCAGTCTACCAGAACTTGTCCTCGGTCCATATTGCTTTTTTGAGGGACGCATTAAAGCAGGTATTGACCTCATACAAAGCCTACAATTGTATATTACTGTCTGAGTTTGTCCCTTTACATGTTTATCAGCAGATTTGACAACACTCAGACTCTGTACATTGGTCATATGCTGAAATAGATGGTTGTGGTAAAGGACAGTTGACCTAGTTGCTGATAACAACAGGTTCACCATATTTACCAAATGTTTTCAAGCCCTACTCTGTTGTTTTTGGTACAGGCTGTGGTAAATGTGTATTACAGCTACTTGTACTTACTGGATGTGTTTATTGTTTCTCCAACAGGGTAACATTGTCCTGACAGACTATGAGTATACAATCCTCAACATCCTCCGGCCGCGCACAGACAACAGCCAAGATGTCCGCTTTGCTGTGAGGGAGACCTACCCTGTAGCGGTTGCCAAACAACATGAGCTGCCGACAGTAGAGAGGTGAGTGTTTCCAGATGTTGAGTATTAGCTCTGTTGACCAGCGTAATGTACATGATGTATTGTGACTTCTAGCACTATAGAAGCACTGTATACTCCCCATGCAGCTGAGAATGAAAATCAAGTGCACACTGATCTAGTGACTTGGGTAATAATAAGATCTAAGCCATCCTCTGTATCTCCAGGGCCAGCATTTCGGTAAACCTGCACTGACCTCTGGATCCATTCCTGTGTTTCTTGCAATCTCAAGATACCACCCTTAATTTTCATTAACATTTTACTGACTCTTCAAACATTGAGAAAAGGGAAATGGGTAAGGGAGGTAACTCATATTGCCTAGAAACCAAAGTGTCGCCAGTTTTGATGGACATGAAGACATCCTTTCCATCAAAAAGATTTTTGGGGCTTTGTAGGTTCACTGAAATGCGAGCCCTGGAGATATACAGGATGGTCTAAGCGCAGTTGAGCAGTTATAAATTGAAAAGTGTGCTACACAGACTACTACTACTACTACTACTACTACTACTACTACTACTACTACTACTACTACTACTACTACTACTACTACTACTACTACTACTACTTCTTTTACTACAGCTGCTGCTACTACTACTACTACTACAGCTGCTACTGCTACTGCTACTACTCATTGTGTAGCCATGAGCATGCTTCATGCCATGGCTAAGACACATGATAAAGTAGATGCTAACTCATATTTCATCCTCTGACCAAATGGGCTCCCATGTCATGTTCCTAATAATGAGCTAGTTATGTATGAGTGAGTGTTGCAGCCTCAACCCATGGCAAGAGTTAATCACTGAAGTCAGTGTGACATGTGTTTTTCAGGTTGACACAAATTATGTCAAATGGAAAAGAGGGAGATCCACTGAAGAAATTGCTGGTTCCAAATTTAGGTAAGGTTTAATCATTGTCACCCCAGTAGGGATTCTGGGGCAGTATAGATCCCTTGTCCCCCGTCATTGTAACCCAGGTAAAGCCCAGTAACGAGGGTGGGAATTATGGGTAGCCTGGGTGATCGTGTGTCACCCGGAAGCAGTGCTTTCAATTTCAGCCATTGGTCTGCCGGTCCCAGACTGGATTAGCCAAAGACAATAAAGACAACTATGATATACAATGAAAACGTTTGGGGGATTTTTTTAATGAAATTGTGTACTCAGTCCTCACTCCAAATATTATCCCTAGAAATATTAAATGATCTCTAACTTTTTTGTTGTTCTGTATAGCTAGCTGGAACATTGCTGACTGTGGCATACAACAACATTCACTCACTGTCACTGTCGAGAGTGTATCTCGATCAAGTGTGTTGATTTTCAGCAATTTTGCTTTTAAACAGATGGAGATGTTGCTTGATGATCTGTTGTCTTTCTTCTTTTTCAGCATCACAAAATGCAAACATCATCATCTGTCATTTGCTTGCTTGAGACAAAATTTTGATTCAGTATTTGTAAATCTTTTTCAACTCAACATCAATGGGGATTTTGTGGTAACCATAGTAACCTTGCTGTCACTCTTGTTTTGGAGGAAGCTGAGGTAATGGTGTGGATGAAATAACATCATGTTGTCACGTATTCCAGACTACGGCCCTGCCCTGCTGGATCACTGCCTGCTGGGCGCAGGCTTTGCAGAGAATTGCAGGATTGGAAAAGGCTTTGACATCTCGCAAGGTAAGATCAGTTACATGCTGATTTAAGAGTTGTTTGTCCTCTGTTCATAAACATTTTAAGAGGTGCCCATTGAAATTTTGGTGTGCCAATGAAAAGAATACTTTCAATTGCTGAACTAGGTGAATGTCATGATCTAAATAGCGAGCAAGATTGACAATATTTTCTCCCAAGTTTCTAACCGAGATAACTAAGATAGTCTGTGCAAGGGGCATGATAGCTGTGTTCTTATTTTCATTTTCCATTTATTTGTAAAGTTTACCAACCATGTTTACTTGTGCCAACTTTGTCGCTGCATGGCTTCATATGGGTTCATATAATGTGAATCATGATGGTATTTAAAAATTATGTAAGATAGGTGAGTGCCCTTCAGGCACCAAGAACTGATTTCAACTGTACAGTTATGTGTTTAGTTGTCCTTTCACACTATTTATAAGATATTCTGAGTATTGTGAGTATCTGATGTATTGCTGTGTGTTGTTGTTCCAGACATGCCCAAGCTGTTTTCAGCTATAGAAGAGGCCGAGGAAATGCTGCAGACATTTCAACAGGAACAGTGCAAGGTGGGTTGATCAGAGGACATAGGGTGGAACTGAGGGATGGTATACTGAGCTGTCATTTTCCAATATTATGTCTGTCCTGTGGGCAACAGAAACAAAGAATCACCCGCCAGGTATCAGGGGTTTGTTTAAAAAATGTTTTTGTCATTTTAGTCACTGACAATGGGGGGCGGTCGCTGATCGTAAGAAGTGATCAAATGGCTTGGATGGTCAGACTCAGTGACTTGGTTGATAGTGTTTCATCATACCCTAAAAACGTGGATTGTCTGGTGCAGAGTCCCTGATATAGCTGGAATATTGCTGACTGGGGTGTACAATAACATTCTCCTAGAGTACTCCGGAATCAACATAAAATTTATATGGGGATAATCGGTGTGAACATTGACCCTGTTGGCTGGTGGACTGGTGTAAAGTTTTACCCATGTTTCTTTCCATCTGTCAGGGATACATCACCCAGAGGATTGATAAGAAACCAAACCCAAAAGATGGTGAAGATGCTGAACTGCTCACGTGAGTCCTTCTAGAATTTAGACCGCCTCCATGTTCTAGTGGTAGAGCATCTGTTAAAAGATGGTACTTGTTGTTACCCTGTCTGGCGCTTGGCATTAAGGGGTTAAAGCAAGGTCTGGTCGGCTCGGAGTCAGTATACTGTGTCTGAGTGGGGTATTCATGTTAAACTGCGGCATGGTATCTCAGTGTGCTAGCACTATAAATCGGCATCAGTCCGGTCTAGTACAAGCAGCCACACACACACACACACGTACATGCATGTCCTAAATAAGTGCAATAATCTTAGACATGACGTTAAACCCACCTCACCTCACCTTCTAAAATTTGGATGTCACTGATAGTAATGTGCTGTCTGGAGCATCCATGTGTGACTTCAGAGCTGACATATGAGGATCATTGTATCGTTAATAGGTGTGTTGTTGCTCATGCTGTGGGCCACTGGTTTGTCTGGCTTGACCTGATTATGTACAGGTCACATGATGTAGATATGACTGGCATGACACAACATTCACTCACTCTCTCTCGCACTCCTTGGTGAATTCTCAAATAATTGTTTAATAGCTGGTGACACAGTTCATTCTTGGAAGCCTTCAATAATTGTATAACTATATTGAAAATGACTGAGAGTTTATGTTAATGTTATGACTTATGTGTTCATTGTGTGTTTATCTTACTTTATTCAATATCATAAGGGGCGGTTGGGTAGCCTAGTGGTTAAAGCGTTGGCTCGTCACGGCGAAGACCTGGGTTTGATTCCCCACATGGGTACAATGTGTCAAGCCCATTTTCTGGTGTCCCCTGCTGTGCTATTGCTTGCATATTGCTAAAAGCGGCGTAAAATCATACTCACTCACTCACTCACTCATTATTCTGCTTCAGGTATGAGGCCTTCCATCCATTTCATCTGCGCCAAGATGAGAAGAAGCCCTTTTTAGAATTTGCTTCTTTTGACAGGGTAAGCAAATTGTTCACTTCAATAAGACATTTAAAAATTGAAAAAAAAGACCAACCCTATATGTAATCAAGATTCAATATATGTTCATACTGTTTCATGTAGAAGCGTGTTGATATTTTGATATTTATCTCCTCTAGGCGGCTGATCAGTTTTTCTCTCAGTTGGAGAGCCAGAGACTTGACGTGATGACACTCCAACAGGTAGGTCAGATTGTACAGACATGTGAAGTTCATCTACATGTTAAGCAAGCATGTCAGTCTCTAAAATGTGACAAACAGGACACTAATTCATCTCTTCCTCGGGCTTGTCATGGATGTTGACTAATATGGATTGTGCAGCCTTAGAAATTCACTCTAGAATCCAAGGATTGTAGTCCTCATTGACAAGTAGCATTTGAGGGCTATTATTCTGAATCAGTTCTAAATGCTTCAATTATACTACAAATTAGAACTGAATAAAACTGACAGAAAAAGTAAATATGGTCAACAATTCTGTCTCCTTCAAGCAGGACCAGCTGCAAACTAGACTCAAGTGAAATCAGCCTGTAGTGACCTGACTGGTTGTCATGGTACCCTGATAGTGTGGGACCCGGGAAGATTCCGGGGTAGAATAGGTCTTCAGCAACCCATACTTGCCGTAAAAGGCGACTATGCTTGTCGTAAAAGGCGACTAACGGGATTGGGTGGTCAGTCTCGCTGACTTGGTTGATACATGTCATCGATCCCAATTGCATGGATTGATGCTCATGATGATTGTCTGGTCCAGACTCGATATTTTACAGACCGCCGTCATATAGCTGGAATATTGCTGAGTGCGGCGTTAAACAACAAACAAACAAAACAAAAAATGATAGTGTTGATTGTTGCTCTTACTATTGACCACTGGTTCATCTGACCCACATCGATTACTGCTGATTGTGGCATCAAGCAACACTCTTTCTCTCGCTCATTTTAGTCAGTTGTATGTAGACGGACAGAAAGCTGATAACAGAAATGTTTGAATAATGAAAACTGCATAATGTGTAGAATCTTGTGAGACAAGAGCACAAGGAGACAAGTGGAGTCTGTGAAGACTACATAGTAAAATATCCGTGATTAGTTGTTATTTAGATGTAAAACCTACCGCTCAACTGTTGATAAATACACTGAGATACTTCATACTGCTACCTCTACATGTGTTTAACCACCTCTGTGGTCTAGTGGTAGTGGTTCGATCCCCAGCCATGTCATACCAAAAGATGTTAAAAGATGGTACCCTGTCTGTTGCTTTGCATTAAGGTGCTTTAACAAAGACTGGTCGGCTTGGAGTCAGCATACTGTGTCTGAGTGTGGTATTCATGTAAAACTGCATGGTATCTCAGTGGGCTTGCACTATAACATAGGTTAGTGCGGACTAGTACAAGCAGCCAAACAAACACATGTGCATACACGTCGCAGTATATGTGCAATAATCTTGGATGCAACGTTAAACCCCGTGTCACCTCACCACCTCATGTGTTGAGTAATGAAAGGTGGGGAGATTCTAGAAAATAATAAAACCATCCGTATCAAAAGTGAAATAGTGTACTGATGTGTTTAGAAAAAGGTTCCCTCATGTATAGACTTATGTGTGTGATAGGATAGAATTTATGAGTGAAACTTATGTTCCTTCAGGAAAAGACAGCTCTGAAGAAACTGGATAATGTGAAGAAGGATCATGAGAAGAGACTGAACGTGTTGCAGAAAGAGCAGGTAGGAAGATGCACATAAGCCAAACTTTAGTATTTGGGTGGAATCATTTGGATAATTTGAACCACATTCTGCCATTACGAGAGAAATAGATTGTGAACTTAGTGATCTGGAATTTGTCATAACCATTTTAACATTTTACCCTCTATTTCAGGAAGCTGATATTTTCAAAGGACAGCTGATTGAAATGAATCTACAACTGGTAAGATCGATTAAAAATAATAAGAGCTTCTCAAATTAATTATTCTAATTTGTATTATGACAATGACTGCTTAACATAAATAGATTTTGGATTGGCGATCATGAGGATAGAATAATGCCACTGTGTGAATCTTGCACATGATAGAGGCAATGACGGATTGGCTGATCTCGGCGTGTATGTTTTTGAAAGGGATAATCCTGTTATACCATGGTTCACTGAACTGATTACTTATCGTTTGGACCTCGTGAAGATCTGGGATTAGAATTGGTCTTCAGCAACCCATGCCTGTTGTAAGAGGTGACGGGGGGCGGTCGGTGTAGTCTAGTGGTTAAAGCATTCGGTCGTCACGCCGAAGACCCGCGTTCGATTCCCGACATGGGTACAATGTGTGAAGCCCATTTCTGGTGTCCTCCCCCGTGATATTGCTGGAATATTGCTAAAAGCGGCGTAAAACCATAGTCAGTCAGTGTAAGAGGTGACGAACAAGATTGGGTGGTCAGCTGACTGAGTGATGCATGTTTTTGTATCCTGATTGCATAGATCGATGACCTGTGAAAATCCGAGGTAAAATAGATCTTCAGCAACCCATGCTTGCCGTAAAAGACGACTATGTTTGTCGTAAGAGGCGACTAACGAGATTGTGTGGTCAGGCCCACTCACTTGAGTGATGCATGTCAATTGATCCCAATTTCAAGGATCGATGCTCATGATGCCAATCACTGGATTGTCTGGTCCAGACTCGATTTTATATACTGACCGCTATCAAAAGCTGAAATATATCTGATTTTAAACCACAGACAACCACACATATTATTTACCAGCTGATATGATGTAATAGCAATATTTCTGACTTTGACATTAAGATACTCAGAGGAGTATAAAGCATGGAACCCATTTGAGGCAGGACCATATTGAGACACAAGATTTCCTGTTCTTCTGTAGGTTGACCAGGCCATCCTGATTGTCCGCAGTGCTCTGGCCAACCAGATTGACTGGACAGAGATTTGGAACCTGGTGAAGGAAGCCCAGCTGACTGGTGACCTGGTGGCCAGTGCCATCAAGTCTCTCAAACTGGACACTAATCACGTCACTCTTCTGCTCAAGTGAGGTCACATTTATGTCCGTTATTATCTAAAGATGGAAAAACAACATCTTCCATTTTGTTTAGTCTGGAAGCGGGAACATGACATCCTACAGATGTATATTTGACTCCCAACATTTATGGTATTGACTTGAGGTACTAAACATGCTAAAATGAGGTTCTTACTCCTTGCATGTGGCATCACCAATCCTAGCCCAGTCAGATTTCTCCTCTAAACACAGACTCCATGTGTATGACATTCAAGACAACACAGAATATGCTTGGTTATTAGTTAAAGAAGACCGCCTCCGGGGTCTAGTGGTAGAGCGTCCGCCCCGGAGAGCGGAAGGTCCGGGGTTCGATCCCCGGCCGCATCATTACCAAAAGACGTTAAAAGATGGTACTTGTTGTTACCCTGTATGGCGCTCGGCATTAAGGGGTTAAAACAAGGACTGGTCGCCTCGGAGTCAGTATTCTGTGTCTGAGTGGGATATTCATGTTAAACTGCGGAATGGTATCTCAGTGAGCTAGCACTATTAATCGGCATCAGTCCGGACTAGTACAAACAGCCACACAAACACACACACGTACATGCACGTCACCTCACCTAGTTAAAGAAACTGACAATGAGACAAACTATTTTTGAGGCCTGATTGGAAGTATCTGTTTTTATGGTCTCAAAGAATTACAGTACCTGCTTCAGACTTTGTCCATTATCAACGTTATTTTTGTCAGGACATAAATATAAGTACTTTTGTCTGTACATAACATCATCTATCATTTCGGCTTAATGTGATGACAGTGTCTGACAGATCCAAAGTCGGTTTCTTTAGTATCGGCTGCTTGTTCGTGGCAGTGAAATAGTGAATAACTCCAATAATATTTTGCCTTTGGGTGTTGTTTACTTTTCATTTATTGACAACCCATAAGGATCCGGGTTAGAAAAGGTCTTCAGCCAACCATGCTTGTCATAAAAGGTGACTATGCTTGTTGTAAGGGCGACTAACCGGATCGGGTGGTCAGGATTGCTGAATTGGTTGATGCATGTCATTGTATCCCAATTGTGTGGATTGATGCTCATGATATCAATCACTGGATTGTCTGGTCCAGACTCAATTATTTACAGACCGCCGTCTTATAGCTGGAATATTGCTGAGTGAGGCGTAAAACAACAAACATACAAACAAACAAAATATTTATTTGGATTATACAAGAAATCACAATATGATGTGTATTATTATACATTACTAGTGTGTATCTTGATGCAGAAAGGGGGGCATGGGTGGCCCAGTCGTCTAAGACGCCGCGATTCGCTGTGGAGAGTTGCGTCCCTTGGGCATGCCAGAAACCTATGATTCTGGGTTTGAATCCCTGTTCGCCCCAATTAGGTTTCTAGGTTTGTCAGCACCATACCCGTGCTCGTGGGTTTCACCGAAGTGGTAAACGTCTCAGACCTGCATCACTTTGGGCTTTCCTCCCACATTAAGCTGACACGCCACGATATAACTGGAATACTGTTAAAAGCGGCGTTAAACCAAACTCACTCACTCATTCTAGCATTCTTAGTATTACATATGTTGTGTAAAACAACATTACACCAGCAAACCTCAAATTAACTGTTTAATACCGGTTTATGATTATGTTTTGAGTACTTGTGTTCTCTTCATCATTAAAGAAGATATGATGCTAAGAATATTTTTGGGATACTCACTGATGCAGAAAGAATGACACAAGCTGATGATTGCGATGTTCTGCCAACTTGCAAGGCCATAGTCAGCCAAACATGTTATGATAGAGTTTCTGCTTGGAGAGCGGAAGGTTGGGGAGTTCGCTTTTCCCAGCCTTGTCATACCAAAAGACGTTAAAAGATGGTACTTGTTGAGGGAATGAAAAAAGGACTGGTCGTGTCTGAGTCAGTATACTGTTTCTGAGTGGGGTATTCAGGTCAACTATGGAATGGTATCTACGTGACCTAGCACTATAAATCTGATATTAGTCCAGAATTAGAAAAAATTAGAATTAATACAAGCAGCCACATGCACACCCACAAGCACATGCACACGCACACGCACACTCACAGGGACACACATACATGCATGTCGCAAAATAAGTGCAATAATCTTGAATGTGATGTTATAGCCCCATTTCAACACACCCCACCTCACCGTGACAAGGTAACACACTGTAACAATTAAATTGTAAAAGCGATCCTTTGGATAATGTTCCAGTGGTTGTATTTACACTTGATGTCTCAGGTTGCTTCTAGATAATGGTACTTCATCCCACCTCTGTATTTATGATTCCTCATGATTCCTTCAACACAAATATTAAACAGTGACGCTTTGTTGCAGAGATCCTTATGTAGGAGACATTGAAGATGAGGACGAGTACCAGCCTGTGAAACCGATGAGGATCGATATCGACCTGTCACTCAGCGCCTACGCCAACTCCAGGAAGTAAGTGGCAGACACAGGAACGCAGCGGTTTGGTTGGTGGGGTAGCACAGTGGCTATGGTGTTGCTCATCCTACTTGTATAAAGCCCATTTCTGGCGTCACCTTCAGTGATATTGCTGGAATCGGCTTAGGAACATACTTACCCTAATTGACAGTGACATTAACACTCACATCCCTGGTACGTTTCTAACTCATGTGATTGGAGATTTATTTATTTAACTCACCTGGCCATGTATGACATTCCCTTTCGTCTTCATTATAAGAAGGAAAAAATAATTATTATTTGCTGTCAGAGTTAATGGCTAATGAGTTGGTTGGATGGTTGGTTGTTTAAGGCCGCACTCAGCAATTTTTAAAGCTATATGACGGCAGTCTGGACCAGACAATCCAGTGATTAATATCATGAGCATCGATCCACGCATTTTGGATTGATGTCATGTATCAACCAAGTCAGTGAGTCTGACCACTCGATCCCGTTAGTTGCCTCTTACAACAAGCATAGTCACCTTTTATGGCAAACATGGTTGGCTGAAGACCTTTTCTAACCCGGATCTTCACGGGTCTAATGGCTGATGAGATAATGTCAGGTTCAATTTATATCAGCATTGCAGTTATTAGCTTTTTTTGTTTCATGTTTTTTTCAGATTCTTTGATAAGAAAAGACAAGCAGCAAGAAAAGAGCAGAAGACAATGGATGCATCTAAGAAGGCATGGAAGGCTTCGAAATAGACACTTCTCAGACAATCAATAGTTTCTTTACACAATACAATATCTATTTACAAGTTCATCTAACTTTTCATAGAAACAGGAAATAACCTTTATTCTAAAGCACAAGTTAGATTAAGATTAGACATAAACATTTACAGATGTACCTCATAGATCAACTAGACCACAAAAGGACTATTAGATAAGTGTGTTGATGGTTTAATAAGCCAGTTTGTATTATTTTTGTCTTCCATGTCCACAGGCTTTCAAATCAGCAGAGAAGAAGACAAAGCAGACGCTGAAGGAAGTAGCGACTATTGCTTCCATTAACAAGACAAGGAAAACATACTGGTATGTAGGATCCATCTGTCAGTCATCACAGTTCATTTACAGGTACAGGTACAGAGCACTCGGTCCAATCTCATTAAAATCAAATCTAAGTTCTCGCTGCTGCTAAACAAAGATCTGAGGGCATCCCATTACGGGTCATGTCAGTACCTTTTGCGAACTTTGACCACCCACTGAAACGAATAACAAGAAGTCGACGTCAGCCTTTAGAAAGCAGCTTTCTCGAGCTTTACAGCAGTCGTTTCAACCTGGCAACTTCCATTTGAGACTGCACTTGAAATATATGTTGACACTGTTCTCGATTAGAATTTTGAAAACTGAACAAACGAACATTCCTGAATATCTAATATATGGTTGATTGTATGACAGTGCTTCCCACACACTGTGCAACTGTTTATCTGATAATTTTGACGGAATCAGACGTACTCGCTTTAACTGTCGTTCGGAATACCCCATGTTAACGTTTTTGAGGTTGCATGATTAGAAAACACATTCCGACTGTCAATTTCATGATCTGGTAAGCGATGCTTTGATTGGTTGGATGAAAGGTCGTTCTGACGTGACCCGTAATGGGATGTCCTCAGAGCTTTGTTTGGCGATAGCGAGAACTAAGATCTTATTTTAATGTGATTGTACTCAGTCCTCACTCTCAGTGTATGGAGTCTAGGTTGGTCAGGTTGCCTGGTTGTTGAGGCATTGGCTGGTCAGACAGTCGTGGTCTTCACAAAATCTCATGATATGATACTCGTGTCATTACACAATATATCATGGTTCCCACTGCCACTGGAAAACCTGGAAAACCTGGAAATGTGTTGGAAAAAATTCAAGTCAGGGAAATATCAGGGAATTCACTAAAAACTTCAAAATCAGGGATTTATCAGGGATTTTTTGCTCTTGGAACTCATACTCTCTATAATTTAATGGTTGTGGCAGCCACTCAAATTTAAGCAATGGAGTTTATTCGTTTGAAAAAGAGGTATTTGTCAAATATTACTATATCAAGGTCAAGGTCAATGTGGCTGATAGGGATTTGCGCCCCTTACCTCCAGAGCTAACTAAATTCTAAATTTAAAATATTTTGAGTAAAATATTACATTGCCTCGGTATTAGTTTAACATTTGAATTTCAGAAATCAATTTGAATGTAAAATTTCAAATCTCATAAAGTTCTACTGTTCAAGAACAAACAAAATAATGCAATTAGGATTCTATAAAGCTCTTTGTTAATGAAAAGTGTATCAGTGTTAGATAAATCATTGGAAAAACTTAGGGTGACTTCAGTTGTGGTTATAATTATCTATTCCCTGGTGACCTTTTGAAAGTGCAGATGTATATTTGAATGGTTAGTTTGTGAAATGCTGTGCATGAATGTTGCACTGAAAGTAGTGATGGTATTTACTTTATTATAATGTTACTAATTAGTTCATGTTCATGTTTCTAAAGTTGTGAGATCCTAGTCCTGAAGTCCATTTTCAAAAATTGTAATACTTGTTTTGATTAGGCAATGATTGATGGAGTTAATTTGTAGTTTGAACTCTTTAAATGGTGGCAGATGGATGGCCTTAAGGGGAGGATAATTACTTAGTGACTTAGTTTTCCTTAAACCAAACATAACACACTTTTGTACAGAAATATCTAAAAAAAGACGTTTCCACTGGTCTATTTTAAAGCTGTTTATATAATAAAGTTAAAACACCACTCCCTGTTGTTATAATGGAGGCCATGTAATGCAGTCTGGAAAAGTTCTAAGTTCTCTGGAAATATCAGGGAAATGTCAGGGAATTTTTCGGAAGAAAAAAAGTGGGAACCATGTATATGTAAAGTCTGAAATGCCTTTGTAAATTGTTACAGCAATGCTGCATGACTTGATTTGAAGGTTCATTGATGGTGTTTTCCTTCAGGTTTGAGAAGTTCCTGTGGTTCATCAGCTCCGAGAACTACTTGGTGATCGGCGGTCGGGACCAGCAGCAGAATGAGCTGATAGTGAAGCGATATCTCCGTCCTGGTGAGTACTTATGTTCTTCAGATGGAGGTCCTTGTGCAACAGGTCAACATGAAATGTCAGTCAGGGGGATAGTCGTTAATGCCCCTTGTCCAGTCATTGGTGTTTGACCCGTGAAGACCCGGGTAGAATAGGTCTTCAGCAACCTATGCTTGCTGTAAAAGGCCACTATGCTTGTCGAAAGAGGCCACTAACAGGATCGGATGTTCAGGCTCTCTGACTAGGTTGATGCATGTTATGTATCCCAATTGCATGGATCAATACTCATGACATCAATCACTGGATTGTCTGGTCCAGACTCTATTACTTACAGACTGCCGTCATATAGCTGGAATATTGCAGCATTGAACAACAAACAAGCAAACAAAACATTGATGTTCTGTCCTGTTAAGGACTTTTTTTCTAACTTTACAAATTGTGCAAACAGTTAATGTTTAGGGTCATAATGGCATAAGTGAATTTGTGTGTAGTTTATGAGTTCAAAATTGATATCAACTGCTATGATGTTCATGCTATTTCAAACATGTGCAGTCAACATTAACAACATGGTGATGATTGCAGGTGATTTGTATGTCCACGCCGACCTCCACGGAGCCAGCAGTTGTATCATCAAAAACCCAACAGGTCAGAATTCTCCTGTGTCCTTGTGATGGCATCTCCAGATGTTTACCATGTTTACCATGTTTACAGACATCGGTTGTATTTGTGATATTACTGACTGCAGTGTAAACACCTCCTGTGTGCTCAGTACAAGCTGTGGAAGATCAGATTGACTCCTAAATCAGTCATTAGTGTTCTTTTAATACCAACCCGTGAAGATTCAGGGATAGAATAGGTCTTCAGCAACCCATGCTTGCCGTAAAAGGTAACTATGCTTGTCGTAAAAGGCGACTAACGGGATCGGGTGGTAAGGCTCGCTGACTTGGTTGATGCATGTCATCGATCACAATTGTGTGGACCGATGCTCATGATATCAATCACTGGATTGTCTGGTCCAGACTCGATTATTTAAACAGACCGCCGTCATATAGATGGAATATTGCTGAGTGCGGCGTAAAACAACAAACCAACCAATCTTTTAATATCGTTTGCGTAATATGGGACCTTTTGCCACCAACATCATATGGTAGTTGTGAGAGTGGCATAAAATGAGGATCAGATGATCGCAATGTGTGACTTAGCTTTTTGTGTGTTATCGTACCCATAGTTTACTTCAACTTCGACATTTTTAACATATACGGCATGCCCTTCTACATGTGTATTTTAGGTCTCCCTGTGCCTCCTAAGACTCTAAATGAAGCTGGGACAATGGCCATATGCAACAGTGCAGCTTGGGATGCGAAGGTTGTGACCAGTGCTTGGTATGTCCACCATGATCAGGTGTCGAAGACAGCGCCCTCTGGAGAGTATCTGACAACGGGTAGCTTCATGATCAGAGGTATGACCTTCATATCTGTTGGTGACCTTGTAACTGAAAGATACACAGAAAATGTATGTTGAATGATTTGCACCATCTTCCTAAGGCAAGGAAGGTAACTGACTCTAAAAGTCAGGTATTATGATGTTATAAATTTGCTGGACTAACGAGTCTATGCATAGTCCAAAATTGTGTAACGAAATCAACATCCTGTTCGTAAACTACCGTGCAGATTTCGATCGATTGCAGGATTTGCAAAGCATGTGTACCCCCAGCTTGGCGTCAACAGATATTTTCCAAATCTTTTCATATTTTTAATCCAGGTGCTCACATGATTTGATGCTCTTCGTGAAGTAAGACCCGTTTTATCACAACATAGATTTTACCTAGTTCGGCAAGGATGGAAAATTGGACTTTTACAGTCAGTTAACACTCTTGCCTCGGGAAGATAGATTTGTATGTGATATATATGTTTTGCTGTCAGTATTCAATTGTCAACATTGCCATTTGTAAGGTGAATGAATAACCAAGAGCGAATCATGTGATACTGTTATCTTACAGGGAAGAAGAACTACCTCCCGCCTTCGTATCTGATATATGGGTTTGGCTTCGTCTTTAAGGTAAGATTGATGTGTAACAGGGGTCCGGAAACCGTCATATGCGCCGGACATGTCAGATTGGGAATCTCAAATGTCCGTTTTAAAATATTGCTTACCAGACATTTTAAAAAGTATTGTCCGGACATTCTTAAATTTTGACCGGACATGATCAACAGTTAGGACTGAGCAGTTTCTGTCTGCAGTTGCAACACAATGAAGATTAACTACACTGACAAGCTTTGTTTGTTTTGATTGCTGTAAATACATCGTACCTACATGATAGTCCAATTGGTCAATCACTGTAATAGGCAATAAACTGAGTTGACACTGATTAATCGAGGATTAATTACTGAGAACATCTTGTTAATTTGAGTGAAAGGTGTTTACAACTGTACATTAATACCTTGCATCATCGATGTACCTCATTATCCTCACAATGCTACGATACGTAACCTCAGACAAGAAGCGAAAGTGTGACGACAGCCAGTCGACCGATGCAGATCAGTCGAGCGGATCTGCCAAACCCTCAAAGTCTGGACGATCATTTTGTAAGTCGTGGCTAACGACTTTCACTTGGTTGACATACAATGAGGATTTGCAGATTTTATTGTTTTCACTAGCTAGTCGTATATTGAATCTTGATTGACCGCCATTTTGCTTTCTCGGACGATCGATATCCAATTTTTTTATGGTCAATAAATAAGTACAGATGAAAAAAGTATTCAAATAACTATTGCTATCAACGATATTTTAGTATTTGTGATTAAATTATCTGTCTTGTTTTTAAACAAATCTTTAGTTTAAAAAAAAAAATTCCCGTGAGGTCACGTGATGACTAAATATGGGATAATAGTCTCGATCCAAATGTTACAACGCGTACACTTGAGCAGACTCATGAATATAACTCATGTATATTAATTAGACCGTTCACTACGTTAACAGATCGTTATTATAACAGAAACAAACGTATGTTTTCCATGTAAATCTAAAATGATATTATTTGTTATTAATTGTCCGGTGAATTAAACAATTTAAATTGAAACAATTCATAATTCATCATATTATGAATACGTTAACTTGTAATGTGTGTGAAAAGTCGTACTAAAATACGCTATTTGAAGGGGGCGTGGCCTAAATGCAAATGTCCGATTGGGATTTTAAATTTTCCGGACCCCTGATGTGTAATAGAAATTACGGGATTCATACATATGCATAAGAAGTGACTTTAGTGTTGCTGTAAACAATCTGTAGTTCGTTGGAGAACAGGCGGATCTGAGTTCAAAGGCACCACATTTTGCTGATGAGACTTCCTTTAGCCATGCCAGTATCTGCTTGTCCTGGGGTTCGAGTCCCAGATTCCACATAGTTGTTATCCTTGGTTTGTCTGCACCAGACCAATGCTCATGGGTTCCCTCAAAGTGGTCAATGTTATCTTGTCATTGTTAGATAGATATTAATACAATACTGTTACAGTGTTCATCAAAGCTTGTGTAGTGAAGTGCTCTGTGATGATGCCTGAACTGAATATGTACCCCTCCTTGTCATAAGGGTCACCTAAATGGGATCAGGAGGGGTTACATGGGGTTTAATGTCGCATACAAGATTGTTTCGTTTATCAGTGCTTATATAGTGGCGTGCTTGCACGTGATTGTGTGGCTGCTTGTGCAAAGGCGGGTTATTGCCGGTTTAATAGTCCAGTTTACTAAGATGTCATGTCGCAGTTTAACATGGATATGCCAGTCGGACACATTTAACCATGTTAACTGTTTCCGAGCTGCCCAGTCCTTGTTTTATCCCCTTAATGCCAAGCACCAGGCAGGGTAACAACAAGTATCTTTAAATATCTTTTGGTATTATGTGGCCGGGGATTGAACCCCCGACCTTCCACTCTCTGGGCAGACATTAGACTCAGCCTGTTACAATGTGTCACCTAGTTGATCATGTGGCATTGTGCCTGGACAGCATTGAGCGTCTCTCTTGCTACCAGCCGCTCATCTGCTCGGCCCAGGCTCAATAAGAAGCTGCTGAGATATAGCTGGAATATTGCTGACTGTAACAGTTACTCACTCCCCCAGTGCTAATAGGTTGTTTTCTAATTCTGTGAGCCCAGCTGGAAGAGGGCAGTGTAGATCGCCACCAGGGGGAGAGGAGGGTGCGCACCGTGGAGGAGGACGAGATGTCAGTGACAGAGTCTGTAGTCACGGAGAGTGACATCACAGCTGACGAGTCCATTGTCAGTGATGACGACAGTGACAGTGATGAGGGTAGTGATGGTGAGAAGACGGGAGTTGACAAGAGTGGTGTGAGCATGGACAGTAATGAGGAGGGCAAAGACGATGATGAGGAGGAAGACGACGACGTGGAAGACGATGTGGTGAAGGTGGAGGTGAAGATAGAGGAAGACACAGAGAAGCCTGGATCAGCATTCCCAGATACTTCCATCAATCTGCTCCATGTCAAGGGAGACAAGTATGTTTCACAAATATATACTGCTTATTGAACATTACTGCAAGACTTTTAAGTGATGTTCAAAATTGTCTATCTGTCCCTATAGCTATGACATGAATGTCTATCTGTCTCCCAAGGTATGACATGAATGTCTATCTGTCTCCCCAGGTATGACATGAATGTCTATCTGTCTCCCAAGGTATGACATGACTATCTGTCTCCCAGGTATGACATGACTATCTATCTCCCCAGGTATGACATGATTTTCTGTCTTCCCAGGTATGACTTGACTTTCTGTCTCCCGAGGTAAGACATGACTATCTGTCTCCCCAGGTATGTCATGATTATCTGTCTCCCCATGTATGACATGACTATCTGTCTCCCCAGGTATGACTTGACTTTCTGTGTCCCCAGGTATGACATGAATGTCTATCTGTCTCCCAAGGTATGACATGACTTTCTGTCTCCCCAGGTATGACATGACTTTCTGTCTCCCAGGTATGACATGACTTTCTCTCTCCCCAGGTATGACATGAATGTCTATCTGTCTCCCAAGGTATGACATGACTTTCTGTCTCCCCAGGTATGACTTGACTTTCTATCTCCCCAGGTATGACATTACTATCTGTCTCCCCAGGTATGACATGACTATCTGTCTCCCCAGGTATGACATGACTTTCTGTCTCCCCAGGTATGACTTGACTTTCTGTCTCCCCAGGTATGTCATGCCTATCTGTCTCCCAGGTATGACATGACTATCTATCTCCCCAGGTATGACTTGACTTTCTGTCTCCTGAGGTAAGACATGACTATCTGTCTCCCCAGGTATGACTTGACTTTCTGTGTCCCCAGGAATGACATGAATGTCTATCTGTCTCCCCAGGTATGATATGAATGTCTATCTGTCTCCCAAGGTATGACATGACTTTCTGTCTCCCCAGGTATGGCATGACTTTCTGTCTCCCAGGTATGACATGACTTTCTCTCTCCCCAGGTATGACATGAATGTCTATTTGTCTCCCCAGGTATGACATGAATGTCTATCTGTCTCCCAAGGTATGACATGACTTTCTGTCTCCCCAGGTATGACTTGACTTTCTGTCTCCCCAGGTATGTCATGCCTATCTGTCTCTCCAAGTATGACATGATTATATGTCCCCAGGTATGACGAGACTTTCTGTGTCCCCAGGTATGACATGATTATCTGTCTCCCCAAGTATGACATGATTATCTGTCTCCCAAGGTATGACATGACTTTCTGTCTCCCCAGGTATGTCATGCCTATCTGTCTCTCCAAGTATGACATGATTATATGTCCCCAGGTATGACGAGACTTTCTGTGTCCCCAGGTATGACATGCCTTTCTGTCTCCCCAAGTATGACATGATTATCTGTCCCCAGGTATGACATGACTATCTGTCTCCCCAGGTATGACATGATTATCTGTCTCCCCAGGTATGACATGATTATCTGTCTCCCCAGGTATGACATGATTATCTGTCTCCCCAGGTATGACATGACTATCTGTGTCCCCACGTATGACATGACTTTCTGTCTCCCCAGGTATGAACTACAGCGGGGCATGAGTACAACCAGCACAACAAGTAATTTTTCCGAGAGTGACAGTCATGTCGTGTACCTGGGAGATGATCAACCAGTTGTTCGTGGAGAGAAGGTGAGAGCTCTCAATGTGATGACATTGTTATCTTATACTTTGCATTTAGTGTAGCCTTTAAGAGATATGAGGATCAAATGATATTTGATGAATATATGACAAAAGTGAGTGATTATCTATAGGATGAAATATGTTTGTGAGGTATTATTGTTTTTTTCTGCTACAGACAATACAGACTGGTGCCAAGTTTTCAGCCAAACAACGGAGGTTAGAATAATCTTTGATAACATTTGTTTCACATATACATACTCAGGTATTTATCTAGACCTGCTCAAAGCCGAATATAGGCCCCAACAAATGTCAGAAAGAATTCCCAAATAGGAATAACAAATTTCCAAAGTAATGTTATATATTTATAACTTATGTAACAACTTATTTTAACCCAGTGGTGTTTTGTTTTCATGATAGTTTTGTCTAGGAACCATGTCTTTGGCCTCTTGAGGAAGCAAGAATGACAATAGATATCAGACATTCTACCATGAATTTGGAAATTACTAAATTCTGATTGGTCAATCAGAGGTTGTCAAAATCACAATAAACCCCCTGTGCGCGTTTGGTTCCAAATTCAATTTAGCACGGTTAAATCTAAATGTAGCCTAGCTCTACATTGAAAACACGGTATGTTTATCTCCTAAATAACTCAGATAAATGAAACGGATCATATTTGTGACACAGAGAGCAGCGGAAGGCTCGTAAAGGCAAGACGCCACAACAGACCCCAAAAGATGATGAGGAGGATGAAGAGAGTGTGTCATGGATGAAGTCGGAGGACGTTGTCGTGGAGAGGGAACAGGGCACACAGAATTCTGTCACAGATAACACTCAGGTAGAATCATTGTTTAAAGTGCAATGAGTGCCCAGTTTGTTTTCAATAAAAAACGAATTAAAGTCCTCACTTTTGAAAAAATATGCCTGAGACACGATTGTTTTGGTCATACATCCTAATAATTGCACTGTGTCTGTCTATTACAGGACACCTCATCACAGAGCAGCAACCCTCAAACACAGCATAAGAGAGGCCAGAAGGTGAGTGTGGTCTCCCTAGATATTCAGGGCAGGGACACACAGGGATGCTTGTGTTGTAATCACTCTTCTTGTGGGATTCAGTGGGGATTCCTGGGACAAAATATTTCCCTAGAACCCAGGGCTTGCTGTTATGAGCTAACTACCAGTCCTTGTTTTGGGGAAAGTGTTGGACTGGTGCCTTTGATGATATGGATTTTTAAAAATTTTGTGCTGGTGACAAACCTTTCATTGTTTCTCTATGAAACTTCGCAATTGAAGTAGGTCATTTAGGACTGGTGCCTAAGATCTTTACAGAAAAGCTGTATATTTGCAATTGTATGCATGCAAGGATGTCAGGGGATGTGGATGAACAGGGTCCTGTGGCCCTGTTCCACAAAGGGATGTTAGTGTTATGATGATTGTAACTCCCATACTTTAACATGAGCTTACAATAGTGGTAGTGCATCGGGGAGGTGTTGGGTGGTCAAGTGGTACAAGTGTTTGCTGGTCATGCTGAAGAACCAGGTTTGATTTCCACATGGACACAGCGTTATTGGTGTCCTTCACCATGACCTTGCTGGGATATTGCCCCAACAAGCTCGCTCACTCACTCACTCACTCACTCACTCACTCACTCACTCACTCACTCACTCACTCACTCACTCACTCACTCACTCACTCACTCACTCACTCACTCACTCACATTGCAGGGGAAGCAGAGGAAGATGAAGGAGAAGTACAAGGATCAGGACGAGGAAGAGAGACAACTCCGCATGGAAATCCTCGCTGTGAGTCTCCTATAGTCATCCCTGCTTCATTCAGTCAATACCCTATAGCTTGGGCTGGTAGTATTTGAGAAATTTGAGATTTATCACTGAAGACAAAGCTCTCAATCATGTAGACCTGTATAATAAGGTTGGCTTAGTGAGGCTGCTGTATATCTTTCTTACGTTTAGCTTAGCACGCTGTGGTTTGGGTTGGAATAGGTCTTCTGTGAGCCATATTTGTATTTAGTTGCGACTCAGCGGACGGGGTAATTAGGTTGTTGATTGGTGTGCCTTATCCAGACGTCCTCATTCACATCTCATGCCAAATAGCTGTATTATTGCACATGGCGGAATTAAACAAACAAAACAAACTTGTGCGTAGATGAGGATTGTGTTTGATTTGTTTATAACTATTGTTGTACTGTATTAAAGTAAAAATTGTAATGCTGGTGTCATTGTAAGTGTGGATTCTACTTTGCCATATGTGAATGATCTTTGGTCCCTTCAGTCTGCTGGGTCTCAAAAAGAAGACAAGAAAAAGAAAGGCAAAAAAGGCAAGGACGTGCAACAGCTAAAGGGAGGGAAGCCGTCTGGGCCTCAACCTCAGAGTGGTAAAGGTCAACGAGGTCAGCCCATGGACATCCACAAGGTCACAATGCAAACAGGGGAATTGTTAATTGAAGGTAGGACATACTTTCACTTGAACATTATTTAGTCTTTCAATATCCAGTAAGATAAGCTTAACTAAGAAAAACAGCTGACTTCACAAATCAGTGTTGGATGCCATGAATAAATTAAAGATTTCAAATATCTGAAGAGACTAGAATATTTAAATAATTTGCAGAATGTTATTTTTATTACAACTGTCATCTTTGAAGGGTATTAGAGTGTTGTTCTCGTTTTTTTTTCTATTGGCCCGTGTGTCAGTTTGTTTAAATATGTTCAGTAATGATTAAATAGCCTTGCTTGACAACAGTATAAGATCTGGACTGAAACATCGCCATTACAGTCAAATATAAAGAAGTTGTTATCTTTAAATTGTGTCTACTTTGTTATCCGTCAACTTCTAAGAAATGTCTATCAAACAGTTCAAAGAAAAAATAAATTGCAAGTGATACCATGTTGTTTGATTGACCAACCAAGCAATTATTTTTGTGTTTATTCTTCCATAAACCAAGCTAAAAATTTGGTCACACCCACATCTGTTTCCTGATTGGCTGATAATAGAGAGGGTGGGGCTAATGATGTTGCTGATTTTGTGTCGTTGTATACAGACATGTAGATTTACACAGTGTGCACAGTGTCCTCCGTTAATGCAAAGAATATTGAAGTCAATTCTAAACTGACATGAAATTATGTTTGCAATCGGATTTCAGATAAAATTGACCCGTGAAGATCCCGGGTAGAATAGGTCTTCAGCAACCCATGCTTGCCGTAAAAGGCGAATAGCTTGTTGTAAGATGCTCTTTTAAGCAGGTTTTGTGTTCTTTTTCTTCTAGACAAAACCACACTGCAGAAGCCACAGCCTTCAAGGCCAGTAGATGTAAGTGTTCAAAGGAGTGTAGATTTCCCTGTCTGTGTGGTCTTGATATAAACGTAGACGGTACACAGTATCTCTTGTTACTAAGCCAAAGACTACACATGACATGTAACCACAATTAAACATCCAATAAAAGAATACTTAATGTAAAGCAATATATTTCTTCAGTTAATCAACATGACCGAAGTTTTCACTTATATTTTCACTTATATTGTTTGATAATATTCCCAGGATGATGATATTGACGAGGACAAGGAAGCGACACAACAGGCTGAGGTATGTGCGTTTGTTGCAGCAACTGTCATATGGTTTTATTTTGGCCAGTGACAATCAATGAACTTTTCAAGTCATTCTTGTAAGGGATCAAGATATTATTTTGTGCCTTTAAGTATTTACTCATATTTTATCATTTACATTGGGTATTTGATAATTTTCAGTATTCAGTATATTTTTACTCACTTGGGTCCAGCCTATTGGGTATTTTTTTAACCAGTGAGGAGACTTCTTTCAGTGGCATTTAGAAGTTGGTGTGATGAAGTAGGACGAGTTCTATGGATGAACAACTTCTTTATTGCAATTAGTGCGAAATTTCGGTGTAGATCCTAATACCTTTATCAAGCAAGTGATGATATGTGCAGATCACTTGCTTGATAAAGGTGTTAGACATTTTAAAAGTAATTCTGCTTGAGATCCTGTTTCAGATAACTTCTAATTTTCTTCTGTTTATGTTCTGCACAAAGTGTGTCACCTGTTGCATAAGCTCCTCACAGTGATACAAGTCTCAGTTACAATAAGCGATATGTAGTGTGCATTATACACTGCAGTAGAGTTTATGAAAGGTGATGCCTGCATTGGACCAGTAAATAAAGATGTGTAAACATTTTTGGGTATGCAAGCTGAACAGGTTACATTGGGTAATTACCCATGGTGTTGTTATACTATTTGGTTTTTGAAATTTTTCATGCTTATTTGTACGTGAACAACTCCTAATTAACTGGGTTATGGTGATTTAATTTGCATAATTTATGCAAATATACAGTTTACCTGGAGCTCTGAGTTGTGTATTACTAGAATTGAGAAATATGTGACACTGAGTGAGAGTGAACTTATTGTTGTTCAGCAATATTTCAGCCATATAACGATGAGAAAAAAATAAAACATTCATAGAAAACATGCAGAATAAAAAGAAAGGTCAATATGACATATAGTAACAAAGTTAGAGTGAAACAGACATTCATTTGCAATTATGGTATGGACTGATTTTTGTAAGATATTTTACAATAAAATGCCTGCTTAAATTGGAAGACAGATGTTTTTAGGATCACTGCTATTTTTTAATGAGAATCTCTTGAGAGTCCACTGAAGCCCATTTAACTTGAGGAGTAGCTGTACATGTTTGTCCCGACCCATCTCACTGACCTCCAGCTGTTGTTTCCAGGACATCCAGATCCTGAACTCTCTCACTGGCTGTCCCGTCACAGAAGACGAGTTGTTGTACGCCATCCCAGTCTGTGCCCCGTACAACACCCTCACCAACTACAAGTAAGTTGTGTGTGCCCCGTACAACACCCTCACACACTACAAGTTGTGTGTGCCCTGTACAACACCCTTACACACTACAAGTAAGTTGTGTGTGCCCCGTACAACACCCTCACCTACTACAAGTAAGTTGTGTGTGCCCCGTACAACACCCTCACACACTTCAAGTAAGTTGTGTGTGCCACATACAACACCCTCACCTACTACAAGTAAGTTGTGTGTGCCCCGTACAACACCTTCACCTACTACAAGTAAGTTGTGTGTGCCCCGTACAACACCCTCACCCACTACAGGTAAGTTGTGTGTGCCCCGTACAACACCCTCACACACTACAAGTAAGTTGTGTGTGCCCCGTACAACACCCTCACACACTACAAGTAAGTTGTGTGTGCCCCGTACAACACCCTCACACACTACAAGTTGTGTGTGCCCTGTACAACACCCTTACACACTACAAGTAAGTTGTGTGTGCCCTGTACAACACCCTCACCAACTACAAGTAAATTGTGTGTGCCCTGTACAACACCCTCACACACTACAAGTAAGTTGTGTGTGCCCCGTACAACACCCTCACCCACTACAAGTAAGTTATGTGTGCCCCGTACAACACCCTCACACACTACAAGTAAGTTGTGTGTGCCCCGTACAACACCCTCACACACTACAAGTAAGTTGTGTGTGCCCCGTACAACACCCTCACACACTACAAGTAAGTTGTGTGTGCCCCGTACAACACCCTCACACACTACAAGTAAGTTGTGTGTGCCCCGTACAACACCCTCACACACTACAAGTAAGTTGTGTGTGCCCCGTACAACACCCTCACACACTACAAGTAAGTTGTGTGTGCCCCGTACAACACCCTCACACACTACAAGTAAGTTGTGTGTGCCCCGTACAACACCCTCACACACTACAAGTAAGTTGTGTGTGCCCCGTACAACACCCTCACACACTACAAGTAAGTTGTGTGTACCCCGTACAACACCCTCACACACTACAAGTAAGTTGTGTGTGCCCCGTACAACACCCTCACACACTACAAGTAAGTTGTGTGTGCCCCGTACAACACCCTCACACACTACAAGCAAGTTGTGTGTGCCCCGTACAACACCCTCACACACTACAAGTAAGTTGTGTGTGCCCCGTACAACACCCTCACACACTACAAGTAAGTTGTGTGTACCCCGTACAACACCCTCACACACTACAAGTAAGTTGTGTGTGCCCCGTACAACACCCTCACACACTACAAGTAAGTAGTGTGTGCCCCGTACAACACCCTCACCAACTACAAGTAAGTTGTGTGTGCCCCGTACAACACCCTCACACACTACAAGTAAGTTGTGTGTGCCCCGTACAACACCCTCACACACTACAAGTAAGTAGTGTGTGCCCCGTACAACACCCTCACCAACTACAAGTAAGTCATGTGTGCCCCGTACAACACCCTCACCAACTACAAGTAAGTTGTGTGTGCCCCGTACAACACCCTCACACACTACAAGTAAGTTGTGTGTGCCCCGTACAACACCCTCACCCACTACAAGTAAGTTATGTGTGCCCCGTACAACACCCTCACACACTACAAGTAAGTTGTGTGTGCCCCGTACAACACCCTCACACACTACAAGTAAGTTGTGTGTGCCCCGTACAACACCCTCACACACTACAAGTAAGTTGTGTGTGCCCCGTACAACACCCTCACACACTACAAGTAAGTTGTGTGTGCCCCGTACAACACCCTCACACACTACAAGTAAGTTGTGTGTGCCCCGTACAACACCCTCACACACTACAAGTAAGTTGTGTGTGCCCCGTACAACACCCTCACACACTACAAGTAAGTTGTGTGTGCCCCGTACAACACCCTCACACACTACAAGTAAGTTGTGTGTGCCCCGTACAACACCCTCACACACTACAAGTAAGTTGTGTGTGCCCCGTACAACACCCTCACACACTACAAGTAAGTTGTGTGTGCCCCGTACAACACCCTCACACACTACAAGTAAGTTGTGTGTGCCCCGTACAACACCCTCACCAACTACAAGTAAGTTGTGTGTGCCCCGTACAACACCCTCACACACTACAAGTAAGTTGTGTGTGCCCCGTACAACACCCTCACACACTACAAGTAAGTTGTGTGTGCCCCGTACAACACCCTCACACACTACAAGTAAGTTGTGTGTGCCCCGTACAACACCCTCACCCACTACAAGGAAGTTGTGTGTGCCCCGTACAACACCCTCAGCAACTACAAGTAAGTTGTGTGTGCCCCGTACAACACCCTCACATACTACAAGTTAGTTGTGTGTGCCCCGTTCAACACCCTCACCCACTACAAGTAAGTTGTGTGTGCCCCGTACAACACCCTCACACACTACAGGTAAGTCGTGTGTGCCCCGTTCAACACCCTCACTCACTACAAGTAAGTTGTGTGTGCCCCGTACAACACCCTCACCAACTACAAGTAAGTCGTGTGTGCCCCGTACAACACCCTCACACACTACAGGTAAGATGTGTGTGCCCCGTACAACACCCTCACACACTACAAGTAAGTTGTGTGTGCCCCGTACAACACCCTCACACACTACAAGTAAGTAGTGTGTGCCCGTACAACACCCTCACCAACTACAAGTAAGTTGTGTGTGCCCCGTACGACACCCTCACCCACTACAAGTTGTGTGTGCCCCGTACGACACCCTCACCAACTACAAGTAAGTTGTGTGTGCCCCGTACAACACCCTCACCGACTACAAGTAAGTTGTGTGTGCCCCGTACAACACCCTCACACACTACAGGTAAGTTGTGTGTGCCCCGTACAACACCCTCACACACTACAAGTAAGTTGTGTGTGCCCCGTACAACACCCTCACACACTACAAGTAAGTTGTGTGTGCCCCGTACAACACCCTCACCAACTACAAGTAAGTCGTGTGTGCCCCGTACAACACCCTCACACACTACAGGTAAGTTGTGTGTGCCCCGTACAACACCCTCACACACTACAAGTAAGTTGTGTGTGCCCCGTACAACACCCTCACACACTACAAGTAAGTAGTGTGTGCCCGTACAACACCCTCACCAACTACAAGTAAGTTGTGTGTGCCCCGTACGACACCCTCACCCACTACAAGTTGTGTGTGCCCCGTACGACACCCTCACCAACTACAAGTAAGTTGTGTGTGCCCCGTACAACACCCTCACCGACTACAAGTAAGTTGTGTGTGCCCCGTACAACACCCTCACCCACTACAAGTAAGTTGTGTGTGCCCCGTACAACACCCTCACACACTACAAGTAAGTTGTGTGTGCCCCGTACAACACCCTCACACACTACAAGTAAGTTGTGTGTGCCCCGTACAACACCCTCACACACTACAAGTAAGTAATGTGTGCCCCGTACAACACCCTCACACACTACAAGTAAGTTGTGTGTGCCCTGTACAACACCCTCACACACTACAAGTAAGTTGTGTGTGCCCCGTACAACACCCTCACACACTACAAGTAAGTTGTGTGTGCCCCGTACAACACCCTCACCAACTACAAGTAAGTTGTGTGTGCCCCGTACAACACCCTCACACACTACAAGTAAGTTGTGTGTGCCCCGTACAACACCCTCACACACTACAAGTAAGTTGTGTGTGCCCCGTACAACACCCTCACACACTACAAGTAAGTAGTGTGTGCCCGTACAACACCCTCACCAACTACAAGTAAGTTGTGTGTGCCCCGTACGACACCCTCACCCACTACAAGTTGTGTGTGCCCCGTACGACACCCTCACCAACTACAAGTAAGTTGTGTGTGCCCCGTACAACACCCTCACCGACTACAAGTAAGTTGTGTGTGCCCCGTACAACACCCTCACCCACTACAAGTAAGTTGTGTGTGCCCCGTACAACACCCTCACACACTACAAGTAAGTTGTGTGTGCCCCGTACAACACCCTCACACACTACAAGTAAGTTGTGTGTGCCCCGTACAACACCCTCACACACTACAAGTAAGTAATGTGTGCCCCGTACAACACCCTCACACACTACAAGTAAGTTGTGTGTGCCCTGTACAACACCCTCACACACTACAAGTAAGTTGTGTGTGCCCCGTACAACACCCTCACACACTACAAGTAAGTTGTGTGTGCCCCGTACAACACCCTCACCAACTACAAGTAAGTTGTGTGTGCCCCGTACAACACCCTCACACACTACAAGTAAGTTGTGTGTGCCCCGTACAACACCCTCACACACTACAAGTAAGTTATGTGTGCACCGTACAACACCCTCACCAACTACAAGTAAGTCGTGTGTGCCCCGTACAACACCCTCACACACTACAAGTAAGTTGTGTGTGCCCCGTACAACACCCTCACACACTACAAGTAAGTAGTGTGTGCCCGTACAACACCCTCACACACTACAGGTAAGTTGTGTGTGCCCCGTACAACACCCTCACCTACTGCAAGTAAGTAGTGTGTGCCCGTACAACACCCTCACACACTACAAGTAAGTCATGTGTGCCCCGTACAACACCCTCACACACTACAAGTAAGTAGTGTGTGCCCGTACAACACCCTCACACACTACAGGTAAGTTGTGTGTGCCCCGTACAACACCCTCACCTACTGCAAGTAAGTAGTGTGTGCCCGTACAACACCCTCACACACTACAGGTAAGTTGTGTGTGCCCCGTACAACACCCTCACCCACTACAAGTAAGTAGTGTGTGCCCGTACAACACCCTCACACACTACAAGTAAGTTGTGTGTGCCCCGTACAACACCCTCACCAACTACAAGTAAGTTGTGTGTGCCCCGTACAACACCCTCACACACTACAAGTAAAATGTGTGTGCCCCGTACAACACCCTCACACACTACAAGTAAGTTATGTGTGCACCGTACAACACCCTCACCAACTACAAGTAAGTTGTGTGTGCCCTGTAGAACACCCTCACACACTACAAGTAAGTTGTGTGTGCCCCGTACAACACCCTCACACACTACAAGTAAGTAGTGTGTGCCCGTACAACACCCTCACACACTACAAGTAAGTTGTGTGTGCCCCGTACAACACCCTCACCAACTACAAGTAAGTTGTGTGTGCCCCGTACAACACCCTCACACACTACAAGTAAAATGTGTGTGCCCCGTACAACACCCTCACACACTACAAGTAAGTTATGTGTGCACCGTACAACACCCTCACCAACTACAAGTAAGTTGTGTGTGCCCTGTAGAACACCCTCACACACTACAAGTAAGTTGTGTGTGCCCCGTACAACACCCTCACACACTACAAGTAAGTAGTGTGTGCCCGTACAACACCCTCACACACTACAAGTAAGTTGTGTGTGCCCCGTACAACACCCTCACCAACTACAAGTAAGTTGTGTGTGCCCCGTACAACACCCTCACACACTACAAGTAAAATGTGTGTGCCCCGTACAACACCCTCACACACTACAAGTAAGTTATGTGTGCACCGTACAACACCCTCACCAACTACAAGTAAGTTGTGTGTGCCCCGTACAACACCCTCACACACTACAAGTAAGTTATGTGTGCACCGTACAACACCCTCACACACTACAAGTAAGTTGTGTGTGCCACGTACAACAGCCTCACTGACTACAAGTAAGTTATGTGTGCCCCGTACAACACCCTCACACACTACAAGTAAGTAGTGTGTGCCCCGTACAACACCCTCACACACTACAAGTAAGTTATGTGTGCACCGTACAACACCCTCACACACTACAAGTAAGTTGTGTGTGCCACGTACAACAGCCTCACTGACTACAAGTAAGTTATGTGTGCCCCGTACAACACCCTCACACACTACAAGTAAGTAGTGTGTGCCCCGTACAACACCCTCACACACTACAAGTAAGTAGTGTGTGCCCCGTACAACACCCTCACACACTACAAGTAAGTTATGTGTGCCCCGTACAACACCCTCACACACTACAAGTAAGTAGTGTGTGCCCCGTACAACACCCTCACCAACTACAAGTAAGTTGTGTGTGCCCCGTACAACACCCTCACACACTACAAGTAAAATGTGTGTGCCCCGTACAACACCCTCACACACTACAAGTAAGTTGTGTGTGCCCCGTACAACACCCTCACCAACTACAAGTAAGTTGTGTGTGCCCCGTACAACACCCTCACACACTACAAGTAAGTTGTGTGTGCCCCGTACAACACCCTCACACACTACAAGTAAGTTGTGTGTGCACCGTACAACACCCTCACCCACTACAAGTAAGTTATGTGTGCACCGTACAACACCCTCACCAACTACAAGTAAGTTGTGTGTGCCCCGTACAACACCCTCACACACTACAAGTAAGTTGTGTGTGCCCCGTACAACACCCTCACACACTACAAGTAAGTTGTGTGTGCCCCGTACAACACCCTCACACACTACAAGTAAGTTGTGTGTGCCCCGTACGACACCCTCACCCACTACAAGTTGTGTGTGCCCCGTACACCCTCTTTTAGCCTCTAGGTGTATTTTGGGCAGTGTTCATGTTCTCAGTTCATGTTTTCGGTGTTTTTGGGCAGTGTTCATGTTCTCAGTTCATGTTCTCGGTGTGTTTTCAGGTACAAGGTGAAGCTCCTCCCTGGCAACACCAAGAGAGGGAAAGGTAAAATTTTAAACCCACCTATAGGACAGCAGTGTATTGACAGTACATGTATGATATGACTGCCAACACAGTACCCATGCTACAACTTGTACTAAGTTGATAATTGATTATCAAACTTAATGTTTAATTGATGTGGTATCCATTTTGCCAAGCCCAATGGTGTGTTTGTTTTTAAATTTCTGATTCAGGGGAAATAAATAAGTATTCATATGCTGTGAAAAGTCTTGAGGATGCCTGACATCCAGTCCCAGCTAACAGTGTTTTTCAACTAATCAGTCTGCATTCACTACATGGTGTTGAAAATTGTCTTCATTTGAGTTAACCAGATTAGCATTGAAATATTGGTTCTATTTGTAATATTGTTATCATTTTTTAATATATGTCAATTTGTATTTCAGCTGTGAAAGCTGCTCTTAATGTTTTTCTTCATGATAAATCTGCCACATCAAGAGAAAAAGACTTGCTAAGGATTTTGAAAGTAAGATATATTATAAAACATCTTCACATTATGTCAGTCCTGTTAGGTTTGTGTCTTGTATTGAACCATCACTATGTCAGTGGAAACAATTACAAAACATTAAAAAATATGTGGTCCATGACTTTGTAGCTTGCTGTGCAGAGTTGCCTCCCATAACTGTACCAGGATCTGCTGATTTTGGGTTCGGAGACTTGATTTGTCCCTAAAATAATTCTTGCTTTGACCATGTTGACTGCACCATACCTGTGCTTGTTGGCTTCACCTTAATGGCACACTGTGATGGAGGTGTCACCCCACCCACATGAAGCCAAATGAAATCAGTATTTACCCCAACTCGTTCACTCACTCACTTGACATCCATCCATGTAACTAATGGCGTTATTTCCATCTTGATTCTCTCTTACAGGATGATCAGTCACGCAATATGCCAGGCAAGGTCAAGGTTGCTGCTCCTCAGCTTCATCGGAAGAAATGAGACACTTCTGTTTTCGCCCATCCTTTCACCCACATCAGTTGTATGCTTCATCCTATCGATACTCTCACCCGGATTCCAGTTTAGAATTAGTCCAAAACGACCTGTGCTTGTCAGGACAATGCAAGGCGATTTAATGGATTGGGTGGTCATACTCTGTGATTTGATTTGGCGGTCGGGTAGCCTAGTGGTTAAAGCGTTCACTCGTCATGCCGAAGACCCGGGTTTGTGAAGCCCATTTCTGGTGTCCCCCGCTGTGATATTGCTGGAATATTGCTAAAAGCAGCGTAAAACCATACTCACTCACTGTGATTTGATTGATTGCCTGTCATACCATAGCACCCAACAGAATGGATCATTGCTTATAATATCAATCACTGGTTTGTATGGTACAGACTCTATTTACAGACCATTGTGATATAGCTGGAATGTTGCATTAAGCAATGACCAAGCAAACAGTGACTCAAAGTGTTACTTCACTGTAGGTAAAGGGACAAAGATTAAATATATCCATTGTCCCTCCATTAATGAAAACCAAAGAATGAAAGGTGTGTGTCTGGTAATGGTTAAGTTTCTGTTGATCTGTTGATGATGTAATAGTGAAAGCCTTGGCTTCTCCCATATTGTATAATGTCAATATCATGTTGTATAATGTCAATATCTTTTGTACATAAATAAAAGTTTCAAATGACTCTTGAATTTCTTGCCATAGTGCTGCCTCTGTGGTCTAGTGGTAGAGTATCTGCCCGGAGAGTGGAAGGTCGGGATTTCAATCAACAGCCCCATCATATCAAAAGATGGTACTTGTTGTTACCCTGCCTGGTGCTCGGCATTAAGGGAATGAAAAAAAGGACTGGTTGGCTCGGAGTCAGTATACTGTGTCTGAGTGGGGTATTCATGTTAAACTGCAGCATGGTACAGTGATCCCTCACTTCAAGCTGCAGCTTCCACCATATATACTTAAAATTATAAGAACCACAAGTGTAGCGCTTTGGTACAGATTGTATGCAGGGTATTTTTTGACGTATGGAACGATTTTGACCAGTCCCCCCTGTAGGGACTTCCCGCGTTACATGTATATCCATTGCGAAAACATTTAATAGTCAAACTGCCTCAAATTTGACTTTTGGCGAGTCATGGTACAGCATTTATGATGTGTATCCATTCTCTTGCAAATAAAGTTCGTTTCAAGGCGTCAATAGCGGTAATCTGACCGTGGGTGCTGTAATAAATACTATAATAATAGTACAAGCAGCCACACATAACATGTGTATGCACATTGAAAAGTGCAATAATCTTGTACGCGACGTTTCACCTCACCACTTGCCCAGAAGCATGAACCCTGCAGTAAAGTGAATACAAATCCGATGGGAAATATCTGTGATAGTATGTATCCACATGTATTTTTGTCCGCTGGGATTTCAAATCCACACATAACTAAGCATTACAGGTTTCAAACATGTTGAATATATACCTACAGAATGTACTCATCTTTATAGTGGGGTGGTCGGGTAGCCTAGTGGTTAAAGCGTTCGCTCGTCATGCCGAAGACCCGGGTTCGATTCCCGACATGGGTACAATGTGTGAAGCTCATATCTAGTGTCCCCCGTCGTGATATTGCTGGAATATTGCTAAAAGCGGCGTAAAACCATATTCACTCACTCATCTTTTTTGTGTAATAACTTTCTGATATTTCCAGATGTGCATTTTAGTGATTCTCAGTGTTGAATAGTAAGTTAAAGGGATATGACGTCACAGTGCTCCACTGTTAAGAATAACATGACATTACATCATCCATTGTTCTTAACGTCACAAATTGATAAGATTATGTCATTTGAACAATGTTGACTAGTTCCTCTGCAGGGTTGTCATATCATGTTTTTCTTCATTTACTCGTTTGAACGACTATGGGTAACACCAGTATGTAGAATAACATATTTGAAAGGGAATTTCAAATATTTGTCCCTGAATGCTTAAAGTCTCTCACTAAGGCTTGACCGAAGTTGTAGCTAACCCCAATCTCATTAAAATATGTTAGTACTCGCTACTGCAACAGAATGCTTTGGGCTTATACCACTCCTTCAAACTGGGGTGCCATTTTACAATTAGTCCTTTGACTGGCATAAGTCTATGTTAAGGTGGTGTGGAAGGGTAGCATAGTGGTTAAAGCGTATGCTTGTCACACCGAAGACCCGGGTTTGATTCCAAACACAGATACATGTGTGAAGTTATATCTGGTGTCCTGATGTTGCTGGAATGTTGCTAAAAGTGGTGTTTAACCATGCTCACTCACTATGTTAAGGTATGGGAGTTACGATCACCTTAGCACTAGGATTGTTTTGTACAACAGCACCCAGATCTGTAACCCCTTCTAGCATTCTTAGGGGGGCAGGGGTGGCCCAGTCGTCTAAGGAGCTGCGATTCGCTGTGCAGAGTTGCGTCCCTTGGGCACGCCAGAAACCTATGATTGTGGGTTCGAATCCTGGTTCGCCCCGATTATGTTTCTAGGTTTGTCAGCACCATACCCGTGCTCGTGGGTTTCACCGAAGTGGTAAACGTCTGAGACCTGCATCACTTCTGGCTTTCCTCCCACATTAAGCTGACACGCTGTGATATAAATGGAATACTGTTAAAAGCGGCGTAAAACCCAACTCACTCACTCACTCTAGCGTTCTTAGTATTACATATGTTGTGTAAAACATCAATACACCAGCAAACCTCAAATTAACTGTTTAATACCGGTTTATGATTGTTTTTGAGTACTTGTGTTCTCTTCATCATTAAAGAAGATATGATTCTAAGAATGTCCTTGGGATTATTTGGTAGGTTCTATGTGTACCTGACTTGCGGATATCTTGAGTAGGGCATGTGCCCTTGTGGGCAAGTGTTTGCTTGTCACGCAGAAGCCGTTCTTGTGATAAAATGGGATGAGAGAGGAATGGGGGTGATTTTTTTCTTTACGGAATATATGCCCCGGAGATACAGAAACAACACCTATCCAGCTTCACCACCAGGCAGGAATGCAACACTGGATGATGATCACATGTAGGTGTCAGATGCAAAGCTTGGAAGCATTGGAAGGGGATCTGTGCCAAAACTACATAAAGCTACATGCTACTTTCACAGTCCAATCCTGCTTTTTGCTTTACTGATGTTAAGGAACATGGAACGTTATCCTAATTCGGCTTCTTATACTTGGCTTCTACATCAATCATGCATGGTGATGACACAAAATTATGATCTGACAACACAATCGATACTGTGAGGTTGACATTCAATTAAGCAACATGGACGTAATTGTTGAGCATGAACGCAGGCATAACTGCATTTGTCAAGGTGGATGTAATTTCAAATGTTGGTGAATGAATTTGTCATTTGAAATGTGCATTTAACCTTGTTGCATAATGATTGTTTGTTTAAAAGCAAAATGGGATTATGAAAGTAGCTTGTAACAATGTATTTTTGGCAAACATTACCTTCGTTATGATAGTATCGAAGAAATATTAAATGATCATGATGGTTTATCTGAAGTAAAAATAATATGAAGCAGTTTCATTTTTATATATATATATATTTTTTTTTATAAATATTCAAATAAATTATTTAGTTTGCACAGGATATTTTTTTGATGAATTCCTTCACTTGGTCCAGTGATTTTACAGTTGCTTCTCTGGCCTGGCCCTCGGGGACATGGTACCACATGACGACATTGTAGAACAACTCATACACAAGCAGGCGGTCCTCAAAGCCCTTAGCCTTGGGGAGAATGTTGTGGTAACTTGTGAAGAAATCATCATGGAAACCACCTTCCGTCTTGGAGAGAATCAGGTCAAACTCGGAATGACCATAATCCACCGATGGGTCAAAGACAACTGAAAGTAGGTCAAGATGAGAATTCTGTCAAGTGTGAAGTGCTTGGGATCAACCTGGGATATGTCGATGATCAACAATGGTTATCTACCTAACAATATTTGATCAACCTGGGATATACTGATGATATACAATGGCTGGGATATATCAATGACATGCAATGGTTAGAATATACTGATGATATGCTCTGGCTGTCTACCTTGGAGTGTTTTCCATAAGAAGGAAAACACCTTATAAGGTGCAATAATGAACGTATGTCATAATAGGCGACTAACAGGATCAGGTGGTCAGGCTCACTGACTTGGTTGATGCATGTCATCGATCCTAATTGTGTGGATCGATGCTTATGATGTCAATCACTGGATTGTTTGGTCCAGACTTGATAATTTACAGACTACCGTCATATAGCTGGAATATTGCTGAGTGAGGCTTTAAACAACAAACAAACAACCAACCAAAACAAAGTTAGCTGGACACAATGTGACCATTTACTCACCAGGTCCGTCTACAGTCTGACCAAAGTTGGCTGGACACAATGGGACCATGTACTCACCAGGTCCGTCTACAGTCTGACCAAAGTTGGCTGGACACAATGTGACCATGTACTCACCAGGTCTGTCTACAGTCTGACCAAAGTTGGCTGGACACAATGTGACCATGTACTCACCAGGTCTGTCTACAGTCTGACAAAAGTTGGCTGGACACAATGTGACCATGTACTCACCAGGTCTGTCTACAGTCTGACCAAAGTTAGCTGGACACAATGTGACCATGTACTCACCAGGTCTGTCTACAGTCTGACCAAAGTTGGCTGGACACAATGGGACCATGAACTCACCAGGTCTGTCTACAGTCTGACCAAAGTTGGCTGGACACAATGTGACCATGTACTCACCAGGTCCATCTACTGTCTGACCAAAGTTGGCTGGACAAAGGTCACCATGATTTATCTCTGGCTGGATGTTTGCTGATTGAAATACTTTGTGGACATCTTGTTTAATGGCAGACCATTTCTCACTCACAACACGGTCGCCATGCTGGAAGGGGAGGTAATGTTTTCAGCTTCTATACAAATACAAATTTCTTCTAAATAGTACAATCCCTGATTCATCCTGATTACCATTCTAGCTTTGTTTTCTCTAAAACCTGATTTTCTCTCACACTACTGATGTAATCGATATATAATTCAAAGCAGCATTAAACACAACTCATTCAGAATGGCTTGTGATTCAATGATCTTGTTCAAACTGATAATGAATTATAATGTTAACATCCATTCAGCTATGTCACAGCCTGTGTTGTTTTGCCTGGTGGTCAACCATTCAAATATTAGTACCGTATTCGACGTAATAAGCGCCCAGGGTGCTCTCAAAATTAGAAATAGGGGGCTCTAATTAGAATATTATCTTGGTGAGAAAAAAAACAGTTGAAAGATCGTAAATTTCGTGGTTTATGCTGACAGCCTGAAATGTTTACATACGACAGATATATTTTTCCAGAATTCAATTGCCCATAATTAAGGGTGCATATAACACACGAGTGCGTATTACACACGAATAAATAAGTCTTGTGTACATTGATCAATCGGAAGGGGTGCTGACTGGGATTGTTCACATGGCAAATATATTAGCAAATATCGTCGTGGGCGCTTATTAGAGCGGAGCGCTTATTACATCGAATACGGTAATATATATATCCTCAGCGCCCTTATGGCATGGTGTGTTGGTTTAATAACCAATTGGTCGATCTCTCTCCAAAGAAAAGGTATAGCTACATAAAGGTAACAGTAGTGTGAATCTTACCTTCTGTTCCAAGCCTTCAAACAATGGATTGACAATATCTCCAAGAAAGTATTCCTGAAAGAAACAAGAATAATAATTTTAAGTTGAATCCTTCAGTGACTGTCAAATGTTGAAAGAGCCTTCATGTGCAATTCAAGAAGAAAAAGGTTGGGTCTTTTGGGGTTCTGTGTCCTTGGGATCTATCTGTGACCTGCTACTGCATCACACATCAAACGGCTTCCACTGGTATAGATCCTGTGGGTCTTTGGGGGTTCTGTGTTCTTGGGATCTATCTGTGACCTGCTACTGCATCACACATCAAACGGCTTCCACTGGTATAGATCCTGTGGGTCTTTGGGGGTTCTGTGTTCTTGGGATCTATCTGTGACCTGCTAATGCATCACACATCAAACGGCTTCCACTGGTATAGATCCTGTGGGTCTTTGGGGGTTCTGTGTTCTTGGGATCTATCTGTGACCTGCTACTGCATCACTCATCACACGGCTTCCACTGGTATAGATCCTGTGGGTCTTTGGGGGTTCTGTGTTCTTGGGATCTATCTGTGACCTGCTACTGCATCACTCATCACACGGCTTCCACTGGTATAGATCCTGTGGGTCTTTGGGGGTTCTGTGTTCTTGGGATCTATCTGTGACCTGCTACTGCATCACTCATCACACGGCTTCCACTGGTATAGATCCTGTGGGTCTTTGGGGGTTCTGTGTTCTTGGGATCTATCTGTGACCTGCTACTGCATCACTCATCACACGGCTTCCACTGGTATAGATCCTGTGGGTCTTTGGGGGTTCTGTGTTCTTGGGATCTATCTGTGACCTGCTACTGTATCACACATCAAACGGCTTCCACTGGTATAGATCCTGTGGGTCTTTGGGGGTTCTGTGTTCTTGGGATCTATCTGTGACCTGCTACTGCATCACTCATCACACGGCTTCCACTGGTATGGATCCTGTGGGGATTTCGGGGTTCCGTGTCCTTGGGATCTATCTGTGACCTGCTACTGTATCACACATCAAACGGCTTCCACTGGTATGGACCCTGTGGGGATTTGGGGGTTCCGTGTCCTTGGGATCTATCTGTGACCTGCTACTGTATCACACATCAAACGGCTTCCACTGGTATGGACCCTGTGGGTCATTGGGGGTGGGAACCGATCCTCAGCAACGTATGCTGGTCGTAAGAGTTGACCACGTGGATCCAGTGGTCAGATTTGGTGACTCGGTTGATTGCATGTCATAGTACCCACAAGGTGTGGATTGTTGTTGATAATATCAATCAGGTCCGGTCCAGACCCAGTTAAGCTTCATGCTAGTTCCATCTGCCGACAGTTAATGTACATAGGTGCCTTGAATAGATTTACAAATATAAAAAATAAAATGTTTCCTGCCTAACGTAAAACAATATTTGATAAAAATCTGAGTTTTACCAAGGTGTAGATATCTACTACTCAAAAGAAGTTAAGAACACCTGATTTTCATGACTTTCCGTCTTTCAACCAATGTTCAAAGCAAAAGCACAGTTGTCCTGACTGACTGCAAGTGACTCTTGTGTCTGTATGTAAATAAGGTATCAATAATATATCTATAACATGTATTTACTTATGTATTTAATGTCATTTATGAGATGAATATACAGAGTACATACACAGCACACACTTTAGTTATTTATGGAGTAACATGACGTGATCACATGACTTGATCCAAGATAAAGTAGAAATCTTAGTAACGAACTACGGTTTGAACTAAAGAAGAAACTAAAATTCGTGGTCCCTTGGAGCTTGTTATAACCACAGTTTACTGTGTGACTGTTGCATGTTGTGCTGTACCTCCCATGTGTCTTTCCAGCCATCGCGGGGCCGGAATGTTCCTATGAAGTGCGGTACCTCTGAGCCAAACTTGTCTCTGGGTTCAACTAGGTGTTCACTTCTATGAACGCTCTGCTCACTTTGTAAAGCCTTCTTGCGCAGGTTGGAGTTGTAGGAATGTAGTCTGGTAAAAGAAATCCAGGTCACTTGACAGGAAGCTATGGGAGACAGGAAACAGTCACACTGAAACAGCACTGTGTCTTGTTGTGTCATTACAGTTGGTTTGTTGTTTAACGCCGCACTCAGCAATATTCCAGCTTTATGACGGCGGTCTGTAAATAATCGAGTCTTGACCAGACAATCCAGTGATTAATATCATGAGCATCGATCCATGCAATTGGGATCCATGACATGCATCAACCAAGTCAGCGAGCCTGACCACCCGATCCCGTTAGTCGACTTTTACGACAAGCATAGTCACCTTTCACAGCAAGCATGGGTTGCTGAAGACCTATTCTACCCCGGAATCTTCACGGGTCTGTCATTACAGCATTTGGGACAACAGAAAAAACATGGGGTGTTTCCAAAGGGAGGAGTTCAAAAGTTTGATGTTGGACAACAAAATTAATTCCTTAAGTTTTGAGACCTACCCCAACCCGACAATGAAACTTAACTGTGGAAAGTGATATTCAGAAAGAAACACAGATACCATAGTACCCCTGCATTCGAGTTAGGAAACATTGGCCAACAGGCATGTGGTTTAGTGGATAGACTGTCTGCCCAGAGAGCGGAAGGTTTGTGGTTCGATCCCCTGCCATGTAATACCAATTTAAAGATGTTAGAAAATGGTACCTGTTACCCTGCCTGGCACTCAGTATTAAGGGGATTAAACAAGGACTGGTTGGCTTGTTGTTGGTATACAGTGTCTGAGTGGGGTATCCATGTTTAACTGTGGCATGGTATCTCAGTGGAATAGCATTATAAAACTGTCATTCATCCAGACTCATACAAGCAGCAACACACACACACAAGTGTGTCGTTATGTGAGTGCAATAATCTTGAATGTGACATTAACCAGATTTCACCTCATCTCACCTCACTCGACAGAAGTTGTGGACCAACACCGACACACCAAGAATACTCATGGAACTGGCAAAATCTTTGTTAAATGTCCTCTCATGTTATATATGATGTCATGCTGTTCATCTTCAGAGCATGATGATAAGTGCTGTTATTTGTGGGCTTGAATTATAAAACCCCAGAAAAGTTGAATTTATTGACTGGAAAATTTGCAGTCCAGTTACATCAACACCCCCAAACTTAAGGAATTATGAATTTTATTGAACATTTGAACTTCTCCCTTAGAGAAGTGACTTCTGGAAATGTGCCACCGTTGACGGCAGAGACTGACCTTGGTCTATCTATATTTGAGACCAGGAGATTGTCAGTTATAAATTTGGGGTCCAAGGCATGAACATGTGATACACTTGTTTCCATCATGTTATTGCTGTCATAGCACAGCAAATGCTCAGAAGCCCGGGGTGTATTGTATTGGTAAGGGTTTCACTGTTAGATTGATGAAAATCAACCAGTGACACCCTAAACACTCGAGTGTATCAGAATGGAAATTTCACTTATCTGCAAACTACAATTTTGATAAATTCAATTTTTCAACCAGCCTTACTTTTCAGCCTCCCAAAGTAGTAATGTAAATTATTGCATCCAGTCTCGATATTTTGTGTCTGGTAAAAGTCTGCTGTTAGGGTATGAGCTAACTTACTTTGCCACCTGTTCACCCAGCTGTGACCAGTAGTCTTTCATTGGCTGGAGATCCTCGATAAATTCCAGAACATGGATTCCGCCTCTAAACCCATGATTCTTGAGACCAAAAGTCTGAAGAAAGAAAACTTCTGCTACTTCCTAATAATTGACATATAGGACTACATAAACTTACTCTGATCTCTTTTACTCAAGAAAAACCCATCATATTCAATGACTACTTCCACTTCCCCGTTCAAAGTGGACCCACTAGAATCTCATCCACTAACATCCATATTGGGATACCCATCCATCTACACAGCGACCGAGCCTACTCAACTACAAACCCGCTCACCCACTTTACAACCCAACTACAAACCCATCCACCACCCGCTCACCCACCCACCTACCCATCCACCTTCTGCACACCCACTTTCCTACCCAACTACAAACCCATCCACCACCCGCTCACCCACCCACCTACCCATCCACCTTCTGCTCTCCCACTTTCCTACCCAACTACAAACCCATCCACCACCCGCTCACCCACCCACCTACCCATCCACCTTCTGCTCTCCCACTTTCCTACCCAACTACAAACCCATCCACCACCCGCTCACCCACCCACCTACCCATCCACCTTCTGCTCTCCCACTTTCCTACCCAACTACAAACCCATCCACCACCCGCTCACCCACCCACCTACCCATCCACCTTCTGCTCTCCCACTTTCCTACCCAACTACAAACCCATCCACCACCCGCTCACCCACCCACCTACCCATCCACCTTCTGCTCTCCCACTTTCCTACCCAACTACAAACCCATCCACCACCCGCTCACCCACCCACCTACCCATCCACCTTCTGCTCTCCCACTTTCCTACCCAACTACAAACCCATCCACCACCCGCTCACCCACCCACCTACCCATCCACCTTCTGCTCTCCCACTTTCCTACCCAACTACAAACCCATCCACCACCCGCTCACCCACCCACCTACCCATCCACCTTCTGCTCTCCCACTTTCCTACCCAACTACAAACCCATCCACCACCCGCTCACCCACCCACCTACCCATCCACCTTCTGCTCTCCCACTTTCCTACCCAACTACAAACCCATCCACCACCCGCTCACCCACCCACCTACCCATCCACCTTCTGCTCTCCCACTTTCCTACCCAACTACAAACCCATCCACCACCCGCTCACCCACCCACCTACCCATCCACCTTCTGCTCTCCCACTTTCCTACCCAACTACAAACCCATCCACCACCCGCTCACCCACCCACCTACCCATCCACCTTCTGCTCTCCCACTTTCCTACCCAACTACAAACCCATCCACCACCCGCTCACCCACCCACCTACCCATCCACCTTCTGCTCTCCCACTTTCCTACCCAACTACAAACCCATCCACCACCCGCTCACCCACCCACCTACCCATCCACCTTCTGCTCTCCCACTTTCCTACCCAACTACAAACCCATCCACCACCCGCTCACCCACCCACCTACCCATCCACCTTCTGCTCTCCCACTTTCCTACCCCACTACAAACCCATCCACCACCCGCTCACCCACCCACCTACTCATCTACCTTCTGCTCTCCCACTTTCCTACCCCACTACAAACCCATCCACCACCCGCTCATCCACCCACCTACCCATCCACCTTCTGCTCTCCCACTTTCCTACTCAACTACAAACCCATCCACCACCCGCTCATCCACCCACCTACCCATCCACCTTCTGCTCTCCCACTTTCCTACCCAACTACAAACCCATCCACCACCCGCTCACCCACCCACCTACCCATCCACCTTCTGCTCTCCCACTTTCCTACTCAACTACAAACCCATCCACCACCCGCTCATCCACCCACCTACCCATCCACCTTCTGCTCTCCCACTTTCCTACCCCACTACAAACCCATCCACCACCCGCTCACCCACCCACCTACCCATCCACCTTCTGCTCTCCCACTTTCCTACTCAACTACAAACCCATCCACCACCCGCTCATCCACCCACCTACCCATCCACCTTCTGCTCTCCCACTTTCCTACCCCACTACAAACCCATCCACCACCCGCTCACCCACCCACCTACCCATCCACCTTCTGCACACCCACTTTCCTACCCAACTACAAACCCATCCACCACCCGCTCACCCACCCACCTACCCATCCACCTTCTGCACACCCACTTTCCTACCCAACTACAAACCCATCCACCACCCGCTCACCCACCCACCTACCCATCCACCTTCTGCACACCCACTTTCCTACCCAACTACAAACCCATCCACCACCCGCTCACCCACCCACCTACCCATCCACCTTCTGCTCTCCCACTTTCCTACTCCACTACAAACCCATCAACCACCCGCTCACCCACCCACCTACTCATCTACCTTCTGCTCACCCACTTTCCTACCCAACTACAAACCCATCAACCACCCGCTCATCCACCCACCTACCCATCCACCTTCTGCTCTCCCACTTTCCTACCCAACTACAAACCCATCAACCACCCGCTCACCCACCCACCTACCCATCCACCTTCTGCTCACCCACTTTCCTACCCCACTACAAACCCATCAACCACCCGCTCACCCACCCACCTACTCATCTACCTTCTGCTCACCCACTTTCCTACCCAACTACAAACCCATCAACCACCCGCTCATCCACCCACCTACCCATCCACCTTCTGCTCTCCCACTTTCCTACCCAACTACAAACCCATCAACCACCCGCTCACCCACCCACCTACCCATCCACCTTCTGCTCACCCACTTTCCTACCCCACTACAAACCCATCAACCACCCGCTCACCCACCCACCTACTCATCTACCTTCTGCTCACCCACTTTCCTACCCAACTACAAACCCATCAACCACCCGCTCATCCACCCACCTACCCATCCACCTTCTGCTCTCCCACTTTCCTACCCAACTACAAACCCATCAACCACCCGCTCACCCACCCACCTACCCATCCACCTTCTGCTCACCCACTTTCCCACCCCACTACAAACCCATCAACCACCCGCTCACCCACCCACCTACTCATCTACCTTCTGCTCACCCACTTTCCTACCCCACTACAAACCCATCAACCACCCGCTCACCCACCCACCTACTCATCTACCTTCTGCTCACCCACTTTCCTACCCAACTACAAACCCATCCACCACCCGCTCACCCACCCACCTACCCATCCACCTTCTGCTCTCCCACTTTCCTACCCAACTACAAACCCATCCACCACCCGCTCACCCACCCACCTACCCATCCACCTTCTGCTCTCCCACTTTCCTACCCAACTACAAACCCATCCACCACCCGCTCACCCACCCACCTACCCATCCACCTTCTGCTCTCCCACTTTCCTACCCAACTACAAACCCATCCACCACCCGCTCACCCACCCACCTACCCATCCACCTTCTGCTCTCCCACTTTCCTACCCCACTACAAACCCATCCACCACCCGCTCACCCACCCACCTACCCATCCACCTTCTGCTCTCCCACTTTCCTACCCAACTACAAACCCATCAACCACCCGCTCACCCACCCACCTACCCATCCACCTTCTGCTCTCCCACTTTCCTACCCAACTACAAACCCATCCACCACCCGCTCACCCACCCACCTACCCATCCACCTTCTGCTCTCCCACTTTCCTACCCAACTACAAACCCATCCACCACCCGCTCACCCACCCACCTACCCATCCACCTTCTGCACACCCACTTTCCTACTCAACTACAAACCCATCCACCACCCGCTCACCCACCCACCTACCCATCCACCTTCTGCTCACCCACTTTCCTACCCAACTACAAACCCATCCACCACCCGCTCACCCACCCACCTACCCATCCACCTTCTGCTCACCCACTTTCCTACCCCACTACAAACCCATCCACCACCCGCTCACCCACCCACCTACCCATCCACCTTCTGCTCTCCCACTTTCCTACCCAACTACAAACCCATCCACCACCCGCTCACCCACCCACCTACCCATCCACCTTCTGCTCTCCCACTTTCCTACCCAACTACAAACCCATCAACCACCCGCTCACCCACCCACCTACCCATCCACCTTCTGCTCTCCCACTTTCCTACCCCACTACAAACCCATCCACCACCCGCTCACCCACCCACCTACCCATCCACCTTCTGCTCACCCACTTTCCTACCCAACTACAAACCCATCCACCACCCGCTCACCCACCCACCTACCCATCCACCTTCTGCTCTCCCACTTTCCTACCCAACTACAAACCCATCCACCACCCGCTCACCCACCCACCTACCCATCCACCTTCTGCTCTCCCACTTTCCTACCCAACTACAAACCCATCCACCACCCGCTCACCCACCCACCTACCCATCCACCTTCTGCTCTCCCACTTTCCTACCCAACTACAAACCCATCCACCACCCGCTCACCCACCCACCTACCCATCCACCTTCTGCTCTCCCACTTTCCTACCCCACTACAAACCCATCCACCACCCGCTCACCCACCCACCTACCCATCCACCTTCTGCTCTCCCACTTTCCTACCCAACTACAAACCCATCCACCACCCGCTCACCCACCCACCTACCCATCCACCTTCTGCTCTCCCACTTTCCTACCCAATTACAAACCCATCCACCACCCGCTCACCCACCCACCTACCCATCCACCTTCTGCTCTCCCACTTTCCTACCCAACTACAAACCCATCCACCACCCGCTCACCCACCCACCTACCCATCCACCTTCTGCTCTCCCACTTTCCTACCCCACTACAAACCCATCCACCACCCGCTCACCCACCCACCTACCCATCCACCTTCTGCTCTCCCACTTTCCTACCCCACTAGTAAATATCCATCCACCACCCGCTCACCCACCCACCTACTCATCCACCTTCTGCTCTCCCACTTTCCTACCCCACTACAAACCCATCCACCACCCGCTCACCCACCCACCTACCCATCCACCTTCTGCTCTCCCACTTTCCTACCCAACTACAAACCCATCCACCACCCGCTCACCCACCCACCTACCCATCCACCTTCTGCTCTCCCACTTTCCTACCCCACTACAAACCCATCCACCACCCGCTCACCCACCCACCTACTCATCCACCTTCTGCTCTCCCACTTTCCTACCCCACTACAAACCCATCCACCACCCGCTCATCCACCCACCTACCCATCCACCTTCTGCTCTCCCACTTTCCTACCCCACTACAAACCCATCCACCACCCGCTCACCCACCCACCTACTCATCCACCTTCTGCTCTCCCACTTTCCTACCCAACTACAAACCCATCCACCACCCGCTCACCCACCCACCTACCCATCCACCTTCTGCTCTCCCACTTTCCTACCCCACTACAAACCCATCCACCACCCGCTCACCCACCCACCTACTCATCCACCTTCTGCTCTCCCACTTTCCTACCCCACTACAAACCCATCCACCACCCGCTCACCCACCCACCTACTCATCCACCTTCTGCTCTCCCACTTTCCTACCCAACTACAAACCCATCAACCACCCGCTCACCCACCCACCTACCCATCCACCTTCTGCTCTCCCACTTTCCTACCCCACTACAAACCCATCCACCACCCGCTCACCCACCCACCTACCCATCCACCTTCTGCTCTCCCACTTTCCTACCCAACTACAAACCCATCAACCACCCGCTCACCCACCCACCTACCCATCCACCTTCTGCTCTCCCACTTTCCTACCCAACTACAAACCCATCCACCATATGTTGTTTACCTTGATAGATTTTGGCACTTGAACAAGTTTCGTCCTGTCTAACAAGTCCAGACTGTACTTTTCTGTGGAAAACATGGCTTCAGCCTGTAAAAGAAGATTAAACCATTACCGTTAGTCAATTTCATCACACATGATGAATGAAGTTGCAAATTCCAGTTCATCCAGTAATAATAAACAAACACTAATCTGACCAAAACTTTCAGCTGGAGAGTAGGGATGGGATGAACACCCAATCTATCACCCATGGTAGTAGGGTTTGGGGGACCTTTGAATCTTATATTTGACCTAAACAAAACCCTCTTCATCAAATTTGAAATTATTTAGGATAACAAACACAAACATGTTTTAGCAGCCCAAGGTCAAGTATTTACAGTCAAGTCTCTTTAATCTGACACTCTGCTTTATCCGAATCTAATGATGGGAACCGATTAAATCAGTGTTATTTAGACCTGTTAATCCAACAGTCTTGCACTCCTACACCGACACACCTAATTTACAATGAATTACCGAAATCACTCATTAATCCGCTCGTTAATCCGACACAGAGATCAGTGTACTCTGTGGCCATCTGCCTGTGAGTACACAGCCCGAGTTTTGATGCGAGACAAGTAGGCTGAGGCTGTATATTACAACGGCTGCAGAGATAAACTTGTTTAACAATAAACAATTGATGCTTTACATAAACAAAATAGGATTAATCACATGCTTAGATTACCTCAATCTCATTAAAATCAGATACAAGTTCTTGCTACCGCTGAGGTATTTCCGATTATAGGTACAAACGCTGATATTACTTAATTTCGTTTATCTGACATACTCGTCAATCCGACATAATGATATACAACCTTATACAACTTGACTGTATTTTCATTTTATACCTGGAATCTGTGTGTAAAAAGCCTCTGTTCAGCAATCAACAAATAAAAAATGCATTAATCCCTTGTTTGTTTGCTGCCAAAGGCCAGTTACAAGATAATCTTTGAATTATCAAGTGTGGACCAGACGATCCAGTGTTTGACATAATGATCGAAAAACTGAAAAGCAATCAACCAAGTCACCGAACCTGACCACCCAATCCCTTTAACTGCCTCTAAAGACAAACATAAGCTGCATGGGGGGTACCTCATATTGGCATCCTTACCCGGAATCCCCACAGGCCAAAATAAAGCTGTTAGGGTTGTTGTCAGCACAGGTGCTAAAGAAATGTACCCTAGGTACCTTTCTACACTAATGTACCCCAGATACCTTTCTGTATACACTTATGTATCCTATGTACCTTTCTGTATACACCATGGACCCTAAATATAGTATTAAGTGTCCATGTATACACTTACCCTAGCATGGCATATTAAGGGCGCTGAAATCAGGGTTGTAGGGAATTAAGGTAAATAGCACACTTGCGGCATAATGCACACATGATTGAGTTTACCTGACAGATCTGCATTGTGACTGAGTTGGGTTTCACACCGCTTTGAACAGTATTCCAGTTATATCGCGGCGTGTCAGCTTAATGTGGGAGGAAAGCCCAGAGTCATGCAGGTCTCAGAGGTTTACCACTTTGGTGGAACCCAAGAGCATGGGTATGGTGCTGACAAACCTAGAAACATAATCAGGGCGAACCGGGATCCGAACCCATGATAAGAGGTTTCTTGAGCACCCAGTCGACAACTCTGCATAGCCAATAACCCGCCTAATATGACTTGGCCACATGTACTCCCGATCTGCACTGTGAAAACAGATATATTTAATCTACATATACATAAAGCCAAATCCTCATCCTAAAATAGAGGCAGTCGGGTAGCCTAGTAGTTAAAGCGTTCGGTCGTCACGCCGAAGACCCGGGTTCGATTCCCGACATGGGTACAATGTGTGAAGCCCATTTTCTGGTGTCCCCCGCCGTGATATTGCTGGAATATTGCTAAAAGCAGCGTAAAACCATACTCACTCACTCATCCTAAAATAGGCTCAAAGTGCTATACTATCGAACTGGTTAATGGATCCATGTGCACATAAATGTCTATTTTGGTCATCAGTCTAGTCTGAAGCTCTTTTCGGACAACAGTGGCTTATGCAAAATAACTAGATTTTTGGAGAAAACAACTAGTCCCTCTAGATTTTCACTTGTCTCGGAATAACAGATGAGAGGCCGTGTCTATCCCCCAAGAGTATTCAGATTTTGGCCACTTGCCATACTGAACCACATGTTTTTCCAGATATATAGTTCGTCCTGATTATGTTTCTAGGTTTGTCAGCACCATACCCATGTTCGTTGGTTTTCCCTAAGTGGTAAATGTCTGAGACCTGCATCACTTAGGGGTTTCCACCCACATAATTAACTGACACACTGTGATGTAACGGGAATACTGTTCAAAAGCAGTTTCAAAGCCAACTCACTCACTTGAGATAATAATTTTGTCGAGACATGTACATTTAAGGGCAAGGATAAAGCACAATATAAATAAAGGTTGTTGTTATTATTTTTTTAATTATTATTTACTTCATGAAATATCCAGTGTTGAATTCTAAATAAGCATAGATTTGAACTGCTAACAAAGTAAACTAATTAATTAGTACTAAAACAAAAATGTAAATTTCAAGATGCCATAGAAACAACCAACAACTAAAACAACAACCCCATTTAAAAAAACAAACAATATCAGATATTTCGTTTCAGAAAAGTGATTCTCAATTTTTTACCAGGTCATATTCTCCCTCATGATGCTTGACGAAGTATTTGTCATTTGTCTTCTCTGAAACAAACAAAGCTGCACGATTCACAATGCCACCTTTGACATCTTGAATGTAACAAATAGTATCATCTTCCAGTTCTGATCGAAGAACTGCTTCAAACGCCTTAAATTCAGTCATATTTCCGAGTTCGTTTCAACCATTAATATTTTCGATAAGGGGCGGACTACTCTGTTGGAAGCCTCATGGACAGTGAAAAGTATAAAGTGCGCTACTTGCTTATCATTGTGTGTTCAAGCCCGCGCACTCAAATTTTCTCATACTTTGAAAATTTATTTTCGCAACAAGCATCTAGCTTCAGACCTACACGCTGTGTTATTTTTCATTCTTAAGAGCAGTAAACTACCACCATTCCTAAAAATATATAATGTTTTGTGTCGTATGTGACTGTCTCCCAGTTGGATATATTCCTCATGAATAGCCTGGGTCAATTCTGAATTCTGATTTTGTACTGGAGGGTCCCTGGCTCTAACCTTACGCCCCAACTGATCTCATAGATACTGGATTACTAATTGCGTCGATCGATGCTCATGATATCAATCACTATGTTGTCTGGTCCAGACTCGATTATTTACAGACCGCCGTCATTTAGCTGAAATATTAATATGGACAATAAACAAACAAACAAACAAAAAAACAAACAAACAAACAAACAAAGCATACGGCTCGCATAAACGCAACCACAATGTTGGACAGTTAAGGTGGCTATATATACCTTTCTACAGGCAGATGATGTGTCAACACACAGTGTACCATTTGAAAATCCCTACACAGAAAATGAAGACTACAAATTTGGTGGTGCGATACTTTTGACGAGGTGTATTTGGCAACACGCCCCTCAGTCGAAGATCAGGCGTCTGACATTGAGCGTGAGGAGACGTCTCGCTGATGTGATCCGTGAACGGGGTGGCAACACAAGCTATTGACTCACACTACACGGTTACTAAGACACGTGCGTGTTGATCTGTCCATCTCATTCCTGACAGTTTCCATACTGCCTCTATTTAACTCCAATCGCAGTCCTTGTAGTCGCTGGCGAATAAAGTTGCTTTTTTCTTTGCAATTGCTCACTTTCCCTATTATTCATAAAACTAACACCTAATTTGACATTAAGCAACATTTTTGATTGCTTTTATTTTCGCTTTCCAGCTTCTCCTTACCAATCTCTTTTCTGATCATCAAAAAGTCTTGGTGGTGATAGTTTTAACGATGTGTATGTACGCTTGAGGTTTTGATTGACATCATGGTATGTACACGTTGTGAATATTGTACGTCAGGTTGACACCTCATGTAGGACGCTATATGTATTGAACGTTTTGGGTCAAATTATCGTTATCATCATTATCTGATAAACATAACGGATATTGCCAACAAAAAGTGACAATAAATACAGTAAACTACGGTTGTAACGAACACGCTTATAACGAACTGACGGATATAACGAACTTACTTTCTTGTCCCGACTATTTGCTGCAGTTATGCTGTATATATGCTTATAACGAACTACGGTTATAACGAACTAAAATTAGCAGTCCCTTTGAGTTCGTTATAACCGTAGTTTACTGCAGTGTCGAAATTCGTATCTGTGAAGTGACAATATCGTGACAATACTTGTATCTGTTAAGTGACAATCTATAGTTCTAATGCTCGTATCTGTAAAGTGACAACGTGTAGTACCTAGGACTGGGACGAGTCCAAATTTACTACCCGGGTACCCACTGTTGGTCTCAGGGGATGTCTCAAAATGTCCGATTGGGAACATATTTCGCATAGCCCTGGCAAAAGGTATTTTGATACATGTATTAAACAATCTGGTCATTCATACACTGAAGTTGAATTAAGTTATATCTTTTTTTCAACCATATGAAAAATCAGAAGGAATGTGTGCATAGTCAGAGAGAAATGCGAACATTATATTATTGACTTGTAGTGTAACCATAGAATTCTAGATAATTTTTGTCATTAAACAATATATAACGTGACTAACCACGGGTCCGGGTAGTCCTGTTGGTACCCGGGTCCTACTCAGTATGCACCAGACCCGTCCCAGCCCTATACTTGTACCAACACTCGTCTCTGTGAAGTGACAATATCGTGACAATACTCCTATATCTGTGAAATGACAATATCGTGACAATACTCCTATATCTGTGAAGTGACAATATCGTGACAATACTCCTATATCTGTGAAGTGACAATATCGTGACAATACTCCTATATCTGTGAAGTGACAATATCGTGACAATACTCCTATATCTGTGAAGTGACAATATCGTGACAATACTCCTATATCTGTGAAGTGACAATATCGTGACAATACTCCTATATCTGTGAAGTGACAATATCGTGACAATACTCCTATATCTGTGAAGTGACAATATCGTGACAATACTCCTATATCTGTGAAGTGACAATATCGTGACAATACTCCTATATCTGTGAAGTGACAATATCGTGATAATACTCCTATATCTGTGAAGTGACAATATCGTGATAATACTCCTATATCTGTGAAGTGACAATATCGTGACAATACTCCTATATCTGTGAAGTGACAATATCGTGATAATACTCCTATATCTGTGAAGTGACAATATCGTGACAATACTCCTATATCTGTGAAGTGACAATATCGTGACAATACTCCTATATCTGTGAAGTGACAATATCGTGATAATACTCCTATATCTGTGAAGTGACAATATCGTGATAATACTCCTATATCTGTGAAGTGACAATATCGTGACAATACTCCTATATCTGTGAAGTGACAATATCGTGATAATACTCCTATATCTGTGAAGTGACAATATCGTGATAATACTCCTATATCTGTGAAGTGACAATATCGTGACAATACTCCTATATCTGTGAAGTGACAATATCGTGACAATACTCCTATATCTGTGAAGTGACAATATCGTGATAATACTCCTATATCTGTGAAGTGACAATATCGTGATAATACTCCTATATCTGTGAAGTGACAATATCGTGACAATACTCCTATATCTGTGAAGTGACAATATCGTGATAATACTCCTATATCTGTGAAGTGACAATATCGTGACAATACTCCTATATCTGTGAAGTGACAATATCGTGACAATACTCCTATATCTGTGAAGTGACAATATCGTGACAATACTCCTATATCTGTGAAGTGACAATATCGTGACAATACTCCTATATCTGTGAAGTGACAATATCGTGATAATACTCCTATATCTGTTTAGTGACAATATACCAACGTTCGTAACCGGAGGCCCTTGAATGTTTGTTTTTGTTCTAACTGAAAAGATTCGGGGCCTAACCATCAGTTAATGGACAACAGATGATGCGTAGACATATCAAACTGTATGTCGTAATTAGACACATGGCAGTGTCTTCCTGCACCACTGCTCTGTATGTTCTATGGCACATTCATTAATAACCAGAACCACGCATAACTACCACGATGTCTATTTTGAATATGGAGCATAATGTCATTAACATAGCATAAAAGATAATTAATATTCATGTCCAGAATACGACCTGCTGAAGTCTTAAGTCGTTATGCAACTTTGTTGGGAATAAATCCCTGTTCACCCAGGAATGAATGGTTACGCGTAAAGATGAGACGATAATGTCAACCTTCTAGCGCCTCACAGGCAGCTTGGGTTGTGTACTCCCCAGGGAGCTGAGAAATAAAATCGAGTGCACACTGAGCCACCGGAGTAATAATGTAACGCTTTGAGCATGCTTTGGGATATGGATTTGGCGCATTATAAATATGCATATTATTTATTTATTAAAGTGAGATGAGCATATGTCATGCGAGCAAGCCAAACCCATTCAGATTGATTGTAACAACAACGCTTCAAGACAAAGGGGTGTTTAATCCCTATATAATCGGTGTTGTGGATCTGTTTCGAAATTCATTATTCACTGATGTAATGTTGAATGTCAATGAAATATGCTGAAGTATTATGTATTAAATCAGAGATGCAATACTTCATTGATATGAAAATAAGGTAAAATTGATATAGTACTCGAGTGATTATGAATACTCGGACGAGATACTCTTTGTACACCGTATTAATATCATCCGTGAAACCTGGTTCACGTAATATGCAGAACAACACACACGCTTATATACATACATACATACATACATACATACATACATACATACATACATACATACATACATACATACATACATACAAAAAAGTTGAGTATTATATTAATCAGTAGTAAACCAACCTTTTAAGACTCTTACTAAGAATATTTTTTATGATTCTTAAAACCGGTCATTCATTTGGTAACCAAGCACGTTATAAATTACCCCCACCTCCCACTGAGTGAAAAAGATTACTGAGTCGGCTGTATAGGAGACGTTTTGACACATCCGGCCTTATCTGCACAAAGCACACACAAAGTTCCACAAAGCGATCTTAGTGCTACGACTAGCATTAGCCAGTGTTAAAGTATGGGAGTTACGATCACCTTAGCGCTAAGATGGCTTTGTGGAACAGGGCCAGGTCTAATAGCCTCTGCTAATTCTTGCCAATCAGCTGTTTTTATTAAGCTTAATATCTAGTCTTGGATTTAAATGAAATATAAAATCCAGATCTAACTTAGTCTATCTGGAAGCTGAAACAATATCAACTCAATATGATATTTACACTGTCAATCCACGTTGAAAGCGGCTTTAATTTATTTTTTGGACTGACTCGGATTACAGTAACAAATGAATGATGATCATTTTGGACTTGTGAAATTATACCAATAAATATACATTTCTTAGGATATAATTACATTTAAGAATATGTACATTTCATAAGTTTGTCGTACGAAGCGGATAAACCGATCGTGTGTTCAGGCTTTCATAGTGTCATCACTGGTTGATTGTGTGACATCACTGGTTGATTGTGTGACATCACTGGTTGATTGTGTGACATCACTGGTTGATTGTGCGACATCACTGGTTGATTGTGTGACGTCATTGGTTGATTGTGTAACATCACTGGTTGATTGTGTGGCGTCATTGGTTGATTGTGTGACATCACTGGTTGATCGTGTGACACCACTGGTTGATTGTGTCATCACTGGTTGATTGTGTGACGTCATTGGTTGAATGTGTGTCATCACTGGTTGATTGTGCGACATCACT